ACTTCTGGTAGCGACGGATCTCACGCAGAGCGACGGTACCGGGGCGGTAGCGGTGGGGCTTCTTGACGCCACCGGTGCCCGAGGGCGCCGACTTGCGAGCGGCCTTGGTGGCCAGCTGCTTGCGGGGAGCCTTGCCTCCGGTGGACTTGCGGGCGGTCTGCTTGGTACGGGCCATTGTTAATTCGGTTTAGTTGAAAAATGAATAGAGAAAAATCTTTCACAGATACGTTAACAGGGGCAGGAGGGGCGTGCCGGAGCAAAGTGGTTTATATAGGGCCGAAGGACGCGCGAACGCATAGACTCGGATGTGCGACTTGCGAAAAAACGCAATAAATCCAGCTGCGGGACCCAGTGGCACGACGCGTTCTGATTGGATCGTGGCTATGTCTTTTAGATAAATTTTACGCGTGTAAGGCCCAGACTGCCCCTTGAGCCACGCCATCCGTTGTGAAAAAGTTACTGTTAAAGTAGCTGTTTCTGTTTCCAGCCAACCAGCATGCGTATTGCTGGGGCGATGTGGGTTTCGATTCTGAACTTGCTACCTTGCAACGACTTCGGGCTGTGTTGGCGTTTTTCGCGTTCCACTGCATGCTTGTTTGGTGTGGATATAAAAGGCACCACCTTGGCACCCACCCTCGCGCCGCTTTTCCTCTTCAAAGATATTTTTCTAAACATTTTTTGAAAACTACCTACTATCAACCATGTCTGGCCGCGGAAAGGGAGGAAAGGGACTCGGAAAGGGAGGCGCCAAGCGTCACCGCAAGATTCTTCGCGATAACATCCAGGGCATCACCAAGCCGGCCATCCGTCGTCTGGCGCGCCGTGGTGGTGTCAAGCGTATCTCGGGCCTCATCTACGAGGAGACCCGCGGTGTGCTCAAGGTGTTCCTTGAGAACGTCATCCGCGACGCCGTCACCTACACCGAGCACGCCAAGCGCAAGACCGTCACCTCGCTGGACGTCGTCTACGCGCTCAAGCGCCAGGGCCGTACCCTCTATGGCTTCGGCGGCTAAACGCCTTATTCAAACACTGCAATTCATTTGTGTAAAATAAATAGTTGAAAAAACATGGACGCGTCATCAAGGTGAACTGCGGGATATGTTTTTGCTGTCTAGGCATGGAGAGCCACAGTAGCATTAGAAAAAAAATAGCCAAAGCGGTCTCCCACTTGCTTTCTGTTTACTCGACAATTTTTTCGCTCTTTTTTCCTTATTTACTTTCTAACGTTATTTTTGTCTCGCCCTACTCTTTTTATCCTCTCCAGCTCTGTTCCACTTGAAAAGTCCTAATAGAGGAAGCATAAGGCTTACATAGAATGTCGGAGAATGAATCATCGCCGGCCGACATCGCGGGCTTGGACGAAGGCCATTCGACAGGCCTGGGCGCCAGTCTCAACCTGGCGCTCGCAGCAACACTAGGCGCCAGCAATTCGAGCGTACCTTCGTACTGCCACACGCCGTCGGAGCCATACGAGGGCAGCGTTGCAGTGACCTACCCATCGCCAGCACCCAAGGCGGCAGGATTCTCAGGTGGCACACATAGCTCCTCGCAGGAGGTCGCGCTAGATGCATCAGCGGGGGCGCTGCAGGCGGAAATTGACCAAGCGTCGATGACACTGGGCAGCGCATGGTATCTGGTGGACCGCAGGTGGTACACGCGCTGGCAGGAGTCGTTTTCTGGGATCACGAGTTCCGACATCGGCGCAATCGACAACTCTGGCATCACAGACATGGACGGCGAGCTGCTGCCGGATCTGCAGATGGGCGAGGCCTTTGAGGCGGTGCCGGAGCGGGCGTGGGCGGAGATGGTGCGGCTGTTTGGGCTGAAGGACAACCGGGAGGTGCGGCGCGTGGCAGTGGCCGATGAGCACGGTGCTGCACGACTGGAGCTGTACCCGCCATCAGTTTTTGTTTCGTCACTCATTAACGAGGAGGAGCCAGCGAAGAGGATAGCCATTTCGCTAGCGGCGCCGCTGAGCGAGCTCGAGTTCCGGGTCAGAACGGCGTTTGGACTGGCGGAGGGCGACGATATATCACTGTATCTGCCGTCATCCAGCATCCGCGGGGGCAAAAAGGAGGAGGCGCATTCTGATGCGAGCCCGCCGTCGTATGAGGCTGCGGTGGTAGATGATGCGGACCACGGGGCGGGCTCGGAGAGCCGGCTGATCGGGGTGATGGAAGATAAATCGACATCGCTGGTGGCGGCAGGGATTCTGGAGGACTCGGCAGTGTGGATGATGACGGTGCCCAAGGAAATGATGGGGCTTGCCATGGGAGATCTGCGCGCGGGCTCGGAAGCCGACGATGCGTCAAGTGTGAGTGCGGCAGCACTGTTCACGCCATCAGGGCGGCGAGAGCGCGCTGGGTTTGGGTCGGCATCAGATAGCGGCAACGAGGCCAGCAGTGAGGACGCCAACGAGGTGACCAGCGGGTTCGTGTCGACCGACGCTAGCACCGCATTGCTGGCGCGGGCCGTGTCGCAGGAACACTACCTGTGCGGGCTGAACAACCTGGGAAACACGTGTTCATGAACTCGGCGCTGCAGTGCCTGGGCCACATTGGCGAGCTGACGCGGTACTTTGTGTCGAATGTATACACGAGCGAGCTGAATCGCGACAACCCGCTGGATGAAGGGTGCCGTGGCATCGTCGTATGGGCGGCTCAGCAAGGCCATGTGGGAGCTGGGCCGAGGGGCATATGCTCCACGGGCCTTCAAGCAGCACGATTGCACAGTGGGCGCCGCAGTTCCGCGGTACAACCAGCAGGACGCACGCCGAGTTCCTGGCGTTTTTGCTGGACGGGCTGCACGAGGACCTTGAACCGGATCCTCAGCAAGCCATATATTGAGTGCCGGACGCCAATGGGCGACCCGACGCGGAGGTGGCTGGCGAGCAGTGGGAGATCTACAAGAAACGCAACGACAGCGTGGTGGTGGATCTGTTCCAGGGCCCAATACAAGAGCACGCTGGTGTGCCCCAAGTGCGAGAACGTGTCGGTGACCTTTGATCCGTTCATGTATCTGACGCTGCCGCTGCCCGTGCAGCGCCAAAAGTGGCTCGATGTATCGCTGGTGCCTTCAATAGTTCGGTCCATGCTACGCATATGAATTTGCTGGTGTGCAAGGACGACTCGGTCAAGCAATTGAAGCAATGGTCGCGCATTTCAAAACCGGCGATGCCTCGCGCCTGCTGGCATGCGATGTGTCGTCGGGGCGTATCTATATCAGATCTACACAGTGACGAGGACCCCCTGGCAGATATCAGCGACTCCGACTCTGTGGTCATGTACGAGCTGGATGCCAGCGTCGAGGAGGTTGCTGAAGACCCGCTGTCGACTGAGTCTGTGGTGGTGCAGCTCCTGTGCAGCAAGGGTGATGATGGGTCGTCGAGCTCGTCGTTCCGCTACAGCTTGCGCCGGATATCATCTCGAAGCCACTGATCGTCACGCTGCGAGGGCCGAGCAAACCATGGGCGACCTGTACCTGCAGATTGCGACGGTGCTGGCGCGCTGGACCACCGTTGACATGTCCAAGCTAATCGAGCAAGCTCAAGGATGCACATGAGGGTGGTTCTGGAAATGGCGGCTCTGACACGGGCGGCTGCTGAGTTGCTGGGCGTGCAGTGTCACTTAGCGTGCACCGCGCAGGGCCATCAGGGTCCGCGGTTCCAGCGCCGCAACATGTCGTATCGTCGTATATGCCAATGGCCGCCGCAGTACGCCGAACTCGTTTAGACCGTTTGAAGACCGTCTGACCAACGATAACTGCGAGCCGCTTGTGCCGGCGTCAGAGGAGAAAGCACCTGTCGCGCTGTCGCAGATGTCGGTTGATGATGATGTGCCTGCTTTGCAGCAGTCGCGCAGGCGGATGCGCTCGGACGATGATGGGCGGTGGGATAACAGCGAGTCGGATAACGAGCCTGAGGTCGGCGGGCGGGGCAACGCCCAAGCGGGCAAAGTCTGATAATGAGGAGAATGAGAGCGATGGCGAGGCGAGCACAGCTGATCACAGTAGTGTCTGCTCTAGAAGAGCGCGAATGAGGCTGTGGCCCCGAGGAGCCACAGCAGCAGGAAATGACAGCAGTGAGGAGTATCTGTCGAGGTGCTAGGGGTGATGATGGCGAGTCTGATGCGCAGTCAACCAAGACGCAGAACAGCCGAATGACTCGGACGACGATATGGCGGCAGCCACCGCTGCACTGTCGTTTACAGACATTATGAGCAGCAGGTTAAGCTGAACACCGGCGATACGCTGATCTGCGAGTGGGATCCGGAGGGAGCTCGCGCGCTGTTTGCGGAGCTGCTACTGACGAGCCCACCATGGAACCGCGGCTCGACTCGCTGTTCGATTTCGGCCGAGCGGACCAGTTCGCAATGCCAGTAATGGAGGACGCGTCAAAGTACACTGGCCTGCCTGCGTGACCGATCTGGCAGTGTCGGAGCCTCCGCGCACAGCGCGCCGGCCGTCATTGGTGCAGCGCGCGCAGCGGACAATCACGCTGGAGGAGTGCCTGGCGGAGTTTACACGCGCAGAGGAGCTGGGCGAGGAGGATCTGTGGTACTGCGGCCAGTGTAAGGAGCACCAGCAGGCGACGAAAAAGTTTGATCTGTGGCGGGTGCCGGAGATCTTGGTGTGCACCTGAAGCGGTTCCAGCACTCGCGCGTGGCGTGACAAGCTCGATGCATTTGTGGATTTCCCAATCACGGGGCTGGATCTGACCAAGACTGTGGTGAGCAAGCTTGACGGGAGCGCGCTGGTCTACGATCTAATTGCAGTGTGCAACCACTACGGCGGGATCGGCGGCGGGCACTACACGGCATATGCGCTGAATCCGAGGACCGCGAGTGGTATGACTTCAACGACTCGCATGTGTCCCCGGTGGGCAGCCCTGATGGCGTCAAGACATCTGCTGCTTACATGCTGTTCTACCGGCAACGGCGAGAGGCGAGCATGCAGGGGACTCAGCGCGGCAAAGATCGATGACTGATTGCCAGGTTTGAGGAGGCAGAGAAGGAGAGGAGTGAGCGTGTGCCGGGCTCGCCGATTGCAGGGTCGGCTGCGGTGATGCCTGACCTGGACTTGGCGATGCCGTCACCCTCAGGCGATTTTATGGATGCCGACGAGGAACACGAGTTTGCGGGCAACGTCGAGGCGCTGGCGGAGATCGGGCCTGTGGGCCTGGCAAGTCCGCAGCTGACGCGCGACGCGTTCCATCAGACAATGACGATACGCATGCATCGCTGTTTGGCGAGGACCGCAGTCAACAATTGAAGAGGATGCTGATATGCTTTAAAGAATCTATTTTCTACGTGATTTCCTAACAAACGTAAAAAAGAAAATTCGATGCTAGTTTGTAGCCACCGCGCGCAGGATGCGGACGTCTTCGCGCGGCGGTCGTTTCTATCTGGCGACCAGGCCCATCCTCCGCACGACGTCCATGCCCTCCTTGACCCTGCCAAACACCGTGTGCTTGCCGTCCAGGTGCGGCGTGGGTGCCAGCGTAATGAAGAACTGCGAGCCATTGGTGTTTGGTCCCGAGTTGGCCATGCTGAGCACACCAGCGCCCGTGTGCTTGAGCGCCCTTGTGATTTCGTCTTCGAACTTGCCGCCGTATATGGACGAGCCGCCGCGGCCGGTGCCGGTGGGGTCGCCGCCCTGGATCATGAAATCCGCGATGATGCGGTGGAAGATCACCGAGTTGTAGGAGCCGCGGCGGGCGAGCTCGTAAAAGTTTTTGCAGGTGCGCGGGGCTTCGTGCCAGTAGAGCTCGATGGTGATCGGGCCCATGGAGGTTTCGAGCACGACGTTGCCAGAGGACATTGTGAAAGGTGATATTGTTAGCTATGTGGATGCCTTTATTTTTATTTTTATTTTATTTTTTCGTTCGTAGCAGGCCATTGACGCATGCCAGCAGTGACGCATGTTATGGCCGTGTAATATCAATTGAGACTTGTGCTAGAAAGCCCCCGGTCACGCCTGGAACTGGCTCCGCAGCTCCATGATCTTGATCCGGTGCTCCTCCGGCAGCTGCGCCAGCTGCTCGTCCGTCAGACTCAGCAGCTGGTTAATAACCTGCTCATTGTCAATCTCGGGTGCACTGGCCTGGGGAATCTGTGGCTTCGGCAATGAAATCGGGGGCTGCCCCACCTACCACCGGCATGGGCGGCGGCGGCGGCGGCCGTTGTGACGGGTACTGGGCTGGCACCGGCTGCATTGCGGCCATGGGCGGCGGCGGGTACCGCGGCACCGAGCCTGTCGACCCCGATCTGCCGGCCCCGCGCACTGCGCGCTTCAAGTCCTCCGGGCTCGCCAGGTCCAGCGACCCCAGCGCACAGTACAATGCGTGAGCCAGTGCCGGATTCTCCATTAGCTCGCGCCTGGCCACATGCAGGTTGCGCTTGGCGAAGGTCTGGAACTGCGCAATCAGCTCGCTCTTCTGTTGTTCATTCAACGGCCCCACGACCTCATTCACCGTCTCCACATCTACCTTTTTCGGCGGCGGCGGCAGCTGTGCAGACCCCGGTGCGCCGCTAAGCGACAGCCCGTCGGTGTTGAAGTGTCGACGGATCACCTCGCGCTCAGCGAAATCCAGCTTCATGGGCCGCCCACCTACTAGTGTCCCCGAGAGGTTTTTGACTGCGCTGGCGGCAATCTGGATATCGGCGTATTCGCAGAATCCGAATCCGCGCTGTTTGCCGCTTTCACGATCGAAGACGAGCCGGAATTCGGTCACCGGTCCCGCTTGCCGGAGGATGCCGATTAGCTGCTCTTCGGTTGTGTCGAAGGGCACGTTGCCTACAAATACTATGTTGTTTTCGCGTGGTTCCCGCCGGTAGTCCATGTCTATAGGTTGATGCGTGATGTGAGGAGGGGTTTTCTACCATTTTGTAAAAAATCAGGCCTGCCTGGAATGTGTATTTGATTCGCTGCTATACCGTATTGTGGTTTTTATATTTCGAGATCCTTTAATATTCGGATAACCACATGACTCTGGGGCTTCAGCGAAAGCCACTTGCGACGTATAGCAACGCGCATCTATATCTCCATGTGTAGCAGCTGCCCAGGAATGCAATACGCATTTCTAGCGATGGCATGTCCCAGCCGTTGTGACTATTGCCCCCTTGTCTACTGCTATCGCCCGGGATCATCTGTGAATGCATGCTAAGCTATCTGCCGGCAATCATTGAAATCACGCCTGGTGACTGTATCGGCCACAAATGGCCACGTTTCAAATTCGCCTAGATTTGGGGAGGATTTTTTTAGCCTCTGCCTACAAGGCGTAAACAACCATTTTTCTCTTCAGTCCTAGAGGCCATTTGGGCGGCGCTCTTGTCTTTGCTAGTAGACAGACGGGCGCGGCTGGTTGTCCAGCTCGCTTGGCGAGAATTTGACATGTGAAAGTCGCTAGGTAGCTTTTTCTCCCTCTCTCACTACCACACCTCACAGTTCTCATGTTAACTTCACCGCATAAAAAGCCTGTTTATTTTTTGGGTACCAGCCTGCTGTTTTTCTTTCTCCTCAAACCTTTCTCCAGCTAATTTTAATACTCTTATCCGCTTCCACACAGAATGCCTACCCCTGCACCATCATCCAACGGACCCTGGGACGCCAAGCTGCAGCAGTTCCACGGTGGCCAGGACTGGGCGCATCTGGACAACTTCATCGAGGACTTTAGCGTGACCACGAATGCCTTCGGCATGCCCGAGTCTGCCAAGCAGGCTAGCGTTAGCTCGATCGAGCACAGCCATCACTACCCACCAGCGGACCAGGAACCGGCCAAGTCCTCCCTGGCACAATTCCTGTGGCCCACCTCGTGGCAGCAGGACGGCGACCGGCTGATCCTGGGCAACGGTGCAAGCGAGCTAATCGACCTTGTGATCCGCATGGCGCCGCGCGGCACCTGGAAGCCGGGACCGTTCCGCACACAGTACAAGGAGTACGAGCGGTCTGCGCGCAACAACGACTACATGATGCTTGATTCGGAGAGCCCAGAGAAGGCGAACGTTGTGTGCCTGGTGAATCCGTGCAACCCTACCGGCGACTACATGGAGCTGCCGGAGCTGCAGCAATGGATCCTTGACAACGCTCTGCCAGGCGGCCATGTTTTGATTGACGAGTCAATGCAACCCTGGCACTCGTCAGAGTTCCGCAACCACTCATTGACCAGCGCGCGCGATTTCGTTGAGCGGATCTACCAGGATCACGGAATCTCCGTGTTTGTGATGCACTCGTGGACCAAGCTGTGGTGCTGCACCGGCCTGCGCCTGGGCTCGGTCGTGTGTCCGACCGCCGACCATATGCGTGCGATCAAGAAGCTGCAGGTGCCGTGGTCCGTGAATACCGTGGCGTTGGCGTTCCTGGACGCCGTGGTTGCCGATAAGATATACCTGAACAAGACCTGGCAGATGACGGGCGCGTGGCGCAAGCAGACTGTCGATCGGATCAAGCAGCGGTTCCCGGCCTGGCAGTGCCATGGCCGTGAGTTTTTGTCGTGGATCTGGGTCGACACCAAATCAGAGGAGGTTGCGCAGAAGGCTGTGGATTTGGCAAAGGCCAATGGCGTGCCGGTGCGCAGTGGCCGTCCGGGCTATAACCTGCCGACGTATATCCGTCTGGCTGTCCGTGAGCCAGCCAAGGTCGACCATCTGTTCAAGGCATGGGAGACGATCTAACTACTCTTCACCTTCAGCATTGCTTGCAATTATTATCTAGTGCACTTGTCATTACGACCGGCAAGTAGCTGTTGATAGCACGATGTCGTATTCTCGATGGGGTTGGTATCAAGCGCGCCACTATAGTTCAAATTGGCTTTCTGCTTTTAGCGAGCTAGCTTGCATCTGTCATGGCTAGCAGTTTGGTGTTGCCGTCAGCCGCCGGCAGACTTAGCCCCTGAATGTGAAGCGTCACTTCCTTTGTATCCTCTCTGCACGAATAGTATGCGCCCAAAATGTGAGTGCTCTGTGCTGATACCCTGAAATAATAATCTTGCTCCTTGAAACTGACGCGTATCGGGCATCGCCATTGTATCAGAAAATGTACGGGATGCTTATTAGACATGGGCATGCTTGATCTGTGATGTTCCACCTTCCTGAGAACCTCCTCATTTTTGATTCCCTATGAAATGACATATTTCAACAGTTGTTCAAATTCTTTCTATGGCCGAAGCTTGGCAGTACAGACACTGGCATGGAGTATTCTAATAATGTTGAGTGTATCATTGACATTTACACGCAGCACAATGATGAGGAATATTCCTTTTTTTAGAAGAAGGCATATCTAATGTTCAAAGCATCGTCAGGCAACTGCTATTTGAGGCAACTCTGGTGTATTCACCTGCCTTGTGCGTTTTGCAGAGCTATATTAGGCAACCTTAACGACTTTTGTGAGCACACAGGAGTTGTTCATCGTGATGAGGTTTAGAAGATCAACAAAGAGTATGCTGAATTTATGAAACGCTGTACCCAAAGTAATAATACATGACATCTTAATATACCTTGTAATCCCAGCAATTAGCGGGTACGCTGAGTGATATGTTTCTTGTGATACATGATGTGATTTTAAGTGAAATACCAGCTTTATGTAATCTTTGACGATTGCTCGTCCCGTATCCCATGTTGTAATGGAGTGGCATCATCGTAATTTAGTATTTGTGCTATATAGACATGTGGCTATCCACAAGAACTCTGAGACTGTTTGTCGCTTTTCTTCGACAGTGATATCAGTTTCAATCAACAAATTAGCAAGAGTGGCATGAAGTGAAGGCTTAGGTGCATGTGTGCTTTGCATGTCAGCAAAAAGATTTCACCAAACAGTGCAGAGCCCACCAAAGCCATATGGGTGTCGTATTTAAGGCGCTTATTTTTGGACCATATTGCAGCTGCTGCTCCGGATCTGCTGGGCTGTGGAACAATACACATCATAAGCCATCAATGCCGATTCAGCAGCAGATCTTTGATATGCCGGACTCCCATTGTATTTTAAACGCAGAGTGACGAAGGTGTTGCGACAGGCATAACCAAAATACCCCATCTCTTAACCAATGCAAAACAACTGCTACCCGGATCTCTATAAAAAGCGAGACTCGAGAGGTCTATACCGGAAACTCCATATCAATCCATTTCACTCACATACACTGCTCAGCTTTTCTTGAACTCTTTCTTCATGACCAATCTCACCAAGAAGGCCGATTCTGACAATGATTCAATACTAGATGGAATTGACTGCCTATCGGTCACGACCGTTCGTACACCTGAGATGTCTGCCAGTATCATATCAGTTATTGAAGAGCAGCAAGACATCAATGCTGACGATGACATAATCATTGGGTATCTGCGGACGATTATTGGATATCGTTCTTCTATTCACTCGTATCAGCAGCAGAACTTCCTGAAGGCATATACGGCTATCATGTCTGGCGAGGTTATTCGTATCCCTAATAGGACGTACAGATCATTCAATGTGGAGTCTTTGGAGGTGCGTGTGAAGCATCACAACTCAAAGCTCAAGAACATTGTACAAGGTGTTGGCGTTGTTTGCTGCATACTGGATGACATTATACAGGCGTATATCGGCGTACTCAGTCATGAAGCGAAGCTCAGTGCCATTAGAGAGCATGACTTGTATTTCCATGAGGTTTTGGATTCAGGCTATATTACTTTCGACTCGCTTAAATTCGCTCAATACCCTGCTTCGTACCTTGAAGACTTTATTCCATGGGTAGTTTGCGATAAAGATTTACAGTTGAGCAACTGCCGCTCGTACCTTGCTACCCGCGGGTCACCTCTGGTTAGATATGTTCTGGAGAACCACATTGCGGGTACTGAAGACTGGGACTCAGCAAGAACTGCTCTCGTAAAGGAATTCACGCCGAAGGCTTCCCAGGAAGAAGTAGCAAAAAGCAAAAGCAAAGTAGCTGCAATGGTGACCTGGGCTGAAATAAACGAATATCTGGAAGGTACCTATTGCAATACTTGGCATAAAGGTAGTACGTATTCCAGCCCTTACCGTATTTATGATTCACTTTTCTCTCACAAGCGCGTTGATAATGTTACATATATTACAACCTACTGCTGTATGTCGTTCGTTAGTGCCATCACCAACCATTCCCAGCAGGAGTTCATTGTGAGTTCTCTGAAGAAGAAGAGTATTAAGTGTATCTCAACCTTCAACTTTGGCATTTTGTAATGGCCATCTCATTCTTTCCCTCTTTCTATGTTATCTTTGTTTTTAAATAAATTCTTCTTCCAGTATGCACTCGTCATTATAGTTCTGCATAATGGTAAATACATAGCAGTTACAATTTTAGCATAGTGTGCTACTCTGTATTGTAGACGCATTTCTGCACGAACAACACAGAAATACAATGTGACAAAGACCTTAGGGCCACGGATATATGGGCATTCTAATACGAGATCCTGAAAAGCCCATAAATATTCGGCACCCCTAAGCGACACGCGCTCAGAGGATGCTGATGCGCTTGTTGTTCGATGGCTGGAGGTACAACCAATATTCTACACCCAATCTCCCTTATTAAAGCATGTCGAGCGAGAAGCCAGATATCAAGAACACAGCGCCCAAGCAGGATATCCCTGCTACCCGGCTGTTCAAGGTCCTGAACCCGGAGCTGTTCATGAAACCGAACCGGTGGATCATGGGTGGAGGAGTCGTGGCCATGGCCGGAATCATCTTATGGCTTGGGTCTGGAGAGCTCAAGCACCGCCGAGAACAGGCGCTGATAGCCAGTACCCAAAGCAGTGAGGAAAAACCGCGCACGCTGACGTACCAGGAGCAAATGGCCGAGCGCAAGCGGAGCAGCTAGCATGTATTTGATTCAATGCAATAAAAAGCCTATTCCTGGGTCTTGGTATCAGACATCCGCCACATGTACCAGGTAGCTACCGATCTGTACGGTTCCCAGATCCTGCCTAGTGCCACCAGCTCGTCATGTGTCGGCGTTGTCTTGGTGAACGGCACGCCAAAATGCTTGCACATGGACTTGCGAATCGCCAGGTCCAGTGTCGGCAGCACATTGGCGCGCTTCAGGTGGAACATTAGGAACATGTCGGCGGTCCACGGGCCGATTCCACGGATGGCCACTAGGGCCTTCGTCACCTCGTCATCAGATAGTGCTGCCAGTTTGGCATCGGAAAGCTCGCCATCACGAAACTTCTCTGCCACAGCCTTCATGTACTCGGACTTGCGCTGGCCTAGTCCGCACTCTCTCATCTCGTCCACATCCAGGCTAGCAACAACCGAAGGCCTGGGGAACTCGAAGTCATCGGGTGTCAGCTCAGAGTCCTCCTTTGTAAGGGCTTTGAGTGTGCCGAACCGTCTCAGGAACTTTAAGAGAATGGCTGCTGCGGCCTTGCCTGCCAGCTGCTGGTACACGATCGACTTGCACAGTGATATATACCCAGTATCACCGGTATGGTCGCGGTCTAGACCCATCGTGCAGCGCTTAGACTTGGCGATAAACTCACCTAGGCGCTTGTCAGCGTTCTTTAGGTGCTCGATGGCTACATCCATGGCGGCCTCATCGGTCAGCGGCGGGGCTGTCAGCAGCGTTGCTGCGGTGGTCTTGGGAATCGGTGTGACTTTAGGCTTCTTGGTACGGGCCTTGGTGACTTTGCTCGGCGATGCGGGCTTTGGGGTCACAGGAGCGGCGGCAGCAGCAGCAGTGGTGGATGCCTGGGCCAGGACGCGAGCGCTGCGGCGGGTTGTGACCATGCTTGCTATTATAACTGAAATAAAGAGAACTGAAAAAGGAGCCCTAATTCGTGTGGGAAAATAGTGCTGGTTCATCTGTCCGCAGCAATGGGTTTGCACGAAGATTAGCTGGCAGATTAGCCCGCCACAAGATCAACGCCGAAGGACAGTTTCTGAGTGCTCGTTGCCACGTCGCTATTGTGACTTCCCTTTCATTACCCTCCTGGAGTCTACTCTTCATTTTCCGTTTGCTGAATTCAAATGTCGTCACCATTCGAGGACGCACTCAATGCCTACCTCGAGACAACACAGCCGACCGCTGCTCCACAGCTTCTAGACGGATTCGCAGTCTCCGCCGATCCACGCTACGCGTACAACGCTCAGACCGGGCTCTGGCTAGATATTGCATCGAACACGGTGTCGTACTATGACGCCAAAACATGCACATATGTGGCAGTTGACACTCAGGACAATACTCAATCGTCAGACTGGTTCGAGGGCGTTGTGCGGCTGGTTGTCGTTGACTCAGCGTGCTTTAGTCCTGGCCAGGCTGCTGATGTTGATATTGTGGAGGGCTTGAGTATCGGCCGTGATGAACATGAGGCCAGTATCACGCCGCATCTGCGAGTTCCCGAGATTTCTGTGTCGCGGTTCCATGCCCGGATCTATGCTGAGGACATAACAGAAAGCGAGACCGTGGACAATTGCGTTGAGGTGGGGTCGGAGGACGGAGAAATCGAAGAACAGGAAGAAGATGATGCAAAATATTCAGAGGACGGCGAATGTTCAGATCACGAGGTAGAGGCCAAAACCGATCCACATCGTCTGCTCACTCTGTATGTCGTTGATCAGGGCTCCACGCATGGCACGTTCATCAACGAGGAACGGCTCTCGGAGCCAAAGTGTGCTAGCAAGCCTCATGTGATTGCGCATATGGACAGGGTATCGTTCGGGCAGTGTGTATTTGAACTGCATGTTCATGAGCAGTGGGCATGCGCACGGTGTAGCGCATCAGAACACAGCGAGATCCCAACTCGTTCTTTTGCTTCAGCAATGCAGCCTGAGGCGAAGAGTACGAAGTTGGTACCAGATATTCAGCAGGAGCGGATCGAGAACCTAAGGGCTCTAAAGCGAAAGTATATGTCCAACAAGGGATATCATAGGCACACGACTGGTAAGACATATACAGATCGGGCAAAGCTGCGACGGATGCATCAGCCAACGCAGTTACCTGCACAACCATATTCAGACATGGACGACCACACGTCACTTTCAGACGAAGGTGATGCATACGAGTTTACGGGCAACAGCGAGCGAGCAGGGCTGGGTCTACAAAACATGTCTGATCAAGACCGACGAGAGTACAAGGTAACCCGGCTGACGCGCGAGCGATATATGTCTTCGTAGCACCTTTATTTCCATACTAGAATTGCTCTGCTCGCGATGCGAGCTCGGCTGCTAGTCAGCATGGGTTGACACGTCGATAAGAGCATCACGGCGAACCGGTCATTTGAACGTGTCGGATGGTTGTTGGTGCAATGTCGATCATGGACATCTCCTGTCTTGATGGCCTGCTCTGCGTAGGCGCTTCAGCGCTGGCTCGCTGCTGCTGGCAACAGAACCGCCTGCTGCTGCACACCTCTTGCGCGGCCTCTTTGTTGCAGGGGTGGTGCCAGAAGCATTGGCAGCAATGGCCGTAGAACGACGGAACCGTTCAGGAATACTGCCTGAATCACAGTGACTGGAAAATGAGCCTGAAGTTTAGAACTGCTGCGAGATCGCGGTTCAAGAGCCGAGACGAATAGGCTCGCCTGTATTGTGCCATGGCCCGCTTACATGACTCGCTTGTACAGCGGAGAAGGCCATGGCACTTCACAATTGGGTTCTTCGATCTCTGGTAGGGCCGCGGGTTGGGAACATGCCGGAATGTCTGCAGCGACTTTTCACAGCAGAACGGGCACATCGACGATGTCCGGAATTCGTCGATCAGATAGACTTCAAAGCCATGGTGCTTGAACTTGTCGCGCCACCCCTTGCCACGAATCGGCGCATGGTGTCGGGCCATTGGCGCACTCCAATTGCCCATGATCAGCACTGGATCTGGACCGAACTTGCTCCGGAGTTTCGCGGCAAGCCTGTGGTCTGCATGGGCCTGGTTCATGAATGAATCAAGGCGCAGCTTGCGGTGAAGCGGGTACACCTTGGGACTGGTACTGACACCTGGATGGGCCTTCCAGCGCCTTTGGTGCTGCTTGTTTGACTTAGTGGGCTGCTGCTCTAGTAGCCTTCGCGCTGTCATCGTGTTGGCATAAAACGGTGCTAGGACACACCGCACAGATGCACGGGCAGCAACGTAGGCACGGAATTTTGCTGGGCTAAGGGTCCGGCAGCAGTGCTTGGAAAGCTCTGCCTCTGCTCTGCGGACAGCATCTTCTGGGACTTGATCCTTTGTATCCCAACGAATCCTGTCATAGTGGCGCAGCTTGAGCTCCTTATTGCGCTGCTGCCGTGTGTAGCGGTAGAGCATTCTCTCACCCTCTTTCCCATTGCTGCTATTTTCGTGCATCATGTATAGCAAATCGCCCCGACCTGGATCGATGAATACACAGCGGCCTTTCAGATTCTGCAGCTCTGGCTGTGGGATCTGGTGGATATAGCGACAGTCAGCTGTAGTACTGCCTCCCACAGCATCACCTCCTGCAACATCGCCTGTAGCATCACCTCCTGCAACATCGCCTGTAGCATCGCCTCCCGCAGCATCGCCTCCCGCAGCATCGCCTCCCGCAGCATCGCCTCCTGCACCATCAGCATCTACTGCACCATCAGCCTTGGATATCTTGTCTTGTAACAGAATGCATATCGTTACACCATCTGTTGTCGCCATTCCGTGGAATTTTCTATCACCATGCGCCTTAAATGGCTTTGATGTTAGATCTGCGACCCGGCCCCACACATCCCACACAGGTTGTGCAATCCCTTGGACCGGGTCGTGTGCACAGACTGGGGGTTCTGGTGCATATGCATTGTTAAGTGCTGCAACAGTGTCTGCTGCTGCCGCCGATGCAGCAGCAAGTGAATCAGCCGCTACTGCTGCAGTTGCAGCAGTGGCCTCTGTTGCATCCGATGGCATCTTCGCTGCTTCGCGTGCAGCCTTCTTGGCCAATTTTTCGCCCTTTTCTGCTGCTTTCCTTGCCTCTGTTGCTGCCCTCTTTGCTGTGTTGATCTTGGTAACCTGCTCACGGGTTTTCGAAACAAACACCTGCTTGATTATTTGCTTGTCTAAGCGCACATGGCCTGGGATCCATGATGTCCGCAGAGGCAAGCATTGGGGGGGGGGAGACTTGCTAAGCTGCTCATTCTCGATAAGCTGGCATAGACGAATGTATGCACGCAGATGCTTAAGTGGATTTACCTTGGCATCATAGTATCGGCTGTCTTTGGCGAATCTGTACTTGGCATCATAGGCATTAAGGACTGGTGCCAGCTTGTTGTAGATTGCAAGCATCGGTGGGGTGAGCACACTGAGATCAGGGTACCTAGAGGCAACTGCCTGGCGGAGCTTCTGTGCAGGTGTAAAAATACACACTTGACATGCATTATTGAACTCAGCCTTGGACACATTGCCCATTGTACTGTGCAGTGTGTTTTTGCGGCTGCGAATATCAATCAATTTGGCCAGAATCCGCTGTAGGCAAGTGCCATAGTGCAACACAATGTTGTTCTTGTATGCTGTCATCAGCTCGGTATCCATGTATGTTGCTACTTGATTCATGTTGTGTACATCATGTAGCTCAATATCGCCATTATGCAATAGATAATCATAAATGTGATATCTAACTACATCACTGAAATCGGCGGTTAACAGTTCTGACCTGTCCTTCTGGTTAATGAAATCCTCGGCAGATATGACAGTCTTCGCCTTCAGGTTGCGATAAATGAATAAATAAATAAAACGAAAAAACCCTTTTTCACAAATATTGCAGGGTCAAAGGCATCATCGTCAGCTAGTTGATGGAGTAATATCCATCGTGCAAGCATGTATGTATGCTCTTTGATGATATTGACGCTGTGTACAAATTGCTCTAGGCGGGGCAACATAGAATCACGGAAGCCAATACCACCAAGTGATGTCTTTATGGCAGTAGTGCTGCGGGTAATATTCATTTGAGAAATTCAATAGGCAAGTAAGAAGAGAAATGATGCTGTTCAGTTTTGCTTTATTGCGTATGCATAGCATTAAGAACTTTTTATTAAAAATGATCTGGCTTGCATGGTTCTTGGGGCCCTTAGCACTGATACAGTCTCTTGAATCAGTCTGTACAGACTGGGTCTATTGCGGGCCCAAATACTACTGCTTACGCATGTTCATAAGACAAATTAATTTATAAAATATATCTACAAATATTACATGACCGCTAGAAGAGCTACATGACCTTATTCAATAGGTGCTCATAAATAAACATCCTAAGAGTGTTGCGCAGCCGGTGATGACCACCATGATGACGCCATGGAAGTTATCAGGCCGACCGACAATGAGAGCAGCTCTTGCGCTGAACCAATGGAGATATCTAGTGGAGACCTGTGACCACTACAATAACAACTCGTCACCCTGGTTTCACCGATGAGGTCAGATGCTGCACAAGATCAAAAAGGAGTTTATAGAGTAAGTCACCCAAACTCGTGTTGAAGCTTAAAAGAGATATATAGGTTCTAGCAGACAGTCGGACACTTTTTGGACTATAAAATCTTATATATAGGTAAAGATAAAGATATACACTTAGCATAGCACTGGCCTCTGGAAGACCAGCACGCGCAGATATCCCTGGTTGTCGTTGTACGCACCGACCTCAGTCCAGTCATAGAATATGTTCCGCACGATGCGCTCCATGCCCTTGCCGATTTCAAACCCGATGCAGCCCGCTGGTCGCAGGATCTCCATGTTCGCCATTAGCGATCTATGGATTGCACTGTATGCCTGGAATCCGCCGTCCTCGGCAATTAGTGCCAGCTGCGGCTCGTGCTCGATCATCCGCGTCATGCGTGCAGCCTTGTGCGGCGAAATATACGGCGGGTTGCATGCTATAAAGTCATATGGCGACTGTCGCAGCACCTTCTCATCGGCTGCAAATGACTCAAAGTCGCTTTGGCAGCATTTTTGCTTGTGAAGCCAGCCCATGCAGTGCGACGTTCGCCTGTGCAATCTCAAGCGCTGCCGGGCTGATATCAATACCGACACCACATGCTGCAGGTACCTTCAGTAGTATTGACAGAAGGATGCATCCCGTTCCAGTTCCAAGATCCAGAACCTGCGGAGCTGCTTGGCTACCAGCAGCTTTCTCTAGAAACTCAACGGCTGCAGAAACCAGCGTCTCCGTACTGGGCCGCGGGATAAGCGTGTTCTTCGAGACACGGAATGTGTGTCCGCAAAAGTCCTTGGTTCCGGTGATGTACGCAGCAGGAATACCATCGGCAGCCAGTTCTGCACCGTCTGCTGGCAGTACATCGGATTGTTCTAGCTCCTCTCGTGCCTTCTTCTGTCTACGTTCGTAAAACATGATTTCGCGTTCGCAAACTGACATTATCTTCTGCGGAATCGGCACGTCAATGGTTACAGGCTCAGAGCGCGCATCCGTAGCAGAAAGCGTCACTCCAGTGAGTGACATCAGGATCCCCTTATCACGATGGTTCGCCAGTGGTTGGGCATACGTCTGCGACCCGACGATAGGGTGTCCGATTAGATGCATGTACCGGCGCAGAACCAGGCTTGCATGGGCAGCATGCCCTACTGATGCCTTGATCATTGTCAGGTGGCCAACATTGGGGCTGCGTGTCACCGATTCAATATGGACCTCGACGTGGTTGAAGATGTCAGCAGGAATACGGTTGTATTCACACCAGAGGTCCAACGGCGTAGTCTCCTCAGAGTTGTCACCCGACACCGACGCGGCCTCCAGCGACTGCAAGGTAACGCTATTCACCAGGCTCTGCTCGATCTTTCCATGACACAGTGCACCAAACCTGAATGTGATCTGCCCAGCATTAATTTTTTCGGCCAGCTCCTGTTGGATATTTGCATCTCTGGCCAAAACCACGAGTCCCTGTGATCCACGCTCAATCTCATTGACAACGATCCACGGCTCCGTGCTGATATCCTTGTACTTTTCGTCCCCACTCACCAGCAGTGTCGCTGGCACGGCCCATCCGATGTCGCACATGCGCGCACCTGCTGGTTTCATCACGACGGCAAGATCAGAGTCACAGAATTTCAACTCAGTCCCCAGAACCTGTAGTCTCCGGGTATAGAGATCAACCAGGCTCATCTCGACCCGTACTGTGTCGCCTTCCTTTAGTATGTGAGTGTCAAGAGTCAGGTCCCCATTGACATGCACAGCCTTTTTACGCAGCGCAGAGATCACATCTTGGCGGAGGGGCATGATGTCGCGGAAGTTGCGTGCGAGGAAGAGACGCAGTTTTGTACCAGCATCTGCTGCAAGCACCCTCAGCTCCTTTGTCTGTGTGCGAAGAGCCATTATAAAGATACCGGTGTGGGGGGTTTTGCGTGAAGAAGGCAGGAGACTCAGAAGTTCAAGAGCATTTCCGCGCCGGTCGGAGGCGACCCCCGAGCGTGATGATCGAGCATGGGGAGCACAGAGTAATGGGTTCTAATGAGCGGACACTGGGGGTGACCAGCAGTCGGGTTTAACCAGGTGGGCGATGAAGCCTGCGTTTGCTTGCTGCTGCCAGCATCGGTGATTCCGATCAGCAGATATTGTTGATATAGTTCGGCCGATCACCGCTTTTGATCCTCTGGCCGATTTTTAGTACCAGCCATTTTTTCAGCCAGAACTTGCTGCAGTGCGCTCTTCTTCACTATCATTCAGACAAACCCCCCTTTTTCACAGAGTTCCAGCAGCAAAATGCGCGTGAAACGGGCCAAGGCATACAAGAAGGCGATGCAGTTTTATCAGCAGGCGTTTGGGTTCCGCCAGCCGTACCAGGTCCTGATCACACCCGACTTTATCGATGAGTGCATCGCCAGCAAATTGTCGATGAAGGAGGATTTGCCCGAAGTGTTCCAGGGGCCTGTGAAGCAGCTGGTCAGCGAGTGCACGCTGAAGGAGCTCCGCAATGGCGGAGACGATAAAATCGTGGCTCTGGCTGCGATCAAGCTATTTGAGCGGCGGCGGTGTCCACACAAGGAGCTATCACTGACTGGCCTCGAGTGTGTGCGCAAAATCATGGGCAAGGTGAACGAGCACAACTACGCAGTTGCGACGCAGGATATCAAACTCCGGAATAAGCTGCGCAATATCCCTGGTGTGCCGATTGTGCATGTCAAGCAACGCCAGGTGGTCCTCGAGCCGATCACGCAGCTTTCGCGCGATGAGCTCAAGCGGAGAACAGAGGAGAAACTGAAGCCAAGCCGGTTTGAGACGAAGGTGGTCAAGACAGTCAAGAGGCAGGACCGCCAGGAGAGATTCCGGCAGATCAAACTGAAGAAGCTGCCGCCATCGGCGCTGGCAAAGGAGGCGCTGGCCAAGAAGAAGGCGGAGGAGGCCAAGGCCAAAAAGAAGGAAGAGTGGAGGAACAAGAAGAGGGCTATTAAGGAAGGCACTTTGAACGGCGTCCAGCCTACAGGTACCACAAAGGAAGCCAAGACCAAGGCTGGACCGGCCAAAAAGGATGCGATCCAGTCGCAACCCAAAAAGCAGGGTGGACAGCCGACAGCTGGCTCAAAGCGCGCGCGGCCGGATGAAAAAGACATCAGCAACACAGCAGCAGCCACAGGTGGAAACGAAAACCAGAAGCGCAAGCGCAAGCGCATTCGTACACACAAGAAGAAGGCCGATAAAGCTGAGTAGGATTGTTAGCAAATGGCATATATTGAAACATTTACATTCCACAGTGCATGATACTTGCGCAGTTTGTCATGAAACTCACGCTTTATACGGTGCAAACTGTATGATGCTGAGGTAGTTGTATATATAGTTTTACGCTTGAGATCAAGCGTCTACGTCTAAGTCTACGTGTGAGGGGCAGGGACCTTGTCTGCCAACAATTAATTCAAACTGCCCGCTCTCTATCTTGTGAACTAGAGCGTAAATAAAGATAGCTAGAATGAAACGAAGAAACAGTCATTTGCGTGCCAGGCCCAGTTGTGTTAATGAGTAGAACTAAAAAGTCAATTTAAGAAACTGAAAGCTAATATCTGAGCGCATGGACACTGGTACCAGTACCGGAATTTGCTCCCTTCGTGAGTGGTCTAGAAAGGCAGGGACGGGTGGGTTCAGTGATGACATTCTCTTCACATGGTATCCAATTCTAAAGCCTTTCCAAGCAGCGTGAATCAGGCAAAGACTGCGGATTATTTAATGGTTTCCTACAAGCACCAGAGTCGATTCTACTCAGTACAACAGCTATTGAGATCTTCTTGCTAGCTCTGCTTCCAGCTGTGCAATTTCGCCCTTTAGTTCACTGCTGGCGACCTGTATATCGATGCATTTTTTCACGCCCTCTGTCCACCTCTCCTCGATGTCCCTGAGCTTGATCCCTGCCTCTGTTTGCTCATATTTCCGTGCCTTGTTGACATTTACGCCTTCATCCCGGTGCCGGTCTGTCGCTTTCTCGATATTCCTCAGCAGCCCCTCCTTCTGGTAATTGCTCAGCTTCCACGCATTCGCGCCAAACTGCTGCAGCAACTCCAGGTTTACCAGGCGGATGTTCTGGTGCTCAAGCTGAGCCGCGGCATTGTCCGCCGCAGATCTCCATATGCCAACGTTGTCGGAATCCTCAGGTGCTTCCAGTTTGTACCGCTCAATATCAAATTCCGGCAGGGGCTTTCCAGCACGCACGCGCTCATACTCTTTGCGCAGAAGGTCGTTGTTCTTGAAGAGTGTGGTGGATTTGGGCAGCAGAGGAGGCGACATACGGCCCATTTCTTTTTGGATCAGCGAGCTGACCTGGTCGCGCATGGAGGGGTCGTCATACTCCTTGTCAATGTACGGCAGCGAGTCGATAGCGGCGCTGTGTGAGTCCATGAATAAGATGTTTATAGTGGTATTGGAAGTTTACAAGCAAAGTGACGGTGTACGAAGGGGATTCAAGGGCCGACTGGCCGGTTGGCTGGGGCCACATCAGCCAATGAAGAATGCAGCCCTTGTGGGTGTCTCGCTGCGGTGCTCCGTGCCTGCGGGCTGGAGGAGAAAATCAATGATCCAGAAACGACACCAAAGCCTGCAGGCGTATGAGGCAATCGGGAAGACGTAAAGCGAGAGGGCTTGGACATGAGGGTAAACATAAAAGGCGAAATGTGAAAAAAGGACTATTGACGTGGGCAGATAGGTGAGGGCTAGTACAATTGCAAAGAAAAATTTTGCTCCTCAAGCCTGCCGCCGTTGGGGTACAGTATGCAGTTCCGACCGGGCCATGCGCTGCTGCATCTCGCTGCGTGCTAGGCGCGACTTGGCCAGCCGCTGCTCGACCAGGGTGCTGCCGACAGTTGACGGCTGGTGCATATCGACGCCGCGGCCCTCGCCCGACACCAGCGAGCGCAGGTTGGTGGGCCGCTGCAGCGAGTCGGCGTGGTGCGAGCCGGCAAGCGACTTTGGGCTGGCAATGGTTCTGTTGCGGGCCAGGCGGGCGTGGACCGTGGCATACTTGCCCGACGAGCCGATCAGCGGTGTGACCTTTGTGCGAGCTCCAGCGAGGCGCGATTCGAGATCCTTGACGCGCGACATAATGTCGTGCACCATGCGCGCTGGGTTCTCGCCGTTGCCAGCGTCGATGTTCGCCGATGACTTTGACAGCCCCGAGTTCTGTGGCACCACGCGGCTGTTGCGGCTCCGCACCACGTTCAGCTCCAGATTCAGATCCTTCAGCTCGTCCTTCAGCCGCTGGACCTCGTCGACCAGGATCTTCTTTGTCTGCACCTCGGACAGTAGGTGCGAGTTCTCCTCCACCGCACGGCTCAGCCGGAACTCCATGTCTGTCAGCGACGATTTGGCCGCCCGCTCGTTGCGCTCCAGGTCGTCGTTGTCCTGCTCCAGCTCGCGCGTACGGCTCTTGTAGTACTCCTGCTGCGACCGCACAAACTGCAGCTCCCGTTCGATCGATGCCAGGTCCTCACCCGCCTTCAGCTGCGCCTTCTGGTACTTGTCCTTCAGCTCGTCAATGTCAAACTTGTACCGCTCATTCTTTGTGCGTAGTTCGCGGTTAATTGCTTCCAGTCGCTCGATTTCTGACTCCAATTCCCCTTCCAGCTCAGCGGATTGCACCTGGAAGTCCTCCAGTTCGTATTCTTTGTTGGCCAGGTCCTCGCGCAGGTTAAGCGTCTGGTTGCGCCAGTACGCGATTTCCTCTTCTGGCGATGCAAAAGTACTACAAATACAGCCCCTTTTCTGTTAGTCTATGGCTGTCTGGCGCCTTCTGCTACTGCACCGTCGCCGACTGGCACTTACGTTGGGTCCTCCTCGTTCATTCTCTTTTCAAAGAGGGAATTGGGGGCGGAATTTACAAGTATAAAAAGGAGGGCGTTTTGAAGTAAAGTGGGGAAAAGTCGTGCAAGCGCTACACTGAGAAAATATCTAACTGTTTTCATCAGAACTCGTGGCTCACATGATTGGGCCAAGCCGGAAGATCTTCAAACCCAGCTTCAGCATTATGATGCTGCAAGCCAACGCGTACTACACCGGCCGCTGCTTCTTGCGACTCAAAAACTCCTTCGCCAGCCGCCTTCGCTTTGCCATCTTGCTCTCATTGTCGTCCATAACAGGCTCTGCGGGGACGCACACTATATCCTCGACCTGCACGCCCCTGGCAAAGCAGTCGCGCCGGAACACATAGTACGCGTTGCACTTGTCGAACGGCGACAGAAACGAGTACATGGCCATCGACGTTGCCTTCTCCACTCGCAGCTTGGTCTCGAGCTTTGGTGGATCGGCAGACTGGGAAACCAGCTTTGCTACCTTGTCGATAACCGCCCTGGCATCGCGGTCAGGCACCATGATGTCATCGAGAACCTGGATTGGCACTGCTGCTTCGCTGTTTGCGTGCTTGTCGTCACCATCCGGGCTGGGCTCCTCTGATCCAGACTCTGGGTCGTGTTTAGAGTCGTCTGCAGATTGTGAGCCCGAATCAGACTCGTCATTGTACCCGTACAGGCCGGCCTGCATGAGCCATCTGATATGCTTGTAGAACGGGTAAAGCGAGTCGTCCCTATTCAGAAAGTAGAAGTCGCTGTTGTTGCCCTGCTTGCCCTGGATCGTGAGCTCCATTTGGTTGGAACGGTCTGCAGGCTGGCTGGAGATGAACTGGGCTGTGCGCTCGATGATTTCAAAGTGGCGCTGCGATTTAGGCGCTGCCATTCCATCGGGCAGGGAAAATGAAGGGCAGAATGGCGGGTCGGCATTGGCTTCGTCGGGGTGGGCGAGCTGCAAGGCAGACACAGAGGGAGCAACGGGCTTCCCCTCCACGTCATACTGAAGTGCTGTACCACTTGGTTCGCTGGCGTCTTCAGAATCAGGCTCGCCGATTTGGCGAATGTATGCCTGTCTTTCTGGACTGTCCATGTAAAATATGCGCCGCTCGTTCTCCTCCGTCTCCAGCGATTTAAACCGGCGTGCATCCATTTCAGGATCAGCGACAACAGTGCCAGTGTCCTCGCTTCGGTGAATAGAGTTCATGTCAATAAGATATCTGATGTCATAACGGTCTACCAGCGTATTGGTCTCAGCTAGCTGAATCAAGTCTGCTCTGTCCGACTGCTCTGCCTGTTCGAATATCCGTGCTCCGTAGCCAAACACCATCGGCGCGCTGTCCGTCTCGTCATCAGTGCTGGCCAGAAAACCCTTGCCATAGCGCTCTCGTTTCTGTGCCAGCCACTCTTTTCGCTTTTGCTGTCTAATGCGGTGGGAGTCCATTACGAAGTATTAAGGGTATGCATTGCGCACTGATGGCCAGCCCTGCCACCTCAGCTTCCCAACATGAATATCTCGATGTGTGATCTATGATAGTATGGTACTCAGGCGCATTAGCAGTAGCTTTGCTGTATTCGCTTGCGTTCAAATCTCTTCACACCGCAGTATGTCTCGTGATGGGTTTGTGAATTTGCTTGCAGACTGTCTCGGGCGTATCCATGCTTGTCAATGCCACCGAAAGGTGACACGGTGACCATAGCAATCTACATGAATGCATTTGTGAGGATGAGGGATGGATCATCCACCGGTGGTGCCACAAAAGTCCTGCAACAGCATGAGGTCCCGAGATCATGGTGGCCACATAATGAGTGCTTTTGCCACCTTGGCCGCACACGAGGCTCATCTGATCTTGTGGTATGTCTCTGGCGCCAATCCCTAATGTCGTGTGCATCGACCAGGCTGGCTGCCCATTAGATCCAACTACTGTCCCTCAAACAGCAATTTCCCAAATGAACATGTGCAGATGCAGACCTAGTGATATAGATAAAAATTTGAGATTGCCTGTGTGTTGCAACCAAGCTCGCCTCTGCTGAAAATAGGGGCCAATTCGAAAGCGATCCCACGCCACGCCAAGCGGTCTGGGCTTCTTCTACATTCAAGGGTTGCCAGCTCAGTATTCAACCGAGAACAGCATTTCCTAGCTTGTACTCTTCAGTATGGATGTGCCATAGTACATATGCGGATGTTAATAGCAGGATCCAACGCATTCACTCCATAAAGAGTATTATGTCTAAGGTTGGTGTAAAGGCGGATGTCACATTGTACCGAAGTAGTTGCTATGGTTGGCCTTGCAGCAGTCTATCGATGCCTCAAGCTAAAATTGCATATAAAAGCAAGGCAATCATGCTAAAAGACTCACATAAGACCTCATTGCAAGACGAAGCACCAATCTTCTTATTGACCTTGATACCCCAAGCTGATTCTCCAACCATGAAGATATCCTTTTCGTTTACTTCGCTGCTGGCACTCTCTTCTCTGGCTACAGGCTCTCTTGCCAACACCTTCCGGTCTGCCAAGTGGGCTGCAATCCCTCCCGACTACAACACTGACACTGCCTCCATGTACGAATCCCAGGCTGCGCCTATCACTGGCAATATGACCAGTTTCTGGAACAACGACAAGAACCTGATCTTGCCAGCCATCAACAGCAACGGGGGTGTCGGCAAACCGGCAAATATTGATTCACAAGTGTTCCTGGCTGCGCTACATGCTTCCTTGGGTGATGGATTCTACACTGTCGACTCTGACCAGATGCTAGCTTCAGTTGTCGCCAAGACTAACGCGTTCAAGCCGCTGTACCCGATCAACGCTGATACGGAGGCGACAGTCAACTCTGCCACAATGCCAATTGCTGTTGCGCTTGGCCGCTACCCCGAGGACACGTACAATGGCTACAACTCTGGATAACAAGGAAACCCGTGGTCGCTGATCACCTCGGGTGTGGTGGACTGTCACTACCGCCTGATTGAGACCTGGTCCACAGCCGACAAGGTTACCGTCACCAAGGCGACAGGGACATTCTTCAATCAGATGAAGGAATTGTATGGAATCGGGTTTACCAATGTGTACGAGGTTGGTGCCACGTATACCAGTGACTCTGACACATTTGGTGAGTTCCTGGCCAACACCATGCTGTCAGGCGACCGTTATATGGCACGTGTTGCCCACCATACGGATGCATCGGGATCGATGACCGAGCAATGGCTGCGCGGCGAGGGGACCCCAACTGGCGCTCCAAATCTGACCTGGCCGTTCGAGGTACACACTTCCGCAGCACGTCACCGTGCAGCTGCATCGCGGATTGTGTATGGCAACTAAGCCTGCTCATTAAGTAACCCGTGTTCCTAGCTCCATTGGCATATGTCAACATTGAATGCAATTCCAAATTGGCCACAGTATATCAACAGATCATTTCCTTATTTCCACTCCAGGTCCAATTCGCCGAATAGGAGGCAACTGCGGCATGGGGTATTCCCACACATGTCTCCCTATCTTCTGGCCAGTGGAGAGGCGTGTGCGATTTTGTAATTCGGGAACCAAAATGCAAGACCTACCTCTGCTATGCACGGATCTTTGTCGCAATGTTGGCACCAGTTTGTAGTGGTGGTCCCTGTTTTCAGCTTGGCTTTCATGTGTTTTGCCACAAAAAGGGAGGCGCAAAAGCCAAGTGGGCTAGCTGGATTGGACTAGTGCAATTTCCGACATATAAGCTGCTAGCGCGATCAACATGGCGTATGCACCAGGGAGGGCGATCATTCACCGCCTACGGTCACGAGCGCTGTGGCTCTGGCCCACGAAAATGCATAGTCTGGAGAGGTCCATCCGCGCTGCTTGCTGCTGTCCTACTAGACTGAATGCTCCACATGAAACATGCGGCACAATACCAGCCATCCTGCAAATCCTCGGGTGCGAGTTGAAAGTGAGCCAGTGCGCTCATCGAATTCCAAGGGCAAATTAGTAGCTGGGAAGATCCAGCACGGCCGACATACAAGCGACATTTCCAATTTGTCTCTTGCACCACCCGTCGTCGTTCGCTGGTTGCTCACCGCCGGCCAATTTTGCATTGTGATGCGAGGTGGGGGATCCAACTTGATTGTAGCCAGAGTATGTGGTCGTACGAGGAAGCTTAGTGGCTGGTATTGTCTGATTTGCTCGCCGGTGCCCACCCATTACACATTCACTACCCTAACTATTTGGCCTCGTATTAGGTGCATCTATTGCGTATCTCTCTTTCTGTCCCAGCTGTCTGCACTGCGCAGGTGATCTTCAAACGCATGCATTGAAGGTTCTAGAGATAAAGTGGCCAGTATAGCTGCAAGTGCATGTACGGACAAGGGGGGGGGTGGAGGATAGGAAAAGAAGCGATTCTGTGGCCCACACCGACAACTCTACGCTTATCGGCATATAAAAACAGGGGCCACCTCCTGAATCGCAATTGCCGAAACCACATCGACTACGCAATATCCTTCCTCTCAACCAAACTATTAATTCACAAGTTCGAAGCAGCCACCACACAAATGAAGTCGTCAATCTCCATCACCTCCATCCTTGCCATTGCGGCCTTCGTCGCTGGCACACCCGTCGACCACGGATCTCTCGCCAAACGCGCCGCAGCCCCGCCCTTCAACACAGCTCTGACAAACTGGGTCAACACCGAGACCACCTATGCCAAGAACGGCGTTCTGGCCAACATCTCACCATCTGGTGCTTCCGCAGGTTCTGTCCAGGCTGCCCCCTCAACCTCCAACCCGGACTACCGGTACCACTGGGTGCGCGATGCCGGAATCACCCTGCACGAGGTTTCTGGATGGCTGAATGCCACATCCGACTCGTCCGCAGCCGCTGTCTACAACAAAAAGCTGGCAGACTATGCGACATTCAGTCGCACAATCCAGACAGTCTCCAGTCCGTCCGGCCTGGGAACTGCCAAATTCTACATGGACGGTACCGCCTACACGGGGCCCTGGTGCAACCCGCAGCGCGATGGTGCCGCAATGCGTGCTGTGTCGCTGATCAGCTACGCACGGTACTTGAAGTCGCAGGGCAAGGACGTGACGCAGTACTACGACGGCAAGAGCCCGACCAACTCGGTCATCAAGGCTGATCTCGAGTACGTCGCCAATAACTGGAACGCGGATTCCCAGGGCTGCGACATCTGGGAGGAGGTCCGTGGCAACCACTTCTACACGCGCATGATCCAGCGCCGTGCCATGATCGAGGGCGCGCAGTTCGCCAACCAGATGGGCGACCCCGACGCCTGCAGCATGGTATAATACTCAGGCAACGGCTATCACCAATGGCATGGATGCGTTCTGGAGCGGCAGCATCATTCTCCCGACCATCAACTACAACGGCGGTGTGAGCAAGCCATCGAAACATCGACGCACAGGTGTTCCTGGCCGTCCTGCATGCCTCTCTTGAAGATGGATTCTACACTGTCGATTCGGATCGTGTGCTGGCCACGATTGTCCAGCACATTGCCAAGTTCAACTCAATGTATGCAATCAACACGGCCACAACGACGACCATTGCGTCAACCAGCGTGCCGGTGGGTCCGGCGCTCGGCCGCTACCCCGAAGATACATACAACGGGTATGAGTCGGGACAGCAGGGCAACCCGTGGACGCTGATCACCTCGGGCATGGCCGAGTGCCATTACAGGCTGATCTCAACATGGAGCAAGAGACGGCAAGATCGTGGTTACCCAGGCAGTAGCAAACTTCCTGAACCAGCTCACCTCTGCTGTACGGAATCACGTTCAGCAACTCGTACAGTGTTGGGAGCACATACGGCAGCGGGTCGGCAACATTTAATGAGATATTGGCCAACACCATGCTGGGTGGCGACCGCTACATGGCTCGCGTCGCCCGCCACACTGACGCGAACGGCAAGATGTGGGAGGAGTGGAACCTGAGCACCGGCTTCGGCCAGGGCGCCCCTGACCTGACTTGGTCGTACGGAGCCCATGTCTCTGCTGCCACAAGCCGTGCTGCTGCCTCCAAGATCGTGTACGGCGCTTAGACAGGAAATATGATAGTATGTTATGTTGCAATATATGAACAGTACCAAGGAATGCATGCAGTGGACTACTTTTCTAGCTCGCGGGTGATCTGGCTCAGACTGTTGTTGATAAACTCTCGGCTTTCCGGTGCAAAACAGATGGTACGGGAGCGGCGACGAAATGCGGTTGTTTCCGGTACCCATCCCGTCCCTGGGCTGCGACATGTATGTCTGCTCTGTCAGAGCCGGCTGCTCAGCAGCATAGGCAGCTGCTGGCGGAATAGAAATAGTGGTCCGTGGGCTGCTGTTGTCCGAGATCCGGCTGGCAAGCCCAGAGGGTGACTTGTAATGGCGAGAGTCTCCGGCCACAACATACTCGCTGTCACTCGGGTCCATCATGTCTCTGGCAAACCGCGAGCTATTGACAATCTCATCCAAGTACGCGTCGCCAGTAGTCGACAGGCGCCGGGCCCTTGTCGACATGCCATAGATCCGTGAGCCCCGCTTCTCCTTTTGCTGCGTGTAGTTTCCGCTGGCCGCCTGGTCGAGAGTTGAGAATTCGTCCGAATCCTTAGCAAACGACACCGAGCGCTCCTGGAAATACGTTGTCTGGCTGGCCGACCCATTTGACGACCTATTGAGCCCAGGCATGGCAGTTCCCAGCAACGGCGCGTCGTACTGCTCGTTGGTCATTCCACGACGGGTCCGGTGCGTGCGCTTACTGCTGCTTTCGTACATTTGCTTTCGCGCCCTCGCTAGCACCAGTGCTGACCAGTTGTAGAGCAGCCCGTGCTGCAGCGGGATGATGGACACCCAGGCCAGCACCAGGTACGCGACCCCAAGGGTCACTGTGTACACGCAGGCGATGATGTTGTACAGGCTGTTTGTGTACACGAATGCAGCCAAAGTACGTGTACAGCAGGCCGCGGCCGCCGTAGGTGAACAGGAAGCGCATTTGCGAGTTGAGAAAGCGCGGGGCCCGGACCTCCGACGCCAAGAGGAGCGAGGCTGAGCAGGCCCGTGTACGCCTGGTAGATTATCAGGTTAGTGGGCGATGTGTGGTCGATGACGTTCATGACGCTGACGCTGGCGATAGCTGCGCATGCCAGCATGTTCAGCATGTTGAAGAGCAACAGCAGGAGGTAGATATTGAGGTACGTTCGCATTGCCGGCAATAATAAATATATGGGGGGGGGGGAAAGCAGAGATGAAACAGGAAGCTGACCGAGTGTCTCGCTTTCATTTCCGGCTGGTCTGTGGAACCCGTAGAAGCGAGTGACAAAGCCCGTTACTATTTGCAACAGCTTGGACAAAAGTGGTGGCTTTTTTTTTCACATTGGGACCGGTAGTTGAAAAATCAAGCGTTAGGCATGGTTTCCTTTTTTGCTGTCTTTTTTGTTTTACTAATTCGCTACTCTTTCTTTTTTCCTTTCAATCATGTCTGGGCTCAACGGAAAGCACAAAAAATACTCGTGGCTGCCCGAGACCAACCCGTCGGCGCTCTCCGGCGACGCCAGCCCAGCGCAGTCGACGTCCAGCCGGCAGGAAAAGCCCGCTAAGGGCAAATCGACACGGGCCCGGTCCAAGGGCAATTCAGGCAATTCAGGCAAATCCAAACCCAGAGGCAAGGGCATCGACATGAGCGAGCCAGCCAGCAGCCTTGGCATAACAATGGTGTCCAGCGAGCCAGCAGCAGAAGACGATGCGTCGGGGCAGCTGGCAGCAATCACACCGCCAGTGTCGAAGCTCGGGCGGAAGCGGCCGCGCAAGGACAGCGTCGACGAGCTAGTGCGCTCGCGGTTCATGTCGAGCCATGCGCCACAGACCAGCAGCATGCCGCCAGCAAAGCCTAGCCGCACCAGCACGCCGCGGGGACGGAAAAAGGCTGTGGATCCAGGCACGCCTAGCATCACTGCCAGTGTCAGGGACGCATTGGCAAGCGAGCGCACAGTGAGCATCCGCGGCTCGCCGTCACAGCAGGGCACGGTGGCCATGAGCAATAACGCGTCGTCGGTGGGCCACGGCAAGCACAGATATCCGAGCTATTATCAGGGCATGCAGATATCGGGAAGCAGCACGCCTGGGAACGCGCACATGGCGATAGGCGACCTGGAGGGAAAGTACTCGTTCCCGGCGTTCCCGATGCTGAATCCGCGCAATGTATCGTCGACGTTCAGGCGCACAGACCGGGGTGTCGGCCCCGTGTTCCAGGACCGCGGGCTGGAGGTTACGACAGGAGAGAACGTCATCGTTATACACCCAGGGTCGAGGTGGCTCAGAGTCGGGCGGGCAAGCGACGCAGTGCCACGGGAACTGCCACATATAATTGCACGCAGGGCCCGTGCAACCAGTCCTGCACTGGCCAAGCCGACCGCAGGGAAAGACACAGCCAACTCGGAACAAGCCGAGGCAGTAAGTGGCGATGTCGAGGCTGAAGATAAGGAGGAGCCAGAAACGAAGGAACCCCCTGTTGCTGAGGAGTCAATTGTCGACGAGACTCTAACAATGCTGCGCAGTGTGCTCAAGGAGCACCAGCGCCAGTCGAAGCGCAAGGCACCGCCCAACGCATACTCGCAGGTGATGTCGTTCAACAAGCAGGCCACGCCCACAGTAATCCAGGACCACAACGACCCATTCAAAATCGAGTGGGTCCACGACGACGAAATTTCGGGAGACTATGTTGTCGGCGAGGCAGCGCTGCGGATTGCTGACACCAGCAAGTTCCTTGTGCGGCACCCAATGCGCAACGGCTGCTTCAACGTCGAGGACTACGCGACAATCGAAGAGGTGCTGGGCGACATTGAGACCATCTGGTGCCACGTTCTGGATACCGAGCTGGGGCTTAAGCGCCGCGACCTGTCCAACTACGGTGCAGTGCTGGTGATCCCTGACCTGTTCAGCCGCATCGAGGTGGCAGCCCTGTCGGACATGCTGCTGCGGAACATGGGCTTCCGGTCGCTTATCCTGCAGCAGAGCTCGACCCTGGTGACGTTCGGTGCCGGCTTCTCCTCTGCCTGCGTGGTGGATATTGGCGCGCAAAAGACCAGCATTGCATGCGTCGAAGACGGATACTGTCACCAGGAATCGCGCGTAAGCATCATGCACGGCGCTGACGACATCACCCGCTTCCTGTTTGATCTGTTCCAGCGCAGCTCATTCCCGTACCACGAAGCCAACCTCAACCGGCTCTACGACTGGACAATCCTGGCTGATCTGCGCGAGAAGCACAGCACGCTGAACCTCTCGGACGTCAACATCCGCATGACTGACTTTTTTGTGCGCGTGCCCGACAGGCCCACGCAAAAGTACAGCTTCAAGACCTACGATGAGATGTACCTGGCGCCGCTCTGCGTGTTCTATCCGTACATCTCAGACGCATACTACAAGATACCCGCATACGCCCGCTCGTTCCTCGGCGGTATCGGGCCCGCCGCCCAGATCGAGACAGGCTGGGGTCCGCCAATGTGCAGCCATATGACGCCCACGCAGTTTGGCATTCTGCCATCACGGCCAATTGAGATTGAGGCGCCGGTGACAGCCGATCAGTTTGCTGAGGCGGCCACCGCCCCGGCCACGGTGCCGGCCACCGAGCCCAGCACTCCCGAGCCCAGCGCTGCCCCGCCTGCCGGCTCCTCGGCCACGCCGGTGGTTGACAAGTCTCTGGTCAGCCATTTCAAGGACATGGCTGCCAGCGAGATAAAGACGCTGCCGCCAACGCCAGTCGTGCCCACAGTCACGTACGTGCCGGACCCCGACTCCCAGTACGCGCGCATGCCCCTGGACGCGGCCATCACACACAGCATCACCCATGTCGGATCTGTCGACCGGGCGCGCAAGCTGTACAACTCGATTGTGCTGGTGGGGGGAGGCGCCGCATTCACGCCGGGCTTTGGCGAAGTGCTGGCAAGCCGGCTCATGTACGTGCGGCCCGATTTCATGCAGTCCGTGGAGCGCGTCGATATCGTGTCGGCGCCGCGCGACCTCGACCCCAGAGTGCTGGCGTGGAAGGGGGCTGCTGTCCTTAGCCGCCTGGAGTGCGCAAGGGAGATGTGGGTCGATCGGACCGAGTGGATGGACTTTGGCACCAAGCTGCTGCGCGAACGGATGCTGTTCCCATGGTGATTATGTATGTCTTTTTTGCATGTTTCTTTTTCTTTCCTTTAAACAATGTTATATCTATCTCGATTCTTTTCGGACCAGCAGCTGGCCTCCGTCAGCATGCCAGCCCTGCAGCCATTTGATCTGGCTCTGGCCCTCGTCCACCAGCCGTGCAATCTGCGGATCATTCGTGGGTAGGTCACGGTAGAGCTCGAATGTGAACCGCGCGTTATGCTTGAGCTTGGCCCGCATCTCCGGTATCGGAAATCCACGCACTTGACGTAGTAGGCCACGATACAGCGACAGGCACTTTGCCCGGTTTGTTTGGACCGCTATAGACTTCACTGGCGGGAGCAGCAATGAAGAATCAGTCGAGGAGAGCGATCGCCGAACAGTCCGTGCATCTGCAATCCGCTTCATGTCCTCCATAGCCGTACACACCCAGTCAGCGATATCAGGAAACCGCACCAGCAGCTTGGGGACATCCTTTATCCCATCAACGCCAGCCAGCTTACAGATCTGATCGTAAATATACAGGACCGTATCCGGGCTGCATTTGTACACACACAGTCGCATAAACGCATGCCACTGGTGGTCAGTCAGCGACGCACCAGTCTGCATGATCCGGCCAACTAATGCAAATGCCCCGTTGACATCGCTTGTCTGGATGCAGTACCGCAGCACCATGGTTAGATCCGATGGCGATTCGGGCAGCTCATACTGCGCGTGGATTTGGTCATAGACGCTCAGGGCCTTTGGGAGTTGGTTGTCCGAGAGCAGCGCACGCATGATGAGGTTGAGCGTCACAGGGTCGCCTGAGCTAGCGTGCAGAGCGGTGGGCTGCGAGATGTTTTCATCGAGCAGCGAGAGTGCTGTGTGCGGATCTTTGGCGGAAAGGAGCGAGGACATAGCCATGTTGAGCAGATAGCTTGTACGGGCGTGCTCAGTACAGCTTTCAGCATCCACAACCGAAGGGGATCGCTGAGAGCTGGACAGGAGCCATTCAGAAGCCTCCCGCAAAACACTCATCACGCCAGCAACGTCACCAGAACGTACATACGCATACATTAGTATGCCCCATGTCACCTCGCTGACCAAGATACCGCTGCTCGATTCACTGCTTTGCAGCATGCAGAGCTCCTCAAAATATGCGCGCACCTGCTTTGGCTGCTTCAGTATCGCCCACGCATACATCAGCGAGTGGTATACCTTCGCTGGCCGCTTAATATTGCACCGCTTCATATCTGCCAGCAAAGAATCTGCGACCTGTGTTTTGCGCAGAAAGAACTCGCCCATCTGTGTCGGCTTGCTTTTCCGCGTCAGCCCGCAGATGATCGCCGTATAGTAATGCACCGATGCCGTAACCCCAGATCGCAGTGCAGTGCGCGTCAGAAACGTAATTGCGCGGATGTCATCGGTGCGTGCCAGACTGTCGGCCAGCACTGCGTAAATTGACTCGGTGGCTGTGAATTTACCCGTGGTGGTCCATGCGGTCCGAGACTCAGCGTCACGAAATACCATGAATGCCTGCTTGACCATATCGTGCGCTGATAGCGAGCGCATGAGCTTGTGTATCGCAGAGACCGATGGAGACTCAAGGCGAGGAGCTAGTTTAAAATGCACAGCGAGCGCACATTGCAACACCTTGTCGGTATCCCCGGGGCATTCTGGCGGTTCGATAGCGGCAAGGATCTGTGATATCGCTGCATGATGTGTTGAATGCAGGATCAGTGAGCTGGTGTCCTCCAGCATCACGTCGACGATCCTTTCTACCGCCTGCCAGTCGTCGCTATGTCTTGTGTGCCAGTATGTCAATAGCAGGTGGAATGTACGTTGGCATTTTAATGCTCTGGCCACAGTAAGCGCATTCTCCAGGCTCCCTTGTCGCACCAACGCACACATTACATCCCTGTGCAGATTTGGGTGCTGCTTTGCAATCTCCGTTCGCCTAAGGGATAAAGTGACCAGCGAATCCCGCGTTGCTCCCTGTGGGTGGCTCGGTAACGCGTACACCGATATTGCAAAGTTAGGCTGACCCGCCCGGAGCGCTGACCGAATCAACGACTCAACAGGCGCTAGGTCCGGCGTAACACCTCGCGCCATCAGTATCCTCATGGCTCTATCTGCCAGATCAATCCGAACCAATGGTGTGTTCGATCCCCGTAATGCCGCCACAGCATCCACACACGCAACGAGTTCTGCCGATATCCGCGACCTCGCAATCCCCGGCGATTTCCTCGCCTGCCGTAGCGCCAAACGCGCTGGTTTTGAAATGCACGCTCCTACCATCTTCGCTAACTTTGGCTGCGCGGCAGACTTGTATGCATATGCAGCGCATGACGAAAACACACAGTCCATAGCTGCCCTTTGCTGTGCGCTTAGATTATTATACATGTCGACCAGCCCGACGTCCTGGTCCGCCAGCAGCGCCGCAAAAAGCATGGTGCAGTCGTCCAAATCGCCGCGCATTTCTGTCTGCATTGTCGCATAGATTCCAGCCAAGATTCCATCGACCGAACACATCCGCTTGACCAGCATGAACTGCGTGAGTGGAGAGATCGTCGTTCCGTCTGCCTTCCAACCGCCATACGCGCGTTTGGACAGCTCAATTATATGTGTCATGTCGTCCCTGCGTATGCAATCCCAGATCGCATGCTCCACATCGCTGAACCTCATGCTGCTGTCGATCTGCATGTGCCGCCGTACAAGATTGATTTTGCCTGAGCTGTTTCGATCATGGACACCACCGTGTGGATCAGATGCTGTAGCCGCTAGGCCTGCTGAGGACACATAGTGTCTGGCAATCCGAAGCGCACACCAGTGCCCGGCTGCAGTTTTTGCTGCTGCTGCCGGCCCGCATGGAAACAAGACACCTGGCGGACACGGCAGTCGTCGTGGTAGCATATATCTGCAACTCTCCCAAAAACGGGGCTTCTATGTGTGAGGCGTTTGAATTAGACGGAAAATACTGCGCTGCCGGCTGCCCCTCCACACTCCTCAAGTGATAAACGGACTATGAATGCAAAAAGAAGAGAAATTCGGCGCGAATGGGAGCAGAGCCAGCAGTGCTTGCACAGCTTTGAGAGCCAGAATAGCAGCACCATTGCTATCTTTTCAGCCCAAAATGGATCTCTGGGAGTGCTGATCGGCGCAAGCGTGATTTGTTGATCTGGGTCTGAAGTTTTTTTTTTTTGTTCGCTGCAAATGCTCAGCTATACATTGACGCCTGCCTGGGACCTTGTTTCTCTCTGCTGCGACTCTCCAAACTCCCCGTTTCAATTTACTTTTTATTCCCACACATTGGCAGAATGGACGAGAAGCTACTGGACTCTAAGGCGACCTTTCTGTCGCTTGATCTGGATGACCGTCTGCTGCGTGCACTGGGCAACATGGGCTTAGTGCACCCGACCCTGGTGCAGGCCAAGGCGATTCCCCTGGCTCTCGCAGGCAAAGATATCCTGGCACGGGCCAAGACGGGCTCTGGAAAGACAGCAGCCTACTGCCTGCCGGTCCTGCACAAGATCCTGCAGGCCAAGGACGAGCTCAGTGTGAACAGCGAGGAGCGGAAGCGGACGCGTTCGTTGATCCTGGTGCCGACGCGCGAGCTGGCGGAGCAGGTGTCCAAGTATATTGCAGATCTGTCAAAGTTCTGCGGCAAGGACATTACAGCGGTGAACATTGCGACTAACGCCGCGCTACATATCCAGGCACCGCTGCTGGCGGAGTCGCCCGATGTCGTGGTCTCGACGCCAGCCAAGATCCTCAAGCACCTTGTTGCCAAGAGCACCAGCCTGGAGACCCTTGAGACGCTGGTGATTGACGAGGCCGATCTGGTGCTGTCGTTTGGCTATGAGGAGGATATCCGCGGGATCCTGGCGCACCTGCCAAAGATCTACCAGTCGATGCTGATGTCAGCCACACTCAATAAGGGCGTGGAGTCGCTGAAGAAACTGATTCTGACCAAGCCTGCGATTCTGCGCCTTGAGGACGACAAGGAGGAGTCGAGCAGCCTGGTGCAGTACGTTGTGAGGTGCACCGAGGAGGACAAGTTCCTGCTGGCCTACGTCATTCTGAAGCTGAAGCTGATTGCCGGCAAGTGCATTTTGTTTGTCAACGATATTGACCGGAGTTACCGTCTCAAGCTGTTCCTGGAGCAGTTCTCGATCCGGGCCTGCGTACTGAATTCGGAGCTGCCGTTGAACTCGCGCTACCACATTGTCGAGGAGTTTAACCGCGGAGTCTACGACTATATAATTGCTACAGACGAGAGTGACAAGATGGGCGAGGGCGATACAAAGGAGGACGAGGAAGAGGAGGAAGAAGAGGCTGTGGAGGAGACCGAGGCGGCCGAAGAAGCCAAGGGCGAGGAAGACGCCGAGGAGGAGAATACAAAGAAGAGCAAAAAGCTCAAGAGCAAAACTAAGAAGCGCAAGCGCGGGCAGGACAAGGAGTACGGCGTCTCGCGCGGCATCGACTTCAAGGGCGTGGCAGCAGTGATTAACTTTGACTTCCCGCTCTCAGCGCGCGCCTACACGCACCGTGTTGGGCGCACAGCGCGCGGCGGCAGGCGCGGCATGAGCCTGTCGTTTGTCACCAAGGAGGATGCGAAGCAGAAGACGGTGCAGGCCAACGAGGAGCCGGTGTTTGAGCGCGTGGCAGTGCAGCAGCGCAAGCAGGGCAGCGAGATCCTGCCATACAAATTCGACATGGCGCAGGTGGACGGGTTCCGGTACCGCGCCAACGACGCAATGCGCTCGGTGACGAAGACGTCGATCCGCGAGGCGCGCATCAAGGAGATCAAGCAGGAGATCCTGAACTCGGAGAAGCTCAAGGCGCATTTCGAAGACAAGCCGCGGGACCTGCAGTTTTTGCGGCACGACAAGGAGCTCCACCCGCAGCAGATCCAGCCGCATATGAGGCATATTCCGCAGTACCTGGTGCCCAAGATCGCTGGCGTGGCTCATGCGGATGGTGTGGCGACGACGCCCGAGGTCGGGTTTGTGCCGTTCAACAAGGACGCGAAGCGGAGGAAGGGCGGCCGGCGCGGCGGAAACAAAAAGTCAAAGAGCGGAGATCCACTCAAGAATCTGGGCAAGAAGCGGCGTTAGGTTTCTTTTTTTGCATTTAGAGTAGCCCATATATGGCAAGCTGCCACGTTTGTTGTTCAGGGGGTATGGTGAGTGCGTACATGGCATGGAAACCGTGCATGTTGATGCCGCGGTATGCCTGGATGCCAACCTCGCACCCACAAATGGGCATGTGGTTCTGAAGGGAACATTGGTGCAGATTGATATGTTGGATTATTGAACACCAATATCTAATTTCCTTTTTGCAATATTTGACAATGAAACGAGAGGCGTCGCACGACACGGATGGAGAACGTCCGAAGAAACGAGCGCATGTCAAAGACACGTCAGACACCATGTTGCCACCGCATGTTGACTATCAGATCCTCTCAACGCAGTACCCAGACCTCAAACAGTACCTAAGAGCGAACACCAACACAGGCAGGCTCAACGTGCTCGACTTCGGCAGCCCAGACGCCGTGCGGACACTGAACAAGGCGATGCTAAAAGTGTACTTTGACCTAGACATCCAGCTACCGGAAAACAGCCTATGCCCGTCGGTTCCCAACCGGTACGGCTACGTGAAATGGCTTGCAGACACGTTTACCGACGAGTTTGGCGATACAGAGGTAGTTGGCCTCGACATTGGCACTGGTGCATCCTGCATTTACCCATTGCTGGGCGCCCGCGCCATTAAAAACAGCAAGTTCATCGGGAGCGATATCAACCAGGAGTCGATAGAGGTCGCCAACGACAACATTAAGCGCAACTGCCTGCTGTCCCGGATCCAAACATACCTGAACACGGCCCGCACGCGCAAGATCCCGCTGGATGCAGCAGGTTTTCCGTACAAGACGCTCTCCTTCTGCATGTGCAATCCGCCGTTCTACGCCAACGAGAAAGAACGTACGAGGCTTGAGAACATGAAAGGCGAGGCGCCGATATTGTCCACCAGTGGCAAGGATGACGAGTTCTATACTGACGGCGGCGAACTCGCATTCGTCATAGGTTTGGTCGACGAAAGCCTTGTTTTCAGAAACAGAGTCCGCTGGTACACGACCATGGTCGGTAGAAAGTCAACGCTGGTGGAGCTCCGAAAAAGACTACGATCGGAGAAGGGTGTTGTTCGGATCAAGGAGCACAAGATCACACTGGGGAAGACCACACGGCAGTTCATTGCATGGTCGTTTGACCGGTCGCCGCTCCGGCAGCTCACGATACCGAGAAATTTGCAGAGCGCAATGCAATGGACTCTGGATACTTCAAAAGACCTTGGGATTAGTGTGCAGCTGGTAGGGGAGTTGCGAGTGGAGCTTTCGGCGACCCGCGTTACGTGGTCGCGAAAGGCACGACGCCAGGCAAAGCTCCAAGCAAGCAGCTCGGAGGATGTGCCAAGGGACCTGATCCTCGAGGCCACAGCAACAATGAACGAGGTGGATGGCAACTGGACACGTATCGACCTGCTTGCCAGCACCAGCCACGACCTGGCGTGCTTTGAAACGCTCTACACACACCTGCTTCGGCGGATATCTGAGCTATCACAATGAATAAAGGAATGGAAGAAAGGAAGTCTAATTTCTGCCAAAAATTCTGGTCAGAACCGACAGGTACGTCATGCTGATAGTGGAGGGGTCGTTCTGGTAAATGCTCATCAGGACGCCTGTGGCAGCCGAGAACAGAGCGACCTCGCCATGCCGCACATTCTTCCACCAGCGGCGCTTGACGCCGACATCCCAGCCGGACTCGAGGGCGCGCAGGAAACAGTACATGGCCAGCTCGATGCGGCGCGACGGAGCCTCGAGCAGCACCGCCAGGCCGCCGACCGACCCGGTGATGATGTACGACCAGTAGCTCTCGCGGCCGAGAACCGCGCGCATGCCGCACGAGAAATTGATGATGCCAACGATGAGCACAGCCAGAAACACCGAGCTGCGCACGCTGGATTTGATCAGGCTCAGGATCACCCCACGCGGGTCCTTGGCCAGGCGGTGGCGCTTGAACAGCAGCAGCACCGCAAGGTTGAGCGGCGTGTAGACGCGCATGGCCAGCGGGAAGACGTTGAAGAGGATGTACAGCATGCCCCTGGTGCAGCTCTCGGTCTGCGGGTGCAGGATGCCGCAGACGCCGAAGCCGTGCCGGATCTCGCTGCTGAGCGCCGGCAGCAGGACGTCGGCGTACTTTTCTGATGCAAAGTACTCCCGCGTGGTCATGCCGGCGGGGATCCGGCCGTGTAGGAGACTGCCGGGCTGTGTGGCCTGGCCCACGGTCCGGCTGATGCTCGTGAGCGCCAGATTGGCTGTGTCCGGGTAGAACCTTTCGTACCCGCTGGCACGCGTCAGGAACTTGACGTAGCCACGGGGCATGACTTCGGTTTCAAACAGAATGCACATGCCGATAACGCAGCACGACGCCGACATCAGCGCCGTGGACGAGTACTTGCGGATCCAGCCGACGATCCGCTCGATAGTCTCGGCATGACGGGCCTGGCGTTTCGCCTCCTTGCTGTTGTCTGCGGTGTCGGGCGACCACCGCACGTTCTGCTTATCTCGGCTGGGCCCGGGGCCCGCCTGCGACATATGCAGGCCTTTCAGGTGCTTATGCTGGACATCCCCGGCAATCATGCTGCCGGCCGAATACGACCGCCGCACTGACTGGCGCAGGGTGCGGTCGTCCTTGAGCTTCTGCTGCTTGCTTGTCCACCGGTCAAACACCCACATACACCCGTACTGGAGCGCCCGCGAGACCATATACAAAGTCACTGCCGTGCGCCTGGACCGGCTGCGATCAAGCTTAATCGAGATAAGCCCGGCCAGCATCCCGGCCACCAGTGCATTCGTATAGTCGCTGCTGTGGGCGCCGCGCCAGCGCCTGAGCGTGCACAGAAAGCCCTTGTAGGCGCCGATCAGGACCGACAGGAACGTGGCAAAGCTGGCCGTGTCCCGGTTGAACGCGCGCAGGAGAACCCTGGGATTGCGGAACAGCCGCAGTGTCAGAATATGCGGCGCCACTGCCAGCCCGTATTTGACCACGTAGCCAACCAGGAACGCCTTCAAGAAACCGCGCACTGCGTTCTGCCTACATGTCGTGCCCTCATGCAGGCATACGGCCTCCTCGCGCTGCCGCTTCTTCGACTCAATGGCCATGCGCCGCAGGTCGGTGCTGCTATGTAGGCGCTCCAGCTGCTGGTGGAACCGCCGGAACCCAGCCACCACCGACTCTTTCTCCTTGTCGGTCAGCGCATAGCTGGTTATGCGCGCTATCGTCTCGATAAACGTGTTGAGGAGAACCGAGGTACTGTCTGCTGCGTCCGCCATGACATAAGGAATACAAAAAAGAAGAAAAACTGCTGAGAACACCTGAGGAGGAGAAGTGAGTGTCAATCGCGGGGCAGTCGGAGGCCAGCTTTGGTCCTTCACAATGCACCGTCACGTGGGAGTCGGGTACCTTGTTTTGCCGAAGTCGGGCTACGCTGGAGGTTTTTGTGACTTGCTATTTTTTGAGCGGTTGCGCGTGAGGCATGCATGCCATTTCAGGCAAATCCCACCACCCAGTTAGTGCACCAACCAGCTGGACCCAACGCGTGGTCGGGGTAGAGGTCAACCACTCGGCAGGACTTCTGCGTACCAATACTGCATTGGGCTACTACATGTGAGCACTGCAAAATACAATGCCTGTGCCCTGACGCGGATACAGGCGGATGTATGTTTTGTGTAGCTTTTCCATAGTATTCCAGTAGTCTGAATCACGATTGAGTAGTTCTCTAGCAATCCCAGAACCGCATCTGGCTCCAAGAACTATCGCCCTTTCGAACCCCACCGTCAAGTAAAGGGCATGTTAACTACTGGTCGACATGTAGGTGGGTTCCATCTGACTTCATTTCTTGATTAAGTTTCCACAAGCTTTAAAATGTAGTTTACGGGGCTGTCATTTGGATAAAACACCTGCAGACAAGATCCATGCCATACACATAATTTAGCACAGCGCGTGGAACTGCAATGTGTAAAACACCTGATACCAGCGAACATCATATTACAGACCCTCTCCCTGTTAACCTGTGGCTTGTTATTGGTATTCTATGTGGAATACTGGCAGACCTCTTTCTGCCGCATGATCCTGCGTTACAAAAATTACTCAATACTGCGTTCTGAATATCGGGTTTTGTGGCCTAGACTGGCCACAAAGACGTTTAGTCACCCTCCAACGTCTACTGCTATAACTGCTATACGTGCCCCCTTGTCATTTATAGTCGAAAACATCCATCCTTGATCTCCTGATATCGTGACGTTTCAATGCGGTGTTTTGAAAACATTTCTCCACGTGGCTTTTTGACAGCACAAGGATGCGTTGCGGCTGCTCTCCTTTCTCTCTCGTATTTTTCGTGCCATCAACTATGGAGCTACAACTTTCTGCTGCGCAACGAGTCCCGTCAGACGCACTTGGTCTTATATTCGATTTCATCGAGTATGGCAGACGGTTGAAGGATGGGTGGGAAAAGCTGGGTCAGAAAAGGGTGGTCGGCGGTACCGCGTCGCTTCTTTCGATTGCACAAGTTTGCCACGCATGGAGAGTTGTCGCTTTGCCATATTTCTACCAGAACACCGAGACCCTTCTTAACCCCATCTTCCATGCAGCCGATTCAGAACCAAAACTCATCTATCCAAATCTCTCTATGGCAGCTGCTGCCGGACAAAGCCTATCAGTTCGTTCCGCACACCTCCGCCTGTCGCTTGATCACATTGCCAACGGTGCCTCCATCCGCCTGTTGAATGCCGGTGTCCCTCCCACAGTGACATTCCCAAATGCGTCTGAGCTCAAACTTTCTTTTTACAGCAGCAACGACTTTGACCGTGCTGACTACTCTGTACAAGCCGCGGCTTTTACTGAGCGCATCTGCCAGCTGTTTCCCAAGGCACATGATGTCTCGTTCATTGTCTGCTCATGGCTGTGGAATGGCTCAGAGGATGTATGGAGAAGCCTCATGCATAGCATTGTCCCTACACCGAGAACACTCATCTGCTGCAAACTTTTAAATGAGTCCACTACCCTTCGAGATGGCATCAGCAACGGGGTTCGGCGCTTATATCTCGGCACAAACGGAGGTACAGGCTACTACCCAATTGTTCATTCGAATAGGGGCACTGTCGAGGAGCTTGTAATTCGGGTTGCTGTGGACCATTCGCACACTGCTCATAGGTGGAACATGCCTGTCAACCAGGATCCACTATTCAGCTACAAATACCCAAAACTTGCCAGACTGTCCATAGAGACACGCGGTGACGCCAGAAAACTCTTTACGAGATCAGCCACCAACCGGTTCCCATCTCTAACTAGTCTCTCCCTTCTCACATTCTGTGAGGTTGACATCGGATCTTTAGTCGGGGATCGAGGTGAAACACTGACATCACTTACGATGTATCTCACTGAGTCTCTGGTTCAATCGCTTCGGGATCGCCTGTTCCCTAGCCTTGCGTATGTTCGGATTTTAGGGAGCATATTGCATGTATTTATTGTCAACGACAACGAAGCTCTAGCAAGAGCTGCAATGGAAGTGGTACAACTGCCATTTTTGATAGCGCCTAATGCCGAAATGATCGAGAACTATGTCGTTTCTGGCCTGCCCAATCTTTCACACTCATCTGTGTTCCCGGATAATCACCCACACCCACGGCTTCAATATCTGGTTCTTTGCCGGCTTTCTCTCTCCCTCAGCCAGTTCCACCAAATTTTGGTCTGCCTACCAGGGCTCACAAGAGTCAGACTCCGCAGTGTCGTATCTGACAACGGCGCCAGCTATGAGTATTCTGACGACGAGATCCGTACTCTGTTAACTGGCCTCCCAGTCTTTAGCACTCGCTTGAGACGGCTTGACTTTGAAGAGGTAGTGCGCTGCAGTGCAGGGATGGTCATCGCCATTACAAAGCTGCCTTCTCTCCGGATGGTCACAGTTTTGGGTATTCCCGCCGAGGTGGGCTATCTTATGGACGAAATCGACAAGCCGGTATACCACGAGTATCGCAACAGCCTGAACAGACTGCTGTTCCATGGGGTGGGCGATTCGTGGAGTCAGCCGCATCCCGATTGGTGATTTATTTACCTCCACTCTGCTGCAACAATAAAACTAGGTGTGTTGCGTGCCCACCGCGGCAGTCCCTGACGTCGACATGTTGGTTGAATCAGGTGAGAGCATGTCGAGCGCCAACGAGAGCCCCGCTACAGCCTGCACAATGGAGATAACATCAAGCCTCTGATAAGCTGCACAAACGACCGCATTGGACATAGCCCACGCAGCTCGTATTTTCTCTTTTCTCTCGTTTCTTCAGTATTAAATATCACCTTCATATCCTCCACACATTCAGCGAACGCAGCAGGTATTTACAATGTATGTGATTCGTTTGGACAATCATCAGTGATCTGCTGATCCGATCACCCAGCATTGCGCATTCAGAGCACAAGAGGACAAATTTTCCTGGCTCGTTTCCAGCCATCCACTTTTCACTCTTCAACAGCCCAGCATACGGAAAATAACAACTTTTTACCTACAACCTTTGCCGTGTAGAGAAAATGTCGCAAGAAATCAACGTGGAGGAACTTCTCGATGCGCCATTCAAGCGGGAAACAGAGGTATTAACGAGCCGCGAATGAAGACACAGCAGATGCTGTTGATGCAAAGGTAAATGCAAAGCTGAATGCCTCCTCCCCGACTGCAGTGAGTGGCATCTGCCGCTGCAACAGATCGTGTAGACGAAGACAAGACCGAGGACCGGCACGTGGATCCCCGGCGTATTCGCGGTCGCGGCTCCAGCCGTGGCCATCGGCGTAGCAGCCGTCGCCGTAGCCGCACGCGTAGTCGGTCGCGCAGCCGGTCGCGCAGCCGGTCGGGCAGTCGACGCTACCGAAGCAGATACTACGGCGACGATGACGACGACATGTACCGGCGGCGTCGCCACTACCACCGCAGCGAGCGGCGGTACGGCAGCAGATTACCGGCGACGACGACGATGACCGGTATTACCGTCGGTCGAGCCGGTATAGCGATGATCGGAGCGAATATAGGCGGCCATCGAGCCGGCGGCAGTCCACGGTCGCCATCGCGGTCGAATGGGCGCCGGCGCAGTCCAATGCAACGCGATCTCCGTCGCCGGCGGTGGACGATGCTGATCGGGACCTGCGCACAGTGTTTGCGATGCAGCTGTCGGCAAACTTGACGCGGCGCGACCTGATGGAATTCTTCGCCAAGGCGGGGCGTGTGCGTGATGCGCATATAGTGTCCGACAAGGGGTCACGGCGGTCACGCGGTGTCGCCTACGTCGAGTTTTATTCGATCGAATCGGCGATGAAGGCTGTTGAACTCAGCAACGAGCGGCTGCTGGGCGTGCCGATTATTGTGCAGCCGTCGGAGGCCGAGAAGAACCGTCAGGCGTCGCTGAAGCAGTACAGTGCGGCGGGCGTGCCGATGAACCGGACCACGCCGATCAACAGCATGATCCATGTCGACGGACTGGTGGTCAACATGGAGTCGAGTGATCTGCGCATGATCTTTGAGCAGTTCGGGCCTGTAGTCCACTGCCGCGTCATGCAGGCACGCGATGCCAAGGGCGATGTCATCGAAAATGAATGGGCTGCGGCAGTCAAGTATGCGTCGGCGACAGTTGCGCAGCTGGCGGCCGAAAAAATGAACGGCTTTGATCTGGTTGGGATCGAGCCTGCGCGTGCGCATGGCGACCAAGACTGAGCTGGAGCGCGAGGAGACGCTGGCGCGTAGCGAGGTCAGCAAGCTTGTTGCTGGAAGCGGAATTTCCCCAGCTACTGTGCCCGCGGCTCGCTCTACTGCGCCTGGCACCCCTGCAGAGACGGAAAGTGCTATCAGGTCTGTAGCAGTGCTGCTGACAAATATGTTTGATCCGGCTGAGGAGACCGAGCCAACGTGGGTCGAAGACCTGAGCGACGACGTGCGTGACGAGTGCGTAAAGTACGGCCGGGTCGAGCGAGTGTTTGTGGATCGCGAGTCGTGCGGCAATATCTATCTCAAGTTTGCCGACGAGGAAGCGGCGGAGCTGGCGCGCAAGGCCATGAACCACCGGTGGTTTGGCGGGCGACAGGTGGTTGCGCAGTTCATTCCGGTAGAGCGCTTCGAGGACGCTGTGTCACTGTAAGAAAAGCGCCCTCTGCCCCGCGTCTATTTACCCCCTCATTGGCCACAGACCCAGCCTTTATCGCAGTACTGGTGCAGGCACTGCGGGCATTTTTCAAAGGGTGCTATTTCTGTTCTCCTTTCGATTTTTTATTTCGCAGTCTCGCATTCCTTTCTTCATACACTACATTCATATTGCAATGAGTACCACACAGAGCTTGAATAGCAGTGGCAGCAGAGTGTGCGGCACAGAAAGCGTCGAGCCGGCCACTGTCGCGACCCCACAGATTTTTAAGGACGCAGACACGGAGACACAGCCGTTGTTGGGTGGCACGCGAAACAAAAGTGGTGGCTATAGCACAGCACTCTCGCGCGAGTTCACCGTTGGCCCAAACCAGCAGCGACTCCGAGGAGAGCGAGAGCGAGCGCGAGTACGAGGCCGTAGACATTGGCTTGTACGAGGATACGTTTTCGTTCCGCAAGCTGTGAGGTTCGCGGGACCTGGGTTCGCAATGTAAAGCGCTGGGAGGACATCGCGTGCGTCAATCAATTTATTGCGCAATTCATCTGCTACATGCACACGCTGATGACAGCCTGTATCCGTCTGTTTAGGTCAATAGCGTATGTGGACCCAGGAAATGTGTGCAGCGACCTGCACTGCGGCGCAGTAGCTGGGTACAAGCTGATCTGGCTCCTGTTCCTTACCCATGCCCTGGGCCTGTACATTCAGACGCTTTCAGCGCGCATTGGCACAGTGACGGGCAAGAACCTTGCACAGCACTGCCGCATGCGGTTCGGTAAGCGCATCAGGATCCCCCTGTGGCTTGTGTGCGAGCTGGCAATCATCGGCTCGGATATCCAGGAAGCCATTGGCACGCTATCGCCCTGTACTTGCTGTTTGGGATCCAGGTGTGGGCAGGGATCCTGCTGGCTGCTGTGCTGAGCTATGTGATTCTGGGGATCCAGAAATTCGGCGTGCGCAAGGTCGAGGCTCTGTTTGTGGCATGATTGCGGTTATGTGCGGGTGCTTTGGATTCGAGGTGTTCTTGGCCAAGCCCGACATTCGCCAGGATCGCCATAGGGCTTTCTGGTCCCAGAGAATCGCGCAATGCAATGTGCAGGCCGTCGGCATTGGTGGGCGCGGTGAATCTGCCGCATAATTCTGTTCCTGCCTTCGGCGCTGGTTCGGCACTCGGCGGATCAAGCGACGCGCGGCTGTCGCAGCAAGAGCATCCGGAAGTCCTGCGAACTTTACAACACCATCGAAGTCGGCATTGCCCTCTTTTTCTCATTCATAATTAACGCGACCATCCTGGTCGTGTTTTGCCAACATCTACAACACAGGCATGGCGTGCCCTGGACGTACGAGCCATCTGCCGGGTCTTCATTGACGCGCCGATCTTGCTGGGCCGCGCCTTTGGGCAAATCGGCCGCTGCTGTGGGCATCGGCCTGTCTGTCGTCGGGCCAGGCCTCACGGCCACAGGCACGTGGCCGTGGCGTACCTGATGGAGGGCATGATGGATCTAAGGATAACCCGTGCTGGCTACGCATGCTTGGTTGACGCGCTCCGTGTCGCTTGTGCCCCCAACCATGCCTCAGTTGGCCACCCTGGCGGAGCTCGTATCTGGACCAGTTCGACGAGTGGTCTGAAGTCCTGCGAGCCTTGCGCTTGCCGTTGCGCGAATTCCGACGCTAAAGCTGGCGAGAGCAAAGCGTCATGGGAGGCGAGTTTGCGACGCTCACGGTGGTGGCAGGCGCTTTGGATGGGTGGCCAGCGCCAGCATTATTTGCTTTGAATAATCTATTTGCTGCTGCGATAGTGAGCAGGTTGCGCGACGCGCGGAGTGACCGCGCGGCCGTTGCTGCAGTCGTACGGCATGGTTTGCTCTGTATATGTCATTCGTGTCGCAGTGCTGACGTTTTGCGAAGGCTGAATTAAACTCTCTTCCACTGCGCGCGGGAAATGGGCAGCGGTTCCTGGGCCCACCTGGGCGTGTGCGCTCTTGTCCTGTCAAACACCCGGTCATCGCCTGCCAATTGCTGTGTTGTCGAACCTGGTACTCGCAGTCAGCGAAAACTTGCAGCGTGCGAACGAGACCGTCTTCTCAGCCTTCTCGATCTCGATTAAACTGGGCGCTGTTCATGAACTCGGCCAGAGGCTTTTGCTTGAGGAACTTGAATTCAAACGCCGGGAGTGGTCGTGACTGATTATTCCCCGTGTGTGATCTCTCGCCCGCCACGAATCGGTGGGCGACTAATCATCGCAGGTGTGCTCATCCAATAGCTCCGCACAAATCGCCGATCTGCGGATCGCTTGCCAGCGACTGCAGCAAACATTCGACTTGCCACACCGAAGCCACAAAGCTCAGGCAGTGGCGAATGAGACCCGACGATACTGCTGAGCAGACGTCAGCGGAGTCGCTGCCGAGTCGTTGTCATCGATGTTTAATGCGAGCAAGGGTTGCAAGGGATGTTGGTGCCGACGTGCCCTAGTGTTGATGCCAAACGGTCAGTGAACTTGTCAATGCCAGACTGCTTCGCCTGTTCCCACTATGCCAAGCACTCGCGAGCGCTTCAACGGTCCCCTGGTTCTTTACCACGAGGCGGATTGACTTTTCAGATACTGCGAGTGCCAGCCACTCGGTGATGTCTGTGATCCTGACATGCTCGACACGCGTCGCGAGTGGCTAGTCAGAGTCTGCACATAGACTCGTCGTCATTGTTGAATCATGCTCTCCACCGCGGCGCAAGCGCGTCATCAGGATATCCCCGGAGCGTGTTGGTTTCACCACGCAGGCGTCGGAGTAATGGTTTGTCGTGAGCTGGTGGCCGGCACGACAGGAACCCGCGGAACTGCTGCGTCAAAGTCGCATACAGCTTCCAAATGTCATCATGTTGATAGCACTCGCGCGTCTGGCAGCTCTTCGCTCTGCTCGCCATGAACCCGAGGCAACCTGTGTCCTCGCCTGGAGCAATGGGCGTCACGAGATCTCGCGCGGGTGTGCGACAATGTACGGCACTTCATTAGAACTCTTGCCGACAGTTAGCTTGAGAACAGCGACAGCACAGCAGCCAGGAAGCGGCTCTGTTTGGCAAAATCAGCATGCTTGAACAGCCGTCCTTGCTCAGCCTGGGGCTCAGCCACCAAAAGCCACCGCAGAATCGGCTCCACCCTGCAGTGTTCCTGCCTGCCGTGGCCTGAGGCTCTCCTGTCGCCTGCGACATAACGTCAGCTGCCCGCACAAACCACGTCGTCTCCTTTCGATCTCCTCCTCGGTCAGGGGTGCGCAGAAGTTCGCTTCCTTGCTGAGGCACCCGCATCTGCATGCGCTCAGCGCACATCAAGTCGAACGGATCTTCCTCGTCACGTCTGTGTCATTCTCTTTGGCCTCGAGCTCGCAAGGCTCAAACACCTCGTCCAGCCCTCCTTTCACGGTACCGGCTGCCTCGCTTGGCGTACTCTCCATTGGCAAACGCATACTCCTCGCCGTCGCCAAAAATATCCTTGCAACTCGGCCCACGTGTTCGTCCGTTCAATTGCCATCTAGCGTATCGCCAAAGTAGCTGGCCATGGCGCCAGTCGCTACCCCCAAGGGCGCGAGGCACGCCCATATCACCGTCGTCAGTCTAGTCTTGCCGCCTTCTTGCCGCGGTCATCGACTGCCAGGTCGTCCTCGATTACCGTCATCCATCTCGTAGCCGATCACGGGTCAGACCGTTGGCCGGTCCTCTGCGACGCCTGTCGTTTACGCCTGATTTGAACGGTTAGTCGTCGGCTGCCAACTCGTTAATCATTCGTCGTTCGAACCTAGACAAGACCGTCATTTTATTAGTCATCGCGACGTCCACCACCAGACCGCTTTCATATACGTCGTAGCCATCAGCCGCGTTTCGCATCGAGTATCCGCCGCGATCCCGTGTCGCTCGTGCCGTCGTCTGACCCGCCATTGCTCGACTACGGTCAATTGAGCTCAGGCATCGAGATCGTCCTCATCGTCAAGGGCCCTGTCCGCCGAGCGCCCGCGCTTCAAGCCGCCTTAAACTTTGACCCCGATGCGCCTGTCGAGTACTGAGGCCCTGTGTTGGTATTCTCAGCAACCAGCGCCAGGTCCCTCTTCGTCCAGCAGATCGTCGCCGTCGTTGTTCGGTCGTTGACGGTTTCGGCGCTGGCGTGGCGGCGCTTCTTCTTCTTTTTCTTTCTCCGCCGCGCCTCCTTCATCATCAGACCACGTCCTCGACATCGTCGTCATCTACAACGAACCTCGTCACGCAGTCTTCCAATATCTGTTCATCATCCTCTTCGTCCTCGTCATCATCGTCAACGCCAGGCGAATGATCAAACGTTCCGAGCCTTCTTCCTCGTCCGGTCGTCGTCATAACACCACGACGGAGGCGATGTGCGCTCAGCCCGACGTAGTCATCGATGTCAGACATCCTTACACACGACACAAGGTGACAGCTACCTGATTTTAGCTCAATCGTCCCAAATTGCCTGCTCAAATTGGCAGATGATTAGGGCCAGTGCCTGTTAACGTCACCCGTTGTCTTCCGTGCATCTATCGGTACGAGCGTTTTTAACAAAATAAAATAGGTACACGAGCTGCACCAGCTTTATATTCCTTCTCTACCTCAAATGAGTTCAAGTAGGACGAAGGAAAATTACACGAGGGAGTTAGTTTGAGAGCGAAAAAGAGAGGAAATTAAAATGGTCGCTTGAATTTTTAGAGAACTGAGCAGACACGCAAAATTCGAAATCGCGTGTTGAAATCGGGGCCAGCGTGAAGCGCGTAACAATGAGTGTTTGATTTTATTTCTGGCGATCCTTTGATCCATTTAGCCACTGTCCTACGGACTAGCACCAGAGATCCTTCATGGTCCATGTCTCGCAAAAGTGTAGCGCACTTGGTTCAAGCGTAGCCATTTATTTAGAAACCACTCAGCCAACACTGCTCCAGAACCTGTTCTTCGAATACTGAGAATCATGGCGGGAAGTGTACAAAGACACATAAAATCCCTGCTTTGGTGGACGACAGGCTGTATCTTCACCCCGACCTTCGCCAATACGGTACGGGGAAGTCGGGCGAAATCCGGAGATACCAATAGCCGAAATCGTCGTGTATATCTTTTTGAACCTGACATGGCTAGTGACGACTATTGACTCTGACTGCTGTATCGGCTGGAGACAGAGGGGAGGATGCGAACGATGTCGCGACTTACGCTCAAGTGTGCTATAGTACTCTGTTGCATAGTTCTTTTGACAGAGTTCACGGCGTGCGAATTTTGATCGCAACATCGGCTAAATGATTCGGATGTGGTCTCGTGAAGCACCACTTTCTAATGGATGGCGAACGATGGCCAAATCAGAGCATTCCCTACGTAGTTTACCAGCGTGGCTCAATACAGGGGCGCACGTTGTAAGGAATCGATATTTTCTGGAGGATGGATGGCATTTTCAGACCTCTCAATAGGGAGCTGTACTTGGTTTTGCTCAACTCGTTAAAGGACCTCCTTGTTGCCTGTGCCAAATGGTCTTCGATATCAGTGCAGCGAGCACATCGTTGGTTAGAGAGCGCGTGCCGTTCTGGAGCAGACCTGAGTACCTCCTTGCGTAGGTTATCAAGTACATCTCTGTCACCCGGTACAGCGTTCCCTTCATTTCTGTCTGCTACAATGCTTGTCATAAAACTGGCCTGGCTGCGCGGGCGTTTGAGGCACCGACTGGAAGAGTATTGTATTTCGTTGGATCCAGGCTTTTGACGAGTCGGGGCTGTCAAGCGGAATAGCCCTGATCGAAGTGGACCCCTCTGTGGGAGTAGGTGCCATCGACAAGCACACGCGTTTCGTAGGCCCAACGTTGGATGAACCCTGTAGAAGCCCTCGCCGTCTGCCAACACCGTGGCAGCCACTAACCAAATAAAGCAACGCCTGAGTTGTCCACTGATTCGAACTGATATGAACGCTGAGCATTTTGGTATTTCCCCCGTCTTTGCGTCAGTAGGGGTATGCCGCCCTGTCAGACATGATTCCTGGGCCAGCTCTTTGGCGTTGTAGTGGAATGCCTTGATGCTGCCAAACGGAATATCTTGACGTCGACTCTAAATACCCCGGGCATATTCAGGTTGTTCTTGTCGACGCACAGCTTAACGCCCTCCCTCTCGCAGACTCTTATATTCTCCGGCGGTAAACTGGTAGCGCAGATAAAACGCCGATAAAATCCCTTTCTCCAGCTGGTGCTGTTCCATAAGTCGGTATCACCAGCACTGTTTCGTAGAAGCTGATGAGTCTGCGTGTTTGTAGCAGGTCACTGTTTAATCCATTCACATTTACGTGGATATCCTGCGAGACCACCGAGCCAGTTAATTCATCCACGGTCATTTTTAATGGACGGAAAGAGATGTAAATAGAGTATGCCGAAATCCTTGACAATCTATGCTTTTTATTTGATGAGTAGACGAGCTCTTATATCCAAGGCCTGTCAGTGAGGGGAGGCTGGTTTGATTTGTTATATGCGGCTCGTGTCTGCAAGGAAGTAGTATAGTGGATTTCCGCAGACCTTGCCAATGTACTGCGGTTGCGCAGCCTGTGAGTCATTGCTTTTTTGACAGACACGAATGGCTTGCTCAGGTGCGTCATGGCACTCTGACGCATGAAGTATGTCCCTGTATAGTAGCGTAACTAGCGTTGCTGCTGAACTCCTGAAAGAGGTAGTAATGGTTATTGGTGAATACACATGGAGACCCTAGTTCACCAGCTTCCGCAACGCCGTTTTCCAAAACTTCGTTCTTTGCAGGACACTGTCGAGACGGCAGGCGTGTCATTGTGAAAACATAAATGTCGTTGCTTGGAGGGCTAACAGCAGGATCCGCACGCCGACCCTGGCCAGGTAAGGGCGTGGTGCAACAAAGTTGCCTACACCAAAGTCCAAGTTGATCTCATAGACCCTAAAGCTTGAGTGGTTGGTCAGAATGGCAGTATGCTTGAACGGGTATCAGCGCCAGCGTGTTAGCCGACCTTTTCAGGATCTCCCTCAATACTCGCAAAGAAACTGCCTGGACATGATGTACTGACCGCGATTCCACGAATGCGCACCTTTAGCGCCATCTCAGCCAAGCGGACTGGCTGTAATCAGCCGAGGCAGAGCCGTCGAACGGTATGCCGTAAACGAAGAATGTACAAACCATTCCCTATTAGCTTGGCGAGGACTCACCAGGGACTGCGGATATTGTAGGGCAAAGGCGACGCATTGGAGAGGCGGCTCCATCACTCACCAGCAGGAGCAGACTCTTTTCAGATGCCTCACCAGCTAGTAGAGTCTTTCAACAGCCCACGCCGCAGCGTTGGACATCACGCAGTGAGCACGTCGTTGGTTGATAGGCGCGTGCTCTCCTGAAATAACTCCAGGGTCTCTCTTCGAGATTGTCGAGATGGCTCTGTTTGATTCGTAGAGATTTGCTGATCGTATCCACCATCTTACGATCTCCTTGTGGCACATTTCATTGGCGAGGCTCGAAAAGAAAGACTGGAGGTTTCTTCGCTCGATTTCACTACTCATTGCTTTCGGCGTTTAGGAGTCCAAAAGATTGCTTGACCGCCGTCAAAGTTGAGTGGGTAGGTTCCGGTCCGGTGTACCTCGACAAGCGCACGCATCTCGTCTGACCAGCGCCGTACAAACGTTCGTGTACATGCTCGTTCCCATCATGCTACGGATATGATGGCCACACACGTATACAAAACTACACCAGAGTTGTCCTTGCAACGCACGACATCGTGCGTTGAGCATCTTTGGTGACTTCCGGGTTTGGGCATCTCAGGAAGAGGGATGGCTGTCTACGTATGAGCCAGGCGGCCAGCTCTTGGGCTGTACTTTCGTGCCTTGAGATCGCCGAGGGAAACATCAGACTCTGAGACCGGTAAACTTGGCATATTGAGGTTGTCCCTGTCAATCACCAGCTCTGTCTGCCGTCCGATCTCGTTCGTGCCACTCCAGCATAGCTGGGAAACACCACAAGAGTCTTGTAGAATGCCTGCTCTAGCTTGGTGCTGTCCATAAAATTATCGGCACCAGCCTCGTTCTCGTAGAAAAATATCAGCTGGATATTGAAGGAAGATAGCACCGTGTCGCACACGTTTAGATAGGTCGTCTGCGAAACGACTGAGTCCTTGAAGGTGTCCATTATTCCAAGAGAAAGAGCAAGTGTCTGTTGTGAGTGGAAGCGAAGATGAGTGCTGCAAATGTCTGGAGAAAAGCGAACAGAATATAAACCCAGTATCCTGCCATTAGGCTTACGCAGGGTGCATCATACTGGCGGGACTTGCCGCAGAGGCTCAGATAAGGGGAGCCCGCTTTATCCGCATGCCTTTTCCATTGTCTGCTCTAGCGCACTACTGCACCCAGGCGGAGCGCCATGCATGTCGATATTGCAAGCTACTTTAACATGGCTAATCCGCCTATAGAAGGTTCTAATACACAAATTCAGCGATGCCATTCCAGAACTTGTTCCCACGAATGCTCTTCAGCATTGAGGGAGTGTCGATGATGAAGACGTGGACATCATTGCTTGGTGGGCGCACCGGGAGTATCCGCACACATGACGTCGTTGAGTGCGGCCGAGGGGAGGCGAACACGGGAATTCCGTATCCAAAATCCTGTTCATATATCTTGAACCGCGAATGGTTGGTGATGATGGTGTCATGCTTGTGCTTATCAGGCGAAGCTCTCGCTGAAACAAATGGCACCGGATCAGCTTCGATGCCGTTGAAAACTCTGTAACCTGCTGTTTCTGAACTGAGCTGACAGCTTTGCGGATCTTGCATGCGACCTGAGCCAAAGACTCCGGATGTAGTCTCAGATGCTGAGCTTTCAAATGAATGTGTGAATGACAGCGGGTACAGGCCATTGCCTATATAATTTGTATATGGCCTCACCCAGACGTGGACGCACATTACATGCGATACCAATCTTTTGGAGCGGCAACACAGCTGATACGTTGGATGAGGTAGGAGCCAGATCAGCACCATCATCAGTCTGATCCTTGGCTGCTTGCGCCAGGGTTTTGGCTATCAGTGCTGAGAGCACATCGTTCGCCGAGAGCCGCATGTTCCCAGAGGTATGTACGCTAACTTCTGAGCCCAGACGATCCAGTTTGTCCTTGCTAACTCGATACAGGCTGTCTTCGTTGCCACTGGCTAAGATGCCCTTCTGGTATTCCCTGTTGCGCTCCGTCGAGAACAGCGACTGGACCTGCTCGAGTTCTTTGGAACCCAGCTCTCTGCGTGATAGAGCAGAGGCATCGGTTAAGATCGACCGATCGAACGAGAATGTATCTGTAGGAGCAGGCATACCCTTGACCAGCGCACGCATTTCATCTGCCCATCGCTGAATGAAGGTGTAGAACCCAGTGCCGTCGGCGATAGCATGGCTACCGCAGACAAAGATAATTATGCCTGAATTGTCCTTGCACCGAACAGTATGCACATTGAGCATCCTGGTTTTCCCATCTCTGGCGTCAGGTAGTGGCGTTGTTTTCAACAGATAGCAGACCAGGCGGCCAGCTCACAGGATTGTATTTCGCTGCTTGAGATCGCCGAAGAGGATATCCGTCGTCGATTCAGCATAGCTGGGCATGTTCAAGTTGTCCTTGTCAATTGACACATCCAGCAGCCCGTTAGAGCTCCAATGAGCCATGCCTGCATAGACGGGGAAGGCGCACAGTGCTCGGTAAAATGCCTGCTCGAGTTTGTCGCTGCTCATAAAGTCGGCATTGCTGGTGCTGTTCTCGTAGAAGCTGATGAGCTGGATAGTAAGTGAAGACAAGTACGCATCACCAATGCTCAGGTGTAGTGTCTGAGAGACAACAGAGTCGATGAAAGCATCCATTCTTTAGGAATAACTCGGGTGCAAAAGAAGTGTCTATATATAAAAGTAAGGTGTAATGTAGAACCAATGTTTACTAACAAGAACCATGGCAGCAGAAGTGACATGGGACGGATCCTATTATAGAAATGCGGTCCTGGATTAGGGTTCTGCATGAGGTGGTAATGGTAAACGATTGGGATAAGCATGTGGGAATTTTCTGCTTCTGAACTGCGTTCTAGAAATCAGGCGAGCTAGTTGCCGCAGCAAATGCCTTTGATGTTGATAATGAACTTGCAATATCGACTGAGATATCCTCCAGTACACTCTGAATCTTTTGCTGCCACTTAGCTGGCGGGCGAATGGTTCGACTCGGTTATAAACGAGTAGCCATACTCGCATATAGTACTGCAGGCTAAGAGGCTGGAAAAGCTGTATTTTGATGGGTGGCCACGATGTCCACACACTGGGAGTCTAGGACGGCCGCCAGTCACACCTTCCTCCTTACCATCCTATTACAGTCCCATGCACAGGTTGGGTTCAAGTTAACAAGTTGTGTGAGAGCACAATCTGCTGGCTGTAATCGCCCATCGACTCTATATCTATATCCATAGTACTCCCAACACTATTGCACTTCATCCTAAGGCCATCTAACCTCTTTGAGTTGAATTCAGCTACAAACAAGAGTGGATCATGCTTTTGGCGATTCATTACATGCTGAATGTTGTAGTTAGATGGCCTGACAATATTCCCATTTCTGTCAAAGTTAACCAATCGTGCCAAATGTCTGCTGGCGAATGCGGTCGACCACCTGAATAGTTTCTTCTAAACGCCCCTTGTCTAGCTCACCACTGCCTCCCAGCTCCTCACTCTCAAAGCGCTCCTCTACATAATAATACAATTAATCAATTTTGTTGTATTCGAAAGATCTAAATGTCAGATCTCTTGCAACATCTGTTGCTCCACGGCATTTACCACGAGAAGACTGACCGTGATACCCCTTGCTGACACGGTCCTCACACTTGATCACGCAGGTCCACTCTGTTGGGGACATCACGATTTAACACTCACCATCACACAAGTTCGCCATGCCGCCGATATCGTAGGAGTCTATAGTGTCAGAAATGGATAGGATAAAAGAGGCTAAGGATACAGGGGATAGAATTGTGGAGATGCTGCAGCTTGTTTGGAGGGGAAGCAGGGCTTTTGCCTGAGCCTTTTATATGGTGCTATCGAGTATATTACATTTGCGAATACTCATTTCGGGTACAAGCACCATAGCAATCGTGGTGTTGACAATATGGATTACAGCTCTACGAATGCAGCGACTCAGACTGGTAACAAACACAGTCCATTCTCTTTGACGATTGAGTAGTGCTTGTGAAACGCCCAGGCCTTTGTGTTCCCAGAGCATTCGAGACACAGTGGGTTCCGGCGATGGCTTAACTCCGACACATGGAAATACCAGGAAGCGTGCCATTCCGAACTCCGGGGCTGACCTGTCCGCATTGCACAGTCTCATATAGACTACAAAGTACTCGGCATGTAAGCCTGATATGCATGTACCTGCTGTACCTAATCTAGCAGCGCTGGAAAGGCAGGTGTTAACCTCGGGGTGAGTGGCTATCGGGTATATGGAAAATTAACTTTTCAAAAAATGTCTGGGGGGAAGAAGGAATGCTGATCGTCTGCCTGGGCCTTTGTACGTATGCGTTTCGGCCTTGTCCATGGTGGTGCAGGAGGGACTCCAGACCTCGAATGTCAGCACCAGGATTGAATTTGTCAGCTGCCTTTTGCGGTGATGACGTTGCACGATTCAAAAACCATAAAAAAATCGAGTGAGCCCTCCTCCTGCTCACACCATATCTCCAAAACATCGCTTCTTCACTCTCACATCAAAAAGAGCAAATATCTCTCGAAGCAACATCATGCCCTCACTCCCCAAGCGCGCGCTTATTTCAATCACTAGCTATCACGGCGCCTTTTACCCAAACGGCGACCCCACCGGTCTCTTTTACACCGAGGCCTTGCACCCATACCATGTCCTGACCGCTGCCGGCTTCACTGTCGACCTCGCCTCCGAGACCGGTAGCTACGGCATGGACCCGCATTCGATCGACAAGACCTTCATGACCGAGGCTGACTTTGCTGTTTACAGCAACAGCGGTGACGAGTTCTCCAAGAAACTGGCCAATCTCCACAAGGCCAGCGATCTAAACCCATCCGACTACGGATTGTTTTACGCGTCGGCCGGCCATGCGACCCTGTTTGACTACCCAAAGGCCAAGGATCTGATCAATATTGCTGAGTCTGTCTACGAGCGTGGCGGCGTGGTTGCAGCTGTGTGCCATGGGCCTATTATTCTGCCGTTTATCAAGGACCGCAAGACGGGCAAGCCAGTTATCGAGGGAAGGAGGGTTTCGGGGTTCACTACCGAGGGCGAGGAGCAGATGGGTCTGATGAGCGCAATCAAGGACAGGAAACTTGAAACAATCGAGGAGGGGGCAGCAAGGGTGGGAGCAACTTATGTGAGGCCGGCAACACCGTTCGAAGCCTTTGCGGTTGTTGACGGTAGGGTCGTGTCTGGTACTAACCCAGCGAGTGCCGCGGTGACCGCAGAGAAGGGCCGTTGAGGTCTTCAACTCGCTGTAAACCTACTCATACCAGAAATGTTCATTTAAAGACAATAAATTGTCATCACACGTCGCTGACGTTCGGCTTATGGCCATATGTGATGGATATAGATTGTATGTCTAGCTGTAAATAAATCAATGTAGTCAATGGCAATATTTTTCACAGTATCTGGCTCCACCGCGCCCAGGCAAAGACAACAACAACGAACCCCAAGCACATTGCCAGCACCGTGAAGAACGGTGCCAGGCCATCGTAGTTCTGGAATGGCACCAAGAAGTTTGACCCGAACATTCCCGTGACAAAGTTCAGTGGTACAACAATGGCTGCTAGCGCCGACAGCTTTGCCACAACGTCGTTGGTGCGGTTCGACGACACAGTCAGCTCAATCGATATTTGCGCCAGGTAATTGGCGTGCGCGCGACCCAGCACACCGTCATAGTGCGTCGCATTTTGCGTCATCGTCACGATATGGTCAAGTACATCGCCGAGGTACAGGAGAACCTCGTGGCCCTTGCGCTGGTCCAGAGCGGCCTCCATGGCCGTGTCTGAGTTGTCTGCAGGGCACACTACCATGTGCTCCGAGCCAGGATGGTGTGGGCTGTAATCAACAGCGGTGGCGGTGAGGCCAGGGATTGAGGGGTTGCCCGCCATGGCGTTCATCTGCGATGTGGTCATGGCAGTGGCAGTTTCAAAGCGCTTGATCAGGGCACGCACGACGTCCGCCTTGCCCTGCAGAAGCCGCAATACCATCATGATGCGCTTACGCACGGTGCTAATACGCAGCAGCATGTCTGACTGCTCAGACGACGAGATAACCAGCACCAGCTCGTCGATCGAATCAACCTCAAACTCAATCATCTGCATGATTGGCGCTAGCAGATCGGTGATGTCGTCGATGATTGCGTAGTTGAGCCAGTCGGGCGTCACCACGATATGGTCGATCTGGCGGCGAATGCGCCGCAACACGTGGTACTGATGCACGGCCGGGTCCATGTGGAAAGTGATAATGCCTGAGCGCATGACCACGTTGTAGATGCATTTGGGCTCCAAGTACAGCTCGCTGTTTGGGTCCGCGTCAAAGGAGCGGAAGCTGACCAGATAGTAGTTTGCGTGGACCTCGCACTTTTCGCGCACATCCTGCGTCATAATGTCCTCGACGGTTAGCGCATGGATGCCAAATATTTTGCTAATCAGGTGCATCTCCTGGAACGACGGGCGCAAAACATCGATCCAGAAACATCCGCCTGCTTGGATCATCGACGCCAGGTCCATCGCGGGCGTGCGCAGGTCAGCCAGCTCCTGCGACCGCACCGTGCCGATTGCTGGGTTAAAGAACGTGAACCGGTACGACTCGTCAATGAAGCCGTCTTTGTCCAGAAACAGCTCCTCCTGGTGCATGCGCTTGCGCCGCCGCCGCTTCTGCTTCTGCTTCTCTAGTGGCCGGCCGTCGAACGACCGGTGGTTGCGGTCTGGCGGTGAGACACGGGCGCGCTGCGGAGGCTCGTCGATGGGCGGGAGGTCCGCGGGAACAAAGCTGGGCGACGCCAAGTTGTAGTGCGGCGACATGGTGACTGCGCGCTGCAGGAGAGGCTCGCGCTCAGACGAAATTGACGCGCGATTCGCTGCGCAAGTCGGCCGTAGCGACTGGTTGACCATGCTCTTGAACGAGCCCGGCATGGTATATACGGCCTTACTCTCCTCTGCTGCCTTGGCCGCTTCCTTCTGGGCCAGCCCGGCACCGTCGGCGGTGTATTCGTTAAATACTGATTCGGGCTCCGAGTATTCGCCCCAGCTATAGTCGCTGGCCGTCTCGTCGTCATCCTCCTCGGACGTAGACTCTGGGATCTCGCCGGTCTGTAAGAACCGCTCCAATGCAGCAATATTGATCCCCCCATTCATCCTCTTGTCTTCAGACCCCGTCTCCTCTTTCGGCAAACTTTCTGGTGGGTTCTGCCCTACAGAGCCTCTGCGAAGAACACCCTCGGATTGCTCCCCCATGTTCTGCACGCCCGGTACAGATCCGCCGATCACGCTGGACGGACGGCTACTGCTGAGCGCAGGCGAGAACATGTAGGAGAGGCCGGGTGCAGCACGTGCCATGGCTGTGCGCTTGCTGGAGGCTGCAGGCTTGTACTGTGTTGCACCCATAGTGTTGATGGACCGCCGGGGTCTTTGTTGGTGCTCGGTAGTGCTCAGCCCAAGCCCATCATCCTTTTCGCCAATGCCCAAGAGCCGCGATGGTACCATGGGCAGGGTTTCAGAGAGGTCCTGGCTATGTTCGCTCTCGGGCTGCTTCCCTCCCTGACTTGCTGTCTGACTTCCAGACCCTTCCGACGGCGTCCGAACCACATCAGCCACTGGGCTCTCAGGAATCGTTGCCACGGTCCCATCGGGCTGGCCACCACTGCCTATGCTCTGCGACTGACTAGTATCCACAACATTTCCTGGCCCCTTTCCTACGCCGCCGTCTAACGGTGCGCTCCACTCGCGCAGATCCCCTGGTTCTGACATGGGCTCTGACATCGACGACGCATTCCTCCGGTCCACGGTCTCTACCCTCGGATGCACGTCAGTCGCAGCCCGGTTTATCCGTCCACGAATCCCGCCATTCGACCCGGTGCCCGATGATCCAGTAGTCTTCACCCGGTGGATTTTCCGGCGGTTAGCCACGCTCGGAGAAAACAGCGGCAGCGTGCTGTTCATTGGCATCAGCGGCCGGTCGGCGTTCTCGGGCAGATCAGCCATGTTGCCGTAGTATCGCGACGCCATCAGCCCGTTTTCGTCGTCGTTCTCAAACTCATGCATGTAGTGTGACAGCACATTGGCAATGTTGGAGTTCTCGCTGGCTCGGCTCAATGCGCTGCTAGCGGATGGTCGCCGCAGCATGTCTTGGATCCGGTGCTCGGACACTGCGCGCTCCAGGAAGAGCCGATGCCGGGAGCTCGTTGGACTGCCAGGCGGTATGGCCTTGTTGTCGGGCGAAATGCGTGGCTCGACGCACGCTTGCAGAGCCTGTGAGGCTGTCGCCCGGCGCTCGGACAGTGCGTTCTTGGTGCGCTGCCCGCTGGTGCCGCTGGCCTTGCTTGCTTTCGAGCTCCGACCTCCCCTTTTCTTTCCCATGGCGAAAGTCGGCGTTGAATTGCAGAAAGGAAAATAGTGTGCAATTTGGTATTGTGTATGCTAGCAAATTGTATGCAAAGGCCGAAAAAAATGTGATACTGGAAGAAACAGAAGAAAAACGCTCGTCCCCCGCTGTAACTCCCCTATCGCAAATAGGCCAGACGTGAAGCATAAACCCCATGAAAAATACTGAGTAACGTGACCAAAAGCCGATGCTGCCTGCATTCTCTAATGCCGATGCAGGCATAAAGGTTCTGAGTAGCAGATGGCGGTCCAGCACAATGTAAAAAAATCGTCGATATAGCGACATTGAAGGCATTAAATAAAACACTACGCAATAGCTGAGACCGAGGTTGCGGTAGAGGAAGATGTCGATGCACTGGAGCTGGTGCTCGCTGTCCGATCGTCGGTCGCCGCAGTCGGTTCAGAAGCTGTGGTAGAAGCTGTGGCAGTAGCTGCTGCCGTGTTCGTCTCGACCTGATTGAAGATCTGCTTGACAATGGCTGCCGCCAACCAGTTCGGTCTCCGCCACACAAAATCCACATCACAATCCCTCTTATCCTCGCTGACCGGCTTTGTGCACAGCAGCAGTGCCGCGTTCTGGCTCAGCGTCTGCTGGTACTCGATCTGCTGCCGGTAGTAGAACCACGAGAACGCCTGCCACTTGGTGCACTCCTCGCTGTCGCTGATGCCCTGTGCCTTGCAGTCAGAGTTGAACTGCTTTGCCGACGCCAAAATGACCACAGGCAGGTGCGAGAAACTGGCCGGATCAGTCGGCGCTTGGCCGTCGCGCTTCGCAAGCCCAGTGACAGAGGCGCCCGAATTCGGCTGCAGCGCCGGCCACCGCAACGGCCAGTGGTGGTAAATCAGCACGGCATCCGTATATGGTTTCACATACGGCTGCAATGCCTGGTAGAGCTTCGCGCCAGTGCCGCCGTACTCAAAATACTTGGCCTGGTAATACAGGTTGTTGCGGAACCGCGACCTGTGCATGCCCAGCGAGCTCTGCGGCTGGAATCCGTCCCACCCGCTGTTCCTTGCCCGATGCAGTGCCAGCGGACTGACCACCCGCCAGTTCTCAAAGTTCCTCGACGCCGCAGCCTCTATAGCCTTGTTGAAGTTCACTGTGGTCATCGCCTTTGTAGTTCCACCCGACGACGACCGCATGTTGCGCAGATTCTGCAGCGTCGTGGTTTTGTTCAGCGCAAACGTCTGCAGAATCTCCTGGTTCGGCAGCGTATCAAGCAGCACAACGCCGGCTACCTTTGTGTAGTCGGCCACCTGCATGTACAGCTGCGTCCAGACGCCGCCCTCACCCCACCCGACAAACACCAGCGGGTTGTTGACCGGATACTTGTCTAGCGCCTGGTTAATCGACTTCACCACATCTATCGGGTCCTGGTCCCAATACCCCGGCTCGCTCCACCCGTACCCGGGCCGATCGATGATACACGCGGCGTGCCCGGCATCCGCAAACCCCTGCGCCAGCCCCATCATCGACGTCGAGGGCATGCCGAACTCTGTCAACAGCACAAACACCGGGTCTCGGCCAGACTGCTTCTCTTCTGTGTACCCGAAGCACCACACATGCATCTTGTACCAGTAGTCGCCATTATGCGTCTGCACCGGCACCAGCTTTCCCGGTGTCTTATACAGCCGGTGGTCATTGGCCAGCGCCAGACCCTGAATAACCAGTAGAAGGCCAAAGAACAGGCCAAACACCCATGTAATCCACGGGAAGGCATAGTCCATGAGCCTGTAAAAGAGCGCCGACCCGCGCGAGTCTACCAGCCGCGGCTTAAACTCGGGAATCCCCATGATGCGGTCCACCTGGTACCCGCGCCGTGCTTTTTGCGCATAAACAACTGAGCAGACCGCCGGGAACAGCCATGTCAGGCCCCAGACCGCTGCTGAGCCGTCACGTGAATACGCATACCCGACTAACAGCAGCACCGAGAATATGCACATCGCGCTGCCGTATGCCATCCACTGCAGTGTCCAGAACAGATACCGGTTGGTCGAGCGGTATGCCGAAATAACAAACACAGCCTGCAGGTCCAGCCACAGCCCCAGCAGCGAGAGCCACATGTACAGAAACTGGTTGCCTTTGACCAGCCGCCCGTGCTTGTTTCCGATGACTGCGTATGCAAGGAACGCCAGGAAATGGGCCAGCGCCAGGAGGAGCAAAAGTATGCCCTGTACGGAATACAGCGTGTGCTCTCTGAACCTCCACATAGCGGGTTGTATATACAGGTAATAAAAATAAAAATAAAAAAAACGCGACAGTTCAGGGAAGAAGGACGAGACAATCGAAGGCAGTGTGTCCTGTCCCTCAGACCTGCCAGCTAATTCAACTGCAAAAAAGCAGTTTAGACTTTGCACTCTACCTGGGATTCCTGCATGCGACCTATGAACTCCCAACCCCTCCTTAGGCCAAAAAACGGGCCGATCGCGTCTATTTCTGATGTCTAGTATAGTGTCAGCGGTTGCTGCGCACAGGTAAAACGCGAAAAAAATAATTAAGAACTGGGTGGAAAAGGCGGGTCACAGAATCTTCTTCCACCGCGCATAGACGACCACAAAAACAACAAAGCCCAGGCAGCACCCGACGATAGTAAAGAAGGGCTTCAGCGACTCTTCATGCTGAAACGGCACCTGGACGTTCTGGCCCCACAGCCCGGTCACGATGTTCAGCGGCACCATGATAGCTCCAATGACGGTCCAGCGGCTCGCAATGACAGACGTCTCCACTGTGGACTCACCGATCTCCAGCGACAGCCGTGCAAGGTAGTTGGAGTGGGCCCGCGACAGCACCATGTCGCAGTGCCCGGTCGAATTCACCAGTGCCACCAGGTGGTCATAGACATCTGCAAGATAATGCGCAATGTCGTCAGCAGTCACCATAGCAGTGCCCTCAGGTTGCTCGCCGGGCTTTTGCTCGTACTGCAATGCGCCAGGCATAACAAACGACTTTGAATGTGCCAGACCCTGCATGCCGTCACGGCTCCGCCACGCGTCGCGTCTCTGACCCGCCGCCTGCACATTGATCGCCGAGTACGCATTGCGATTCAGACCGGATCCTGGAGACACTACCTGGCCCACACTGTCTTTGCTGCCATCATAATAGCCTAGCTCCTCGCCCTCAATAGTTGCAATCTCGTCCATCTGCGCCTGCCGCTCCATCAGCTTAGTGAACCCACGCACCACCTCCGGCTTGCCTTGCAGTAGCCGCCAGAGCGCCAGAATCCGCCGCCGGGCCGCTCCAATCCTCTGCAGCATGTCCGACTGCTCGTTCTGCGACAGGATCAGCACCAGCTCGTCCACAGTATCGACCTCTAGCTCGACCCCACGCATCGATGGCACCAGCATGTCAGTGATATCGTCGATGAGTGCATATGCAATATATGCAGGCGTCACCAACGGTATCTGCTGCACCAGCGGATCGGCAAGGCTGCGCAGCCGGTTGATGACACTGCCGAGGTGATCGAGGTTGCGCGCGCCATGGAAGGTCAGGATGCAGGACTTTTTGACCACCATCGAGTAGCACGCCGTAGCAATGCCGTCAGCACCTCGGTTGAACTCGTACGTGGACAGATTGTCGCTGCCAAAGTCGATTGTCCGGTACATCAGGAACTGGTAGTCTGGGAAGGCCTCGAACTTGTCGCGCGTCTCTTCTTCAGCCAAAATATCCTCGACTGTCAGTGGGTGGATGTTGAAAACACGGGCCAGCGATGACATCTCTTCCGGGGTCGGATCGCACACATCGAGCCAAAAGCAGCCGTTACCGGGAACATATGCCGTGTCTGGAAGCTGCTTGCGCATTTGCAGCATGTCGGATTCCGAATCCCCCGATGGCCCCGCCCGCTCACCGCGCAACTGCTCCAGTGACATGTTTTTGCTGGACGCCTCGATGATATCGGCTAGGGTCAGTTCCTGGTCTCTGAGGCTGCTGAGCTTGGCTGCCTGGAATATCCCAGCTGACGGCGAATACAGCACAAACCGTGCCTCGCTCTCGGGCACAAACCGATCCACAGACTCCAGCAGCGACACTGCCAAGCTCCCCATGTCGCTGCTCGGCGGACCCCCGATATCCACATTCAGCGCCCGCTTTTCGTCGTACTCGGGTGGATACGCACCTGGGTGACGGTCAGCAAACTCATTACTAGCCTGACCTATGGACTTGGACGACCTCACCGACGATGCACGCCGGCCGCTCAGAGGTCTGTGAGCTCCCCCGATCGCCTTGCGCGCCTCCAGCTCGTACTTGTCATCGGCCACCTCAGTCTTCTTGCCTGAAATCTCCAGTAGCACGTCCGAGTTCCACTCACCTGTACTACCCGAGCCACTGTGCAGCTCATGCTGCAGGTGGTCAGATTGGCCCACGTGTGCCGTCTGCGGCCGCTCATACCGCAACGCATCAGCCTCGCCACGTAGCCCTGAATCCCCCGTCTTCCCTTGCTCCGAGCTGATCGCTGCCAGCAGCAGCCTTGCCAGATGCGACTTCCGCGCCTCCGGGGTCCCAGGCTTCTCCTGTTGCATGATCTTGTCCAGCATTTTCGCCACCGCATGCTGCCGCTCACGACTGGCTTCCATCAGCAACTGATTACTGCGCTTCAGCGCCAGGTTCTCCTTGTACAGCTGCTGGTCAGAGATAGGGTGGCGCAAGTTGGTCCGTGAATCGGAGCGCGGGTTCCCGATCGCATCACCCATTATACTGTCAAATGCGTGCAGCCCACCATGCCGCAACATGACGCTGGAGAGGTCCCCGCCAGCCGACCCCCCGAATACTACCCCGTTGAAGCCGCCGCCGACCGATGCTGGCTGGTCGGCAAGCACCGGCATTTCGGTGCGCCGCCGTGCTGTCTGCACCCGCCGCTGTGGAGTGGCCGCGCGCTCATAAACCTGCCGTGACATTTTAGTGCATTTATAAATGAGGTGGGGAAGGGGAAATTAGGTAAGTGAAAACAAAGGGAGCAAGGCACATTAATGTGCCGAGGGGATAGTTGAGCCAGTGCTTCTTTTTAACCTTCTATCTTATGCATGACGCTGCTGCATGTTGGGGACGGCGATCACTTTTCTGTGCCCAAACCTGCCATTCGCTGGCTTCAAGCACGTGGTTCACGTGTGCCATGCTGTTTTGAGCCAAACTCGTGCCTGTTGCTCTGAGAACGAATCGAGAACGCTACATTTGGCTTGATATCATCCACTCGCTCTCGTTTTGATCACCCGGCTGGCAGAGAATGCATAATCTCTGCCGCGTTCACACCGCAATGGATCACTTTTTTCTAGCTGTTATCCTTATATTCGCGCTTTCAATATGCAAAATGGTCTCTTAAGATAAAAGTCTTGGCGGCTAGGATCTTCATACTGTTGCAGCTGTCAATAGGATCGTCATGCTATTGCAGCGGCCACCACACCAAGTTACCCCAACACAGTTCGGCTCGGGCCGCAGCAGTGAGCGGTGTCCCTGGCCACCCAACCAGGAATGTCCCCAATGATATGCCAACAGCTGCGATACCCATCACTGGTATGTGAGGTGCGAGGATTATAAGTTTTTGGCATGTGTGGTGGGGTTTAAAATATGATTTCTACTTGTAGAAGTAAAAGGAAACTACAGAGGCGTGAGGATGGCATACATCGTGGCTGTAGCACGAGCCCCTTGGATCTTAGGATCGAGGCACGCATGCTCCGATCACATCCCGTTGTTCCTCAGAGGTCCGAGTCAGAGCTACCATCATTGTCAGCCAGACCAGAGCATTCATCATACTGCGCTTGGCCTTGAGCGATATCATTGGTGCTAGTTCCCAGGCCTAGAAAAAGCAACATATCAACTATAGTTCATATTTATATATGGGTAAAGATACTGAGTGCAAACAGCGAAATATAGTGTTTGTGGTTCCCTGCAACATCATGACTGCTCCTGGAAACACATTTTCTGACCTGCAGTCAACATATTCTGAATAGTTGCATGATACTATTAACTAGGTATATTATATACTAAATATCAAACTTCCAACAGATTCTTATTTATTGGTTATAAACATTTGGTATAGCTGGACTGAAATAAAAATGTGCAGCTCCCCCAGATAGACTCCCAATATATATAATTCTTTAGAATTTCCTAGCTAGGAATCCTAAGCTTCTCTGAGTCAGGTTGTAGCTAATTTGATTATCACTATATCACAGAATATGAAAGGAGGCCATTCATAAATATAAAAGTTTAAAGAAACTAAATATCTATTATCAGAATAACCAATTAATAAATAATAAATCAATTACTAGTAGTAGATAAATATTTTAAAATACAGAATGTTTAGCAATGGCCAAAAAGATTCTAGCAACTAAATTAACAAATAAACAAAGATGCCAAATATGGTGCTTCTACAAAACCCCCTTTGGCATCCTGAAAAATTTCAGTTGATACACAATTAATATGCTTCTACTGAGATACAGGCTGTGTCCTGAGAAATCAACTGAAATTTTTCAGGATGCCGAAGGGGGTTTCGTAGAAGCACCATATTTGGCATCTTTGTTTATTTGTTAATCTAGTTGCTTGAATCTTTTTGGCCAGTGGTAAACATTCTGTATTTTAAAATATTTATCTACTGCTAGTAATTGATTTATTATTTGTTAATTGGTTATTCTGATAATAGATATTTAGTTTCTTTAAACTTTTATATTTATGAATGGCCTCCTATAGCTAATTTTATATACTTTTATTTTAGGCAGCTTCTTTGATTCAGCTAGAGTATACTGAAAAAAAAAAAAAAAAAACTTAACAACTAACACTATAGTAACAGTCTATATGAGCAGAGGCAGTGCCTTATAAATTTATATTAATTTTATAGTATATGGAATAGCAAATAGTTAGGAGGAATTGAGAATTTAGGAGCAAGAGGAATAAAGAGATATTGGCTGGGGATAAGCTATTTTAATTGCTAGTATATTCCTATGTGAGATGCAAATAGGCAAAGTAATGAGCAAAGTGATATAAATGGATATGTCTTGATGCCTTGGATTAAGTATACCAGAAATAGACATCTAGATAGTTATACAGCATGCTATAAACATAATCAGGTAAATGCATTTTAGTTTGGCTGCATTGGTGTTTCAAAAGATACTGGAAAGAGAACCTACTATTTACAATTGTAGGGATGAGGCTATAGATCAAGTATTAACCTGTTCAACTACTAGCTATATGATAAGCCCCCAGTACTAAGCTGGTGTTGGTTGAGAAACTATAGAACCCTTGATAGCATAGCCATATACTCATTTATATAGCATCAGCACAATGGTATGCACATGCTCTATAAATCTAATTATAGAATTCAAGTTGAATATACAATATCCAGGGTCTGAATGCTAAGGCATTCATAGCTTTTTCTAACCCTTCTTATTGCTCTTCTGACCTCTGGCCAATATGTCAATAGAAGCCTATAGCTGACAGTGCCAGAACTGAAGAACCAGACAGTTTTCTTGATTTCAGAATTATTGCCAATACCCAAGTCTTGGGGTAAAAGCAGAGTGATATATTTGCACACAGAAGTCTAGTTACAATAAACTATGAGCATAAATGCCCCTTAGATCATAGCTGTTCTGGCACTGCTAGGGTGTGACTGAAGTGGCATATGTAGCAACACAACCTGCTCTCCAAGCCCTTTGTTGCTCTCTCCAGCATCCTCTAAACCTCACATTGCAAAATAATTAGCACCCGTTTCTCTTTCCAGCCTTTCTTCCATAGGTACAGGACTAAAGAAACCTCCTTCTAAGAGGAAGCCATACCCAGCAGCATGCTGTTCCCTTTGGCCAGACAGCTCACATCTGCTCCTGTCTGTGAGCTGCTAGACTATAAATATCCAGATGAATAGTGTCTTCTACCCCGACTGCGCGCCGGGCTTAGCTGGTCGGCCCAACCACCGAGTGGTGGGCAGTCTGGTGGTTAGCGAATAGCCCATTTATGCGATGATGATCACGAGATATGCACCATTCTGGCCGCAAACCGGCTGTGTGCCAAGCAAAAAAAGGAGAAGCTGCGTCTTTGCGCACCTTGCGATATTCCTCTACTCCACTCTTTTGCAATTCGTTTTTATTTTTCAGTGAAATGTGCTCTTGCCCCGACTTTCTTCTAATTCTCCTGAGCGTGATATTCCCTCCACTGGGCGCGCTGCTGCGGCGCGGGTGCGGGGCGGACTTCCTCATAAACATTGGTCTGACAATGCTGGGGTACATTCCGGGTCTAATTCACGCGTGGTACCTGATCTGCAAGTACCCGGCAGACGAGTACGAAATGCTGGTGGACGACTCCGACTACTCGCACCACCACCACGTGGTGGTTATTAGCCATGAGCGGACGCCTGTGGCTGGTCCGTCGGCGCCGGCCACGGACAACCAGCAGCAGCCGCCGCCATACTCTGCGATTCCCAAGTAAACCTGCTCTTTATTTTTTGAACGTGAAACATGACAGAATTTATTGGTACATGAAAACGTAAAAGAGCTAGTGAGGGATGAAAGATTTTGTTGCCTAATGCGAGTAGATGAATGGTGGTGTTTTTCTCGGTTTACCATAAAGAGATATGCATGAAAGACAAGGGCGGGAGGTATAAGCGTCAGTCTAAAACCGTGATAGAATTTTCATCGGTCATGAACGCCGTCCTGTCAGAGACGGCTCCGGTGAAGAGATTCATTTGAACATCATCCGCAAAAATACCATTCCCAGGTTTTCACGCATATTCTGAAAAGTAGATGAGAAGAGGGGGTGGGGAATACCTGGAGAAGTGAGCCCCGTTGAGGTAGCTACCCAGATGGATAGCCAACCGCATAACTGTGCTATGACGAACAGGACGCCCGATCCCAAAAACCCTCTGCCAGATTGGTGCGAACAGCGCCCACTGAAGCTCCGCCAAGGCATCTTTGCTTCCCAGAGCGAACCCCGGAGGAGCGCTGAACGCGGAATCTATAGGCATAGCGGTTAGTAAAACAGGAGGGGCGTCAATTACCTAATTACAGGCGGCACTTTCTGCCCAGGGTCCGGGGACTTTCACCCAAAGCCAAGAGATAAGTAGACATCGGCCGGTGAGGCCGCTGCTGACTTTGTGTGTGAGGCTTCGATAAAGTGTAAAAATAAGCGGTTCTTCCAAAAAGTATTCCCAAGGAGAAGCAAAAGCCGGCAAGAGGCATTTCGCAAATTTATAGGCAGGGGCGGCTGAGGAAAAATTTTCTTCGCTTGATTTAATTCTGGTGCTGGAAGCGCTGCATGCATTTCTTGAAGGCCAGCATTTCCTTGGCGCATTGGCGCCAGTCGCCGGTGTCGGCGTGGCAGATCAGCAGGCGCTCGTTCTGCTCGAAGCAGCCGGTGCGCTTAATGCGCTTGTCCCACTCGTCGTCGTCGCCGTCGTTCTGGGCGGTCGGTGTAGCGTGCTTGTTTGGATCAGCCATGGTGTTTAGAGCAGAAATTTTATATCCGAGTTTGCCCGCAATACCCACAGCGCCTGCAGTGGCGGCGCGAGATGCGAGCCAGACGCGTATGTATGGGTGAGGCTGGAAAATACAAACCTGTGTCCGCCAAGCTCTCTTTCCTTCAGTCTAATGTTATTTGGACTAATGCCAGCAATTACAGAGCCTCCAATGACGAGTGACATACAAGACGCCTCGGTGATCATCCAGCACCGGGTGGTAGGCGACGCGGTCGAATACAAGGTTGCGTGGGCCGACGGCGCCCACACCTGGGAGCCCAGCTCCAGCCTGGCAGACAGCCCGGAGGGGCTAGCGCAGTACTGGCGCGACCACATAACAAGCAACCCAACAATGCGGTATTTCGACCGGGATGCGCTGCAGGTGAGCAAGCCAAAGCGGCTGAAGCGGCGGGCGAAGCCGGAGCTGACGCCCGAGGTCGACAAGATGGCGCGGATCAAGGGCACGCAGCAGCGCAAGGAGCTGGCGCGTTCCCGTGCGGCCATGCAGAAGCCGGCTGTGGCGAGCACGTCGAAGCCGCCGCCTGCCACAGCTCAGCGCAGCAGGGAAGCGAATAACGTACCAACAAAACCACCGCTCAAGCAGACCGCGCGCAAGTCCATGGGCAGGCGGGTATAGGGGTTTTTTTTAGGTTCCTGGTTTTATTTATTTTTTTCTGGCCTCTACTGCACAGCTCAATTTATTTGTTTTTTTTTTTTTTTGCAAATGCAAACTCCAAATTCGGGAGAGGAAATGGACGGGCAAAGCGCGAAGCGCCTGCGGCTTGATAGCAGCGCTGAGCAGGAAGCGAGCTCGTTGACGCTGGCAGGGATCGTGGAGCAGGCGAAGGACGAGTGCGTGCCGATGTCCCCGGCATCGACCAGCTCACGGGCAAAGAACTATGTGTGCGACGAGTGCGGCAAGGCGTTTACGCGGCCATGCAAGCTAGAGGAGCACAGCCACATGCATACCGGCGCCCGCCCCTACGCCTGCCCCTTCCCGGGCTGCACCAAGACATACTTGCGCGACACGCACCTGGCTGTCCACACCCGCACGCACTCACCGGCGCTCCGCCACAAGTACCAGTGCTCGCTCTGCCCCAAGGGCTTCGCGACCAACCAGCATCTGAAGCGACACATGCGAACCCACGAAACACCCAAGCCCTTCGCCTGCACCTCCTGCCCAATGGCGTTTGCCAAGAAGAGCCAGCTTCATGTCCACACAAGCAAGCATACGGGCGAGCCGCCCTACAAGTGCAGCGAGTGTGGCCATGGCTACATGCACCCGTCGCAGCTGAAGCGGCACCGGATGAAGCACTCGACACAAGACACGTATCGGTGCGCGGTAGGTGCCTGTACGCAGACGTTTGCGACGTGGTCGGCGCTGCAGACACATATGAAGTCACACAAGCCGGAGCCGATTGCCTGCGCTGAGTGCCATGAGGAGTTCAAGAAGCGGCACCAGCTGACAGCCCATATGCGCAAATGCCATGGCGATACGTCGGTGCTGGTGTGCCCGTACGACGAGTGTGGGCGGCTCTACAGCGACGCAAAGGGGCTGAACGCACATGTATCCGCTGTGCACTTGGGCCGCGCGCGCTTTGTCTGCACACACCCGGGATGCAACAAGTCGTATGTCTACAAGCACTCGCTACACAACCATGTCGCCAAGGCGCATGGCGACGGGCCGAAAGACGAGCCGAAAAAGGCACCGCGCACGCCCGCTAGCCTGGTTGACGTGCTGACTGGCGCCGCATACAGCAACCCCGAGATCTCCGGGCGCACCTACATGTGCCCCATTGCAGGGTGTCCATTCCAGTTCAAGCGCCAGGCCGACCTCGCCAAGCACCTGGCGCACATCCACCACATGTGATAAGAAGTTTTTGTAAATAGTACTGTTTACTGCAGAATCTGCCGGATAGCCTTGGCCACCTTGGCCGCATTGAACTCGAGTAGACTCTGCTGCTTGACCACCGCTGACGGCCCCAGGCACAGCAGCGACAGCTCCAGATTGACCTGGTACATGAACAGCCGCATGTTCGTGTCCATGGTCACCACCGTGCGCTGCATCACCACCTCGTCGTCGCGCTCCGGTCCGAGCCCCGCACACAGCATCGAAATGTCGCCAATCGTATCGATGGTCTTGCACGCAAACTGGTACAGCTGCGGGTCGGTCGGCGACGAGTCGGTTGCCAGGTAGATTTTGGAGCGCACGTCCAGCAGAAACACCTTATCGAGGCTCGACTTTGAGCAGAACGAGTTCAGAAGGCTCTCCAGGTAGTCGCACCGCGGCACCATCCGCAGCGACACGCGGCTCATGGCCTCGCGGATCGTCTCCGTGAACACCGTGGTCAGGAAAAACTGCACGTTCGACGAGTCCAGGCTCTCAAACCCCATGTTCTTCAGCACCCGCTGCTGGATCCCCTGCTGCGTCTCCATCTTCAGCTCCTCGCTCAGCCCGTCGATCTTGTGGATAAACACATTCACCGGCAGCGCCGGGTTCGCCGCCAATGCCACGCGGATCAGCGCCAGGAGCTCCGCTAGCGACTTGCCCGCCTCGTTCTGCGCGTCAATCACGTACACCAGCGATGTGTTTGGGCCCACGAATATCTCGGGGTCCGGCCCGCCCACGTCGGCCAGGTCCTCGATTCCAGGGAAGTCGTATACTGTGATCCCCGAAATCATATCGTAGGCTGTCCGCACCATCGTCGGCGGAATCAGCTGGTCCATCAGGTCATACGGGTTCTTGTCCTCAAAAATCAGCTGCATGATACATGTCTTGCCGCTGCGCGGCATCCCCATCACCAGGATCCGCCGGTCTGCCAGCGGCTCGCTGAGCTGGCTGCCCTGTGTCAGGTCCGTGTCCGACATCGCCCCCATGCTGCCGTACGGGTCTGTTGCGTTGTATGAATTCATCAGAAATGCAACGATATGTAGAGGTGGTTGGAAAAGGCTGGCTAGGTAGTGACGTGGTACCTCCTACTCATGCCCTCTTCATCCCACACGTGTCTTGACAGTTATTATGGATTACGACGAGTACAGTTTTTATTGCCCGCATCTCACTCAAACAGCTAGCGCTTTCTACGAAATGGCCCTCCACCGCTTGGCGCACGTAAAGTCGTTCGCCCAGCCCTCCCCCGGATCACACACACACGAGCCCCCCTCCTTGGACCCTTTCGGGCAGTGCGACATCGCCGGGTGGTAGTACCCGATATCCTCAAAGTAGTGCACCTGCGACTTTTGCAGAAACATCGCCACCGCAATCGAGTGGATCGGCGCATCGCCCCACCGCTCGTAGAAGAACCCGCCAGCGCGATCCAGATAGTCAAAGTACGCCTGGTACGCCTCGCTGCGGTAGAACGACAGATCCACAATCTCAAAGTTCGACCAGAAGTGGCACTTGGTATACGTATTGTCCTTGTTGCGCACCCAGTCCAGAATATTCTTGTCCGCCACGTACTGCGGGTTCTCCTTCATAAAGTCCACCGTTGTTTTCCACAGCGTGCGTACCGTCGGCTCGTACTCATCCGGCGCAATATTCCACCCGTACTTGAACCCGTGCTTCTTCATGTACACGAACGGGTCGTAGTTGATATCACAATAGTAGTGCACCTCGGGCTCAATCCGCCAGTAGAACTCCAGGTCCCGCAGCAGCGGGTGCTTGTGGATGAACCCGCTCTGGAACCGACACATGAACCGGTACGACTCGCTACCCCCCTTGATGTAGTCTGCTTTCTCCCGCTCCTCCTTCGCCCGCTGCTGGTCGATCCACGCCGGATACCCCCACGTGCCTTCTTCCAGTGTCCCAAACTCCACCTTGGCCTTCGTCAGATCCCGGATCCCCTGCTTGAACTTTTCGGTAAACGGCTTGTCGTTCAGGAATATGTACGGGTAGTTGTACTTGTGGTTCCACCGGTCCTCCAGCTCCCGCACGCTCTTGCGCATGTCGTACAGGTCCTCGTTGCGCACCAGCGCCACCAGTGCCGCGCGCACCGGCTTCTGCCCGTTCGGCGCGTAAATGCTGTCCTTTGTGCTGTTTCTGCTGAACTTGCCGGTCCAGCCCTCGTAGCTGTCGTCGCTGGCCCCCGGGTTGACCAGCCCGCGCGGCTCGCGCGACGCATACAGGACCGTGCCCATATGCAGAATCAAGCCAAATACGCCTATCACGCCAAGCAGCTTGGCCAGTGCTATAAGTCTCTTGGATGACAGCATATTCCTTTGTCTACAATAATAGAAAAACAGTTGGATGCAGAGACAAAGTGGGAAATCCTCAGAGTCTGCGCCGGTGTGCTTGACCGTGTTTATGGAGGCTGGCGGCATGGGATCAGAGCTGTGGGCAAATCTAATTGGGCCATTGCCAAGAGCGTGCAAAAACAAGAAACCGTCCTGCGCGGAATGTTCCTGGCTCCTGTTTTGCGTCTTCTTGAACTGCCCCGATTATTTTTTTTTTCCCTCCATTCCAGCCTCGCGCTCATATCACCTTCCGAGAAAATACAGTCCTGTTAACGACCCCCGGTCCTGGCTTTTAATTAATTTCATCTGCTCTGCTGCTACTACCAGATGCAACGTTCTTCAGATCCCCCTGTGTTTCCGCACCGCGCCGTGCTCAATCCTCCCCCGCAGGCCGGCCACCGCGGGACCGTCGACTTGGACGCGCTCCAGCAATGGTCGGCCACTGGCAAGGTGAAAAGACAGAGCCGTCAGCACCGCAAGTACCGGCTTGGGCGATGGCAGAACCGGTCGTTCAGCTCCTGGAACCCGCCAGCGAATTCGATCACGCGGCACTCGAATGCCTCAGTGCTCTCCGTGGACATCAGCTACAAGCCATCAGAGTCGCGCCGCGCCTCCATACTGAGCACCTCGGATTCCGACGACTCTGACGACGATGAAAACGGCCCCTTGGCGCAGGTTTTGTTGCGTGAAAACGACGAGATATGGAACAACAGAAGCTACCGCTTCACATTCTACTCGCCACGCACTGGCACTGTGCGTGCCGCCGACGTGCAGTCATTGCAGACCGATAACGAGAGTGGCCTGGATGACTTGATGCGCCAGGCGACCGGCGAAGTAAGCAAGGTCGATGAGAAAATCGGCATGCCTACGGTCACCGTCTCGAATAGCCTGCTGCATCCGAACGATGCGCTGGGCAGGGGGAGGTCGCCGTCGGCTGGCTCGTACGACGCCCCGAAGCTGCCCGAAGACGATGGGTGTGCAAATCTATTCTGGCTCGATATCGTCGACCCTGTAGACTCTGAAATCATAGCAGTTTCACGCATCTTCGACCTGCATCCGCTCACCACTGAGGAGCTGCTTCTGATGAAAGACGATGCGCTGGTGCAGGACAGCTTCAAGTCATTCAAGCACTACGATATCATCTGCTACCACACATCCATAGCTGCTTACAATGACGAGCCGTGGGCGCAGGAAGATGTGCCGCTCGACACCATGCAGTCTGCGGAAATTAATACTGAGGGTGACAAGCAAAAGGCTGGTGAAGAGGGCCTGCGATACCGCATCCGCCAGTGGCTCAAGCGCCCAGCCGACCCCAATATGCCTGTGCCTGAAATCATGATCCCCTCGCCATCAGCCGACGAGCCCGCGCGCGACGACGACATCCTGGACGAGCCCATCCCATTCTACTCAATTGTGCTGACCCGCGGCATTATCACGCTGCACCGGCGCCGGCTGCCACATGTACGCAACACAATTGCGCGGCTGCTGCTGGACGAGGACACCGTCAAGCTGACACCCGACTATATCGCCTACCTGCTCCTTGACGATATCACCGACACATTAGTGCCGACGACGCGCATGCTGGAGCTCGAGGTGGATGCAGTGGACGAGCTGGTGCTGATCCTGGCCGAGGCTGACCATGACGACATCCTGAAGCGCATCGGCATTGAGCGCCGCCATGCACTCTGGCTGGTGCGGCTCCTGCACGGCAAGGCTGAGGTTCTGGGCGCCATAGAGCGTCGCGTGCAGGCGAAACGGCACGTGCCACGCCTCCGCATTGACGATGACACACACAGTCAGCTGATGACCAGCGACGAGGAAGAAGGCGATATCTATGGCTGGGATAGGAAGCCTGTGCGTGGCCGCCATGACGAGCATGCACCGGATGTTGCCAAATATCTGGCTGACGTCCACGACCATCTGCTGGCGCTGACGGCGTCGGTGCATCACTGCGAGCGCATTCTGGCACGCGCCCATGGCAACTACCTGGCCAGGATCAACCTGGAGCTGACCAACGCGTCAAATACCACCAATGGCCTGGCCACGCAGGCTGCTATCCTGGCCGGTATCTTTCTGCCCCTCAATTTGGTTGCCGGCCTGTGGGGGCAGAATGTCAAGGTGCCCGGCCAGGATCGCGACGACCTGCTGTACTTTGGTATTATCTGCGGGTGCATGGCCACGTTTGTCATCTTTGCGCTGGCCTTCTTCCGGTGGCGCCGACTTATTTAAGTGTGGCTGTTTGATCAGTGATCACGGGTGTATGTGTGGATTACCACATATATGGGTGGTGACGTGCACTCGTTCCTATTACATTCAGGCTTTTTCCTCTCTGCTGAAAAGGGGATCGGCATTCTTCCCCTCCTCCTTTTCCTCCTGGGCTGGGCAATGCACCTGATGCCTACGGATTGCATACGCTGTCAAGAGCTGCTCTTCCTCAGCCTCCTTTGACAGCCCCCTTCTCTTTCCTGCCGAGAATAATTCGACTGTGAATTCCACGCTCTATTCTTTGTCTTTCCTTTCACATATCAGTTTTTTTCATTGTATTTAGTATACTCCCGAACTCTCTCTTCAGCCATGGTTGAGCCACAGGGCTGTATCAATGACATGGGCCAGGGCAAACTCATCGACAAGATCCTCTTCGAGCTCAAAGTCCTCCTCGTGAGGGAGAAGAACGAGCTTGAACGCACCCGCCTCACTATCTGGTCTGCGTCTGTGTGCCAGCGCTGGCGCGCCTTCCTTCTGCCGACGCTCTACCGCTCGCTGGTCTTTGAGTTCTACGACCCGCGGCTGCCGGAGCCAGAGCCCGCTTCCGACGACGACTCCTCCGCGGACTCTGACGAGGACCCAGAGGAGCGCCGGTATCGCCGGCAGGAGCGCCGACGCCGCCGGATGCTGCAGCGCGACAACTATGTGCTGGCGTACCAGGACCACTTCAAATGGCGCACGAACGCAGGCATCCTGGTGAGCTCTGGCCGCATGGACCTGACGACCGAGCTGGTGATGCGCGGCCACTACGGGTACGACTTCAACCAGCTGGCGTACCTGCTGCCGCTGACAGGCGCGAACTTTGTCGACTGGCCGAATATCGAGACCATGCGGTTTGTCGGGCATCTGAGCGAGGGCATGAACTTTGTGTGCCCGGACGACGTGCAGGTTTTCGTCGACATGGTGTACGACAAGATGCCCAACATTAAGGATATCCGTTACCCAAACATGATCCACAACAACAAGCAGTTCGTCTTCATCCTGCTAGCCATGATCTACCAGTATCTGCCAAAGCTGCGCTCGCTGGGCCTCGACCATGTGCTGCCCATCACTTACCCGCTCAGTTACTCACCGGAACTGACGCGCGTGCGCATCGACCCGGTGTTTGTCAAGAGCTACCACAACTTCCCACGCATCAACCCGAGGCCGCTCCGTCACGTTCAAATCTATGGCGCCCGTAGCGACTTCATCTGGTCGTACTTTCAGCAGCAGGAGGAGAACGTGATCGAGTTCACCAACCTCGAGACCCTGCGTCTGACGCAGGCTGGGTCAATTTGGATGACCTCGGAGATGCCCGAAAGCACAAATATGATGCAGCTCAGCTTCCCAAAGATCAAGGAGGTGCATCTCAACAACATTCTGAGCGTCTACCACACCGTGCTTGTCCCATTCATCCACAGCAAACTGCGCAAGCTGTATATCGAGGAGAACAGCTCGCATATTGTCACCATCCCGCCGATAATCTACCAGTGCACCGAGGAGCTCGTGTTACAAATCAGCGATGTCAGGTACAACTACCGGGATGACTACGAGGGCGGGCTCGACGAGATGTACCTCCACCCCGCGAACATCAAGAAGCTGACAGTCAACTACTCTCTCAAGCCCGAGAGCTTCACCTGGATCTCAGTAGAGCACCTCAGGATCGACCTGCTGGTCGTCGACTTTGATATGCCCGAGCGTCTGATGCAGGTCATGCCCAAGCTGAAGTGCATGCTCATCAACTTCCCGCACTACACCCATGAAGAGAAGGATGCTGAGAGGCCCGAGCTCAAGCTCGACCGTAGCATCCTGGAAAAGACCAAGCTGCAGTATATCGGCCTCCACAACTTGCGCCTGCAAAAGACGGAGATAGACTATGTCAAGGGCTTCCTGAAGAGGTACCCGCAGCTGTGCGACATCCAGCTGCTGTCCAACATGGTGCCGGTCATCCGTGAGTTTGTTGAAGAGGAAAACATTGATATTATTGTTGGCGAATTCCCACCACCAAAGAAGCCCTTGTATCATTGATCCAAATAAACCTGCCAATTCTGTTGTACGCGGTCTGCTGAGAAAACAGTTGCCTTAAGCCCTCCTGAGCCTATTTTCCGGAGGTCAGGGCATTCATTTTGTGTGGTTTAGGCTGGCCATACCACATGGCTGCTCACCGTGCATGTATTCTGCTTCCATACTTGTTATCAGAAAAGGTATCCCAGGCTGGGCCAGGACTTTGTCCGCTAAAAAGAGTCAAATGCTTTATACATATCTAGCAGGTGTACTTTATCGAAAGACCATTCATGAATCAGCTGCAGAACCATGCGAGGAAACTACGAACAGCAGGCACTATCCTCACTCTATGAGCTAACACCATTGAGGTGCTTGGAGAGTAAACGTATTCTAGACAGTTGCAGGAGGTTGTCTATCTAAGTGTATCGTACCCGAGACACAACACTAGGTTTATAGGAATAGCTACAAGCCGATCACAGTCTACTGAATATTCCCATATCAAAGAGAAGCATGTGGCTAATTGCTACACATTCTTGTTCATCAATGCAGTGTGCGACGATACTATGCAAAAATCTTGACCTCGAATTGAGAGCAGAGGAGGTGAAAGCCACTAAAAACCTTTGGGTTTTGCACCTACGCCTAGCCTCATTGCTGGCCAAGGGATAAAAATGAAGTATTTCCTAGTATATTGGCCAAATGGGCTACCCCATTTGACTATTGCACATATAACCTAAGATATCCTGATAAAGGTGCAGGTGGCTTGGCGCATTATCAAAATCAATTAAAGCTGAAATATCTACACGTTTTGACCCACCTATGCCTACTTGTATCGCAATTTATTAGTAGAGCATATATATTTCTCGCCATAGCCTGCCCTCAGAAACATCAGTCATAGTACATACAGCCGATGTATTCAAAAGATACATTCAAGTGTAAAAAGGCGACCTCCTGTTGTTGGCGTGCAGGACTCGGATTGTATTGCATAGTTGTAGCTTGGGAAGTGGCATTTGACCAGGAATTGGACCATAGATGGAAGAATTTTGTTGCAAACGTCCCCAAAACCATCGTCCAGAAAACTACAACACTCCGCAATTAGCATCAGTTCACACAAGTTGATTAGAGCTCCCTGTATTCTGTCAAAGGGCTGGGATTGGCGCCTCGACGGTTTATTTTTTGTACTGGTGGCGTATCTATTTGTACTTGTTGCTTGTTTCCGTGTTGAAATAGCCGAATACCCACAAGGGACTGCATCACCTGCTTAGCCAGACTCACAAGTGGCTGCTCTTTTCTCTGCTCTTTTCTCTGCTCTTTTCTCTGCTCTTTTCTCTTTTTAACCACTTGTTTGCTCTTTGCAGTTTTGCTTTTACTCTAACGCTATCTCATCTATGGCTGTGCTGACCAAGATTAAGCATAGCATCAGCTATTTTCCTTTACTTGCGGATGTCGGTGCTGCACTATCAGCCTTTTCATGGCTGCAGTTAGCTCAACTATGCTATGTGTCGACCACTGTTGTTATAAAGTCGGTTTATCAGTACTATCGAAATGGACCGCGCCTGCCGAAGTGGGACCTAGCAATCCAGCTGACAGTTGATCTTGGATCCAGTCTGTCTAAGGTCGTGTTTCCATATCAGACAAATGACGATGACATCGAGCGCATTGACTTTCACAAGATTGTGATTGCAGTTCGCAGATGGGGTGACAAAAAACTAGCGTGGCCAAAGGAGAAGGGAACATACCGTAGTCACAATATCAACACACAGGAAGTAGAGATCGACATAAGCAAGCTTGCCGATATCGAGATAGTCGGGACGAAGCTTACCAATCTTGCTCAGAATGATATGGCGCTCCAGGACCCCCGAATTCTTGAGTGCGAGATTATCTTGGGGAACGCTGCTATCCAGACGCTAGAATCCCACGCTACCAACGCCGGCAATCTCCTTGATACCGTTCCTGTGGTGAAAGATGAGAAAATCGTATTGTATTTTCATGGCGGCGGCTGGATCCTAGGAAACATTGAGACGCACCGGGGGATAACGGATGAAATCTCCCAAGCATCAGGCACTCGTGTTGTCTCTGTCAACTACCGTCTATCGCCAGAGCATGCTTTCCCAGCACACCTGCTCGATGCGTACATCTCCTACTGCTTCCTGCTCAAGCAAGGGTTCAAGCCGTCGAACATCGTTGTTGCTGGTGACAGCGCTGGTGGACAGCTGGCCCTTTCGCTGACTCACCTGCTCCGCCATATCGGAGCGCCAGTGCCAGCCGGCCTTGTACTTTTGTCGCCTGCTACAGACCAAAGGCACATCAAATATGAGCATGATGCGCCTGCTGTACTCGATTATCTCATGTATATGCCTGTTGAGACACCTGCATCTATGGTGCGCCTGATGATCGCGCCTGGACAACCTCTGAGTGAGCTGATGAAGAGAGAGCTCGAGTCACCACTCATATCGCCTATATATGGCTCGTTCAGCGGATTTCCATATACTCTGATCCAGACCGGCGGCTGCGAATGCCTTCTCGATGGAAATATTGCCCTGTGCGAAAAGATAAGAAGCCAGAATCCTGATGTGCCCGATATTGTTCGGCAAGATGTGTATGATGACATGCCACACGACTTCCATCTCATATTTCCGTATCGGCGGGAAGCTAGCAAGTCGTATAAAGTCATTGGTGAGTTTATCAATAATCTCTGAGCTCAATTGCGGTATACGCCATCTTTGAACTCCTATATAGCTACAGATTTTAGCTGCCAATAAATTGGGACCATACGCTACCGATACTAAATGAAAAGGCATTTTTATAGCAACAATGATAAAACTGCAGTGTAAAATGAATATTCTGGTGTAGGTATGCTTTCTATATGATTGCACAGTGGATTTCTTGGGGCGTATCTGGCAGCAGCCGCCACTCGCGTGTGCACTTTCCTCAATAGCCTTTTGTAATGGTATCGCTAGATCCATCGTCATTGGGGTCGCAGGTGCGGCGGTTCTTGAGCCATGCGTCGCCACTGGGACAGTGCTGCCATCCAGGATGCAGGTATCCGATGTCCTCGAACCAGTGGACCTCCTCCTTCTGCAGGAACATGGCAGCGGAAATCGAGTGCACCGGGGAATCTCCCCAGCGCTCGTAGAAGAAGCCGCCTTCGGTCATTGACCAAGGCATGCTCATAAAGTTCTCTTCAAAGGGCTCGTCATTCAGGAACACATACGGATAGTTAGACCTTCCGTTGAATTTGTCTTCCATCTCTCGCATCAACGTGCGGATGCCAAGCCAGTCCTGGTTTTGCGCCAGCAACACGAAGCAGGGTTTGGCTGGCTTAGGCTCGCTTGGATTGTAGCTGGCCCCAGATGAATAGTCGGGCTTTGTTGCCTCTGTGAACGATGTTGTAGTTCCATGCAGCAACGGGTTTTGTGCAATATACTACATTTGGGAGAAGTAGAGTTCTGTCACCAACGTCAGACTAATAACGATATATCAGGTGAGCGGGCTTTTCACGCTAATGGTGTATATTGAGCGAAGCTTCGGGACAGCCATTCGGCCAAAACGAGTGAGGAGTATGCAGAAGAGAAAACAATTGCATGCTAAGTTACTGGCAGAAGAGTCTGTGTTCGAGTCTAGTTTGTTCTGCATCCAGCTAAAGGAACCACTATCTAAATGCCCATGGGCTTTGTTGTACAGGGCAGAATCTGGGACGACGAATGGTGTCATCGCAGCTCACTAAGCGAATAGCATTAACCTCACAAGGACCATACAACAGAACTCGGATGGACATTTTGTAGTGTAGCCTTGCTGACTGCTCGTACTTGCATCGTAGTCTGTCATAGGCCAACCAATTATTCCAAATTTGCATGTACCGAATGCCAAGCCCTGATTTGCAACTGGCGGAAACGCAGAATGCCAAGAGGCAGTGTCTACAGAGCTACACCGCATCCATGTAGAGCGGTACCCTTGAAGCACTTTGTATTATGCTTTCCTCCAAACAAAACATGCTACTGCTGACCAGAAGGACGCAGAGTCAACAGCAATGCAGCCAGGCATTGTGTGCAGGCGCATGGATCTCTGCATGTCTACAACTCGGCATGCAGCTTGGTCTTGGCAACTGTACCCAAGTTGTTTCCAAGCGAAATAGGCAGACCAGCGAAACTACCAGATATAATATCCTCTTCACCGATTCTGTTCCGTTTGGAAGGCTGCACGTCAGCACACAGTGGAAGATCGGATAAGCACACACGGACAGTGGGCTCAGGTGCACAAAGTAAACAATACCCATCTCACCATCAGATCCCAGCCAAGACTGCTGCACAGACCGAACCATATAGCCTGTCGGACCATCAGCCACGTGAGCAAATGCATCCGACCATTGGGTCTGGCACAGTCACATTTGTCACACTTGGTTTGCCAAATGCATACATTTCCACAGGCATAAAAGTGCTAATAGTGTCAGTGAGGATATAGATGGGGGATATTATTAATACGTATGTGCTGATTAAGGACTAAGAGTGGCAGATATGTAAGGTGATGAGAGGAGTTAAAGGATAAAAGGGTATAAATGGATGGTTGGCGGGAGATTTGTGTGCATATTTCGGACTATGCCGGACCTACTCATTGTCGGCGGCATCGACTAACGGAGAGACAAAGGAGAAGCCCGAGAATGCAACATCGCTGGTGGAATCAGCCGACTTTGCCATACCCTTGGTGTACTCGACCTTGTCATCCTGCCCCTGACTTGACGTGTCAAACATGCCATTAGCGGTCTGCTTTGTCTGCTGCGGGAACGCAGCAAGCTTCGACTGCATCTCGAGCTCAGCCTTGCGCTCAGCCTCGGCCGCCTCTGCCAGGATATCCACCTGGCCCTCGGCTAGAATCGACTCTGGGATCGGCTCGTTGCGGAACTCGGGGTCAATGTTGCTCAGGTCAAAGATCGAGCTGACGTTCGGCATGAACGGCGGCGCGTACTCTTGGCGGTAGATCTTGCCCCAGTCGATACCATAGAAGAACGCATGGCGCTTGACGTTCTCAGTGCCAAACACGCCGGCTCCCAGGCGCTTCTTCGGATCGCGCTCGAGGATCCTGTAAATAAAGTCCTGTGCGAGCCGCCCGATGCTTTCGCCGGGCACGCTGCCGCTACTTGAGCTGTATGTGCCATTGCCACGCAGAGGAGGCGGCAGAGATGTCGGGAACCGCAGCGGCTCCTGCAGGATCCGCCTGTACATGACGTTATTGTCCTGGTCGTAGTATGGCGGCAGACCAGTCAGCATTTCGTAGAGAACGGCGCCGAGGCAGTACCAGTCGACCTCCTTGCCGTAGCTCTGTCTCAGCAGAACCTCGGGTGCCAGGTACTCTGGCGTGCCGCAGAATGTGGCTGTCTTGCCACCTTCCTCCACCGAGTACAGCGCAGACCCCTCCGTGCGCCAGACGATCGGACCGACCTCCTTGGCCAGCCCAAAGTCGACGATACGCACATGCCCGCGCGCATCCAGCAGGCAGTTCTCGGGCTTCAGGTCGCGGTACACGACGTCCATGCTGTGGAGGTACGCCAGCGCCGAGGTGATCTCGGCAGCATAGAACCGGGCACGGTTCTCTGCGAAGCGCCGCTCGCGCTGCAGGTGGAAGAACAGCTCGCCGCCGTTGACGTAGTCGAGGCAAAAGTACAGCTTCTCCTTTGTCTGGAACGCACACTGCAGACCAACTAGGAATGGGTGCTGCACAGTGCGCTCCAGGACACGGCGCTCTGACATTACACGACGGATCTCGTTGGGACGGCCACGCAGCTTCGACTTGGAGATGACCTTGATGGCCATGACCTTGCCGGTGTCCTTGTAGCGGGCAAGCATGACCTTGCCATAGCTGCCCTTGCCGATGACGCTGAGGAGATGGAAGTCGTCGAGGCCAACCTTCTTGGGCTTATCGACAGCCATCTTTACGTCCTGCTCGGCATTGGCGCTAGCAATAGTGCCCATCAATGTGTTGACATTGTCCGCCATCATGGCACCGGACAAGCGGCGCTCGCGGTGCACCTGCTCGGCCCCCTCAGCACGCGCAATGCCGCTGCTGGCTATCCGGGCAGTGACATCAGTCAGCGTATCGTCTTGGGTCGTGTCCATCTCGATATCACTGCCATCGTATTGCGCATAGTCGGAGTCAGTGGCATCGCTGTGCTCCGCCCACTGCATTGAGCCGACCATATTCTGCGCTTGGAGGCCGGCGTATGCAAGCTCGCGCGGGCCTAGCAACTCGATGTTCCCGTCGGGCATCTGGGCAGTGCTAGGCACGCGGGTCTGGGCATCGTCGATGTATTGGATATTGCGGCGCAGGCCGTACTTTTTGCGCACAGCAGACTGCTCAGCACCTGGCCGCTTCTCGGCGCTCACATAGAGCTGCGGGTCAGAGGCCTTGCGTAGCAGCTGCGCTGCGTCGGCGTCGTTCATGAGAGTTGCAAACGGATGCTTTGGGTTGTCAATGCCCAGTGGCGGGTAATTGCCGGGCTGTACACTGTCCTGCTGCTCGGCGGGGCGTGACAGCGAGCCATTGGGGCTGGTTGGCGAGCTCATGTAGCTGTCCTTGAGTGTGGGCATCGAGACCATGCGCTCGATCGACGACCGGCCGGTGTTTGTGCGGTTGGCCTTGATTGACCACTCGTCAGGCAGGGGCATGCGCTGCTGGGCAGCGCGCTGGGTGTCGTCGATAGATATATCGTGCAGAAACAGCTGCAGCTCCTCGCTCGGGCAGACGTCGGTGTCGCTGGTGACGCTGCGCAGGAAGGTGTTGAGCTTCTCGCGGCGCTGCATCACGACATCTGGCGATGCGCTGAGGCCAGGCAGCATGCGCTTCGGGAACAGGTCGCCCCAGACACTAGCCTTTTTTGGGAAGCGGCGGCGGAGAACCTGGAACAGCTCGTAGAATTCGCTGTAGCGACGCGCCACCCACCACTGGCCGGTGCGACCCGAGACCAGTATTTTATAGACCAGGTGCTTCTTCTTGCCCATGCGCAGGCCGCCGGACTGCTCACGCGTCTCAACGCTCGTGATGTAGGCGGCAAAGGCAGGACCGCCCTCGGCCAGCGTCTGGTCGCCAGCGCCCATGGACTCGAGCACCATGGTCGACGAGGCTGTGGTTGTGCTGGCGTTCGAGTTGAGCGACCCGCGGCTGTTTCCTGGCCGCAGGTGGTACTTGGAGAGCCACGCGCCAAATGCGTTGCTGCCGCTGCCCTTGAGCGTCGCCTGGCTGCTGTTGCTGGTCAGCGACGCATTCGGGTCAGCCTCCAGGGATGTCCGCCCGCCCATGATGGTGTCGGCTGGCTGCTGGCCATTTTTGCTGTAGTAGCTCGAGATCTGCTCTGTGTGCAATTGGGACACTATACCGTCGATCTGCGGGTTTGTGTGCATCGCACCTTTGCTGAGTAGGTGCCGAAGCGCGGTAGGGATGCCATTTGCGTTGGTGTTGTCCATCGGGATTGGGCTTCTAATAATTATTGTTTGTTGGTAGCAGCAGTTAGTAATGTGCGGTTGGATAGAGGGACTCGTTGTTTCTGAAAGGCAATCGGATTCTCCTGCTTTGCGGCCGTTGAATACGAAGTAGCAGAGACGTACAGGAATCAATGTAGTGGGGGATTTGCCTTCAGAAATTCGGGGGAGGAGATTGGAGGTTTGTGGTACGTGCGAGTGGTCAATATCCTTGGTATGACAAAAAGAAAACAGAACAGAGGCACGGAATACAGGAGATGCTGGGCGTGTAAATGCAAATTGGTTGCTTGCTGCTGCAATAGTGCGCGCTGTGTGTGCGAGTAGGGAGGCTAGAAAATAAAGTTGGATGGCTAGGAGAGGCGGATCGGAAGGAGGGCGTGAATAAATGGGATGTCTTCCAGAGCGTGAAAGGGGTCGTAACAAATGGAGCACAGAGACTAAATATAGAGTGAGGGTGAGTGGTATCCCCCAAGAAGAAGAGAAAGAGAGGGTGAGTGGGCGAGCAAGGGAAGCCCGAATGGATGAATGAAAAGGGCAGAAACGAAGAAAAGCCTACTGGAGAGAGTGCAAGACTCCTTTCTGCCATCTCCATAGACAAGGGAAATAGCAAATGCCCAATGCGGAACAGGCAATGTGCTAGGGTGAGCAGGCTACGTATAGTATCCTGCATTTATACTATTCCTCTGCCGCGTATTTGCAACAAAAGATCCGAAGAACAGCAGGCATGCATCGTTTGCCGAAGGACTCGCCGCAGGACCAAACGAGACAATACCCCATGGCAATGCCTCTCTAAGCCCCCCATCACACACGGGCAGTGTATGAGACCAGCTAGTGAAACAAGCAGCGAAAAAAAATAAAAAGACCGCTTGTGCGAGTCCGCTGTGGTCCCATCACCGGGTGGCTTTTATTGGGTGCGGGCCATGAAAATGGCATGGGCGCGGGCGTGGCTGACTTTCAATTTGCTGCCTCGGACCGCGACGCCTGTTGTATCAGGCCATTTCGTATACTCCCGCGATTCCGGGCCGGAAAGCTGCGTCTGACACTGTACCTTTTTGCACAGAAGCTATCTGCGGATGTCTTGGTGGTGGTGGTGGTGGTGGTTGAGATTGAGGTTGAAATTGAGGCTGTGATTGTGGTTGAAGCCGTGGAGTGAGAAGGGTCTAAGCGGAGTTTGAAGTCAGGCGGAAAAGAATTGTGAGACGGAGAGATTAACTCTGAAAGACAGTAGAATATAAGGCGAGGAATTGATGGGCGATGTAAATATGGTGGGCGATGAAAACAACAGGAGAGAGAAAGGGGACCGCTGGCCGGACGAGACAGGGTGTTAAAAAGGAGCACTGACGGGATTGACGAAGCAGAAATGTCGCCACTATGTGGTATCGATGGTGGGGGAGAGCGACCCGCGGTTGATGCCTGAGCGCTCAGGCAGGAAGCCCGGCTCTAAGTGTAAACAACTTTGGTGGGCATGTAAGAAATAATCATCCGCTGCAGCGCGGGCCTGGCGAATAGAAACTTGCATATCCAATGTGTTTGGGATCGCCCACAGAAAAAACAGCAGGAGAAATCGTCAAGCTTGTGTGCCCAGCGGCGACGCTAGGCTGCCGGGGCTGGCTGCCAGAAATAGAAATTTTCCAGCGCGTTTGCCCAAGGCTGAGATAAAATTTTTTGATGGCGACAGGTTGCAGGTGGCATGATTTTTTTCGCTTGAACACTGGGCCTGAGAGATCATCATGCAGCGGTGCATACGGTGTGGCGACAAACCGGTACTGCGTCTCGTCCGCATTGTTCTTGCGCCTGCACCGCCGCATGCCAGCACCATCAATCGGCCACGGACCAGCACAGGGCGGGCTTGGACTTGCTCGAGGTGCATATAGTTTGTGTTCCGTACGTACGTGTGTTCATCTGGATGCAGTCCATTAGGAGTGCGCAAGAACAACAACAACAAAAGCAATCATAACAGCCTGCACCGCCCGCGGCGTGACCACATTGCGCGCCGGTTGATCTTTGGCGCCCGAGCCGCTCAGCAGGCGAATCCATGTGGATTTCACTACAGGCCATTTATCGCAACTAAAAAAAGACAGCTGGCAGGTGCAAAAATAGCCACAGCTACAGCTGCGGGCCGTGTTGAAATCCTGCGCTTCCTTAAGGCAAGAGTGCACGGAAATGTAAACAAACGCAATATGTTGAGTAGAAATGACGCTCACTTGTCCTTCTTGGGCTCGGCAGCATCGCTCTCCAGGGCGTCTGTCTTGATCTCCGCCTGGGTTTCTTTGCCGACCTGCCCGTATTCATTAGCACGCGAGTGGTCGACTCGGTAGATCCAGCGCTGGTACAGGTAAACAACAAACACAACATCGTCGCGCAGCGTCGCTAGGCGGTGCAGCCACGGCATCTTCATGACCCAGCTAAACAGATCATCAATGAACGTCGACAGGGCCTTGTAGGCAAAGGTGCGCCACGGCATGTGCGCGACGGACTTTAGTCGGTAGTTGATGTACAGCTGCGGGATCATCATCATGAACCCAAACGTGTACACATACCCAACCAGCACCGACAGCACAAACGAGTACCACGACCTTTGCTCCTGCGTGAACAGCGAGTAGATCGCATACACAAGCAGCAGCGGATAGGCCACGTAACTTAGATACTTGTATGCGATTTGGTCGTACTCGCGCGTGCTGCTCTCCTCCTCGGTCATCGCCTCGTACGCCTTGACGGTTACCACATACCCGCCGATGCGCACCAGCTCCCTGCGAGTCTCCTTGGCCTGGGCGCGACGCCGAACCTCCGACTCGGAGTCATAAGTGCCGACTGGGACTGCCTGCAGGTCGACGGCACGGACGACCTTCCAGCCCTCGATTACCACACTGACAGTGTTGCTGATCAGGATCATGTAGCTGGTGTTGCCGCGGTTGTCAAACAGATACAGCAGAATGACTGCCTCGAATGCCACATTCATCAGCATGGTGCGGATGCTGACGCCCACCGTGTCCTGCTTCTTGCGCCAGAAACTGCACGTCGTTTTTGAATGCCAGAAAGTCGAACAGCGAGTGCAGCAGCGTGACAATGAAGGTGATGGCCAGGAGCACCGGGTTGGTGTCGGCCAACATGCGCTTCATCTCATCCATGCCCGATGATCCCAGATCCTCTCCAAACAGGCCCTGCTCCTGCTGCTTGGCCGAGTGGTCCATGCTGCAGAAGACCCGGAACTTCCATAGCGACAGACTGCTGACTTGCACATGCAGAGGCAGGGCACTGGTGGTCTCATTGATCAGCGACATGTGCGACTGCAAGCGCCAGAAATCGTTGACGAAGAATATCGGCTTCATATATGTCAGGTGAGACTGCGGGTCCTTGCCACGGACATCTGCCAGCTTGATCCACTTGTGCACCACCGGGGGCTCGCTTGAATACGGATACAGCTCCATGCCCGAGTCGACAATCGCCAGTGTCAAGTTCGGGTACCAGTAGCTGACCAGCTTGCCGTCCATCTCCGATTCGCGTGCCTCGCGCAAAGCGCGCTGCTGGTCGCGGGCAGAAATCTCCTCGGCTGTCAGCTCCACTCCGCTGCCCTTGTGTGGAAACTCGACAAGCTTCTTGACGTGGTCTGGCTTGCGGTACCTTACGTAGTAAGTGAGCGGCCATGTTACCACTGCTACGTTGTCAGCGTCGTAGTTGTCCTCCTTTGGGTGTTTGCCGTAGCCATTCCGCGTAAACACTGCGTGCGCATACAGCGTGCCATTGTTTTGCACGCTTGCCGATGCCGCCAGCTCCAGATCAGCCTGGTAGTTGATCCCGGTGTCGCCATACAGGATGTCTTTGACCTCCCACGCAGGTGACTGCTGCTCGATCGTGGCATTACTGCACGCGGCGTCTTCGTTGACATACAGCGCCAGCGACATACGGTCACCGTACCGCCAGTAGGGCACCAGGGCTGGCGTTACCGTCATGTTGGCGAACTGATCAACCGCTGGTTCTGTGGTGTTCTGGGCCGCTTCTGTGCTTGGGTCGCCACCAATGTTCAGCAGCCCGCCGCCAAGTAGCATCGACACAAAGTTGAACAAGACCATTACGATGGCCAGTGTCTTCAAGAACTCGTACACTGTGTCCCAGAGCGACTCTTGCTGCTGCTGCCGTTGCTGCCTGCGTGGCTGCTGGCTGCCGGTCGCAGTGGCCGGTGCAGCCGACTCTGCGTCCTTGCTACCCTCCGAAGCAGCTTCTGCAGCAACCGTCCCTCTCTTCCGCAACTCTGATTTCGGCGCCTTGTCATCCACCATTTTTTGCAAAAAAAAAACTTATACAATGTCTAAACAAGAGCTGAGCTGAAGAGGACAGCTGAGGAGCTCGTGAAACGTTGTTGCCTAAAGCTTCCTGTGCTGCTGAGCAGCACCAAAAAGCGCTGGCTCTACGATCGCCGGCAAACCTGCTAAACTGCTTTCCTCTCTTTGCATTCCCTTTCTTTCTGAATTTCAGCAAACTTGCCGTAAAGTATAACTTCTTTTTTTTCCTAAGCAGAATGAGCGAGTTTGAGTCTCTTCTGTTTCTCTCCAAGGAGGTGTTCGTGTATCAGATCCCGCCGCGGCAGGCCAACGCCGGATACCGTGCGACAGAATGGGACGTAGATAATCCGATATTCAAGGCCCGACTGCGCGTGCTGCTGGCCGGCGAGGAAAAGTGCGTGGTGCGGCTCGAGGACAAGGGCACAGGCGAGCTGTTTGCTGCCTGCCCCGTCGACCCCAAGGGTCTGGCCGTTGAGCAAGGTGCTGGACTCGAGTCGGTACTTTGTGCTGCGTGTGCAGGACGAGGCCACCGGCAGCAAAATGTACATTGGGATTGGATTCCTCGACCGCTCTGAGGCATTCGACTTCAACGTTGCTCTGGAGGACTTCCGCCGATCGCTGGTTCCCGCTGAGACTGGCGGCTCTGGGAATGCCAGCGGTGCCACTGCGCTGGCCGCTGAGCCGAAGCTGGATTTTTCGCTCAAGCCCGACCAGAAGATCACTGTCAAGATGGCTGGATTCAAGAAGAAACCTGCTGCGTCCGGACAGACTCCGGCCAGCAGCGTCGTCGGACAACCCATTCTTCATTCCGCCGCCACCGCCGCCGGCGGGTGGCCGTCGATAGACAACCCCCTCCTCTGCCTCTTACGACGCCTAGCGGCCTGATCTTGCAAAAAAAAAAAAAAATACAGTACTTGCTAGCACCCTCTAGACTGACGTGCTGTGTAGGCGAAAGGTTCAAATGTATATGTAAATTGATAGAAAATTAGTGTACATGGCTTATAGGGAATGCTTAGTTGTTTTTGTCCTCGCGGATGTGCTCCTGCAGGGTCTCAATAGCACCCTTGGCACCGGAGTACGCACACGTAGATGCCAAGACCCATGATGCAGACGCCCGACAATGAGCTGGTACCAGGTCACGCGGCTCCAGCCGAGCAGCTTCAGGTAGCAGGCAACAGGCACGATGAACAGCAGAATCGACGTGCTGAATGCACCGACCAGCGAGATGATATCGCCAAAGTACGGGATCACGATGGCAATGGCGGTCATGATGCCAAAGAAGATTGTGCGGAAGATGAACCGGCCAATGAACTCCTTGACACGGCCAAGCTTCTCCTTGGTGACACCCAGGGCAAGCTCGAGCTCAAGCGACAGCGACGCTGTCATGACCGGCGCGGCAAAGATTACATGCATGGCAATCAGGATCTGGGCAGCCTTGGTAGCAGCGTTGTGCGGCAGGTTGTCGAGCACGGGCGAGACGACCTGGTCGCCGAACGCCCAGTAGCCGACTGTGGCGATAAAGACGTATGTGCCTGTCACGACCGTCATGGCCGAGCCAAGAACGCGGCTCCACATGTTCGGATTCTTCATGCTGGCCTCAACACCAGGCATCACAACTACGGCACAGAACGAGAACGAGATACTGGTCAGAGCCAGAGGAACCCCGCTGCCGATGGCCGACTGATGCGTGGCCTTGTGGTGCTCGAATGGGACGTTGCCGTCTCCCTTGTACGGATACATGAACGACTGGATAATGGCAATGAGGATGGTGACGATGCTGGTGGCAAAGGCCCAGCAGCGAGAGGATGGCGGCTTCCGACATCTGCTTCAGGGAGATCGTGGCCAGCCACATGACCAGAGCGCAGATAACCATCCAGGTAGTCTTGCCGATGTCGTGGCCGTCGGCCATGGCAATAGTGTGGAAGCTGGTGCCCGACAGGATGATGTAGTCGCCGACAATACCGATTACGTAGATGGCATGGAAAAAGTAGATGATGAGACGTCCGGGGAGGCCGAAGGCTGCCTGGCCGATCTGGTTTAAAGTTGCGCACCTTGTTGCCGCTCATCATGTACAGCGACTTGATGACGAGCATGCCCGTGTATGTGCCGATGATGCCCGACATGATCACGAGCAGCAGTCCGATCCAGCCAGACTGCTTAAGAGTCAGCGGCAGCTGCAGACTGCCCGATCCGATGATGACACAGCAGATGGTCGCAAATGCGCCAAAGGTCGAGCCTTTGCGCTCGGCCTGGCCCTCGGCGCGCTTGGGCACAGTGCTGAGATCCGAGTTGCTGTCGCTGGCCCCAACAGCGCCGGCGCCCTTGTCGTCGCTAAAGGAGAGGTTCCAGCCACCATTCCCATTTGAGGAGCCTGCTGTCTTGAAGCGGGGAAGATGCATTATTTAACCAGCGTGTTCGAGAGTGGATGCAATACTGTATACCCGCGTGAGCAAAATTAATAGTGTACGAGAAATGCGCGGATGAAATAGCACGGATAGCACGAGGAATTCTAGTTGTAGTTGCCGGAGTAGAACTGCTGTCGCTTTGCATTGCTGACCAGGCCGCAGACGCCTCGTTATATACGCGATCGGAAACGGCTGGCCGTGCTCCCCTCCATCCCCTTATCGCCCTCCGCCAAATCGAAGACAGTGAATATGAAAGGGGGAGCCGTAGAGCGTGTGAGAACACTTGCCCACTGGCCCCACCTCCCCGTCCCTTTTCGGCTGTGTATTGGCGAAGGGCATGGAGGAATGTGCCACGCATTGCGGCGGATCCCTGGTGTTCTATACTGCGACGCTCGGCTACTTTGCCTTTTTTCTCTTTCGTTGCTGCTGATAGTCGAGCCACCCAAAAACGGACTCCAGCATTTCCATCTTTGGGTATTATCCGCAATGGCCAGCGCGCCCAAGACCACCGTTTTCCAGTAAAGGGGCGAGGATTCGCCAGAGGACAGATTCGGTCATAGTCGATCCTGTCCTACCGAACAGTATGCGACAAGCTGTGCACTGGACGGTGGAAAAAATGTTCTGCTTTCACAGCGCAGCCGCCGGTCGCCATAGGTCAACTGACCTATATGGCAGCCCGTCCACTCCGGTTGCCCAATGAGTCGCACATTGCGTCAGGCTCGTGGCAGGCATGGTTATAGCTCAGCTGCCAAGCGTGCTCTCCCCCCAACATGATAAGATTAGTGTGAGCTGATCACGCCTTGACGAGCTCCTGCTGACTACTGCCAATGGCCAAATACACAGCTGGACGCCATCCTCAGGTGTACAGTAAACTCAATCGACTTCCCAGAACATCAGCCATGACGACATGCTGATTGCGAGACCCGCAGCCTCGATTCGTGGTCCAGATCTTTGGGGTATGGGGAGGAGCGCAAAACAGCTAATGTACCTGGGTCTTGGGTGATCTGGCTCCAGAGCCCTCCCACCATTTTGTTGAGCTGAACTGGCTCGCAGTTGCGTGACAGTGTGGGCTGCCTTTTTTTTTTCAACAGGTTCCACTGTTGGCCGGCTGCGGCGCTGGCTCGGAGGATGTGTGGCAGAGGAAATTGTTGCGCACTGTCAAAGCCCGCACCTGCATAATCGACTGCACGCTTATCGGCCCCTAGTGGCGCTCAGGCATTATCAGTCCTACAGGGGAATCTTCGGGGATTTTTTCTTTCTGATAATGCGCCGAAATAGTCTGCTGTTCCATGTGTTGATCCTGTCCAACTAGAGACACTGAATAGCAATTCTGGTGTGGGTATACGGCGAATATACAGATCGGCTACAAAAAAGCTGCCTTTCAAAGAGCTCCTCGCAGATAAGGGAGCCGTAAAAGTAGCAGTAGACCGCTCTGTCCTCCCGTTCTATAGCGTGTTCTGTCACAATTAATACGGGCAATCTCCAAACAAAAGACGCCTCTGTGCGTCTCAGAAGGATTGCTAGATCGTGGACAGATGGCGGTCACGAGTGTCGGAATGTATCTGGTACCAGGTGAGGTTGGCGTTCGATGACAACTAGCCGTGATAGCGAACGATCTGCTGCTCACATATGCTAATGTGTGGGGGTACATCGGCGCATTTGCATCGTGTGCGGGTGCGACCATATCTGCTGTTGAAGCAGTAGTTCGTTGGTCGTTCGGGAACAATAGCACTCGCAGATGCGGGCTTCAGCATTCAATAGACCCAGTGCCCTGGCTGAGGTATGTCCGCATATCTTGGTGGCAGTGCTATCCCATCGTTGCGACTCGGCTCGTGCTGAGCGGTTTGTGCCAGCCGGTCCGTCAACGGTAGTAAAGTGGTGGGAGATAGTGCTGCGCAGTTTTGGTAATTGAGCTGCAGCCCAGTGGCTGAAAAAAAAAAAAGGACACTCTGAGTTACTATTAGGGTCCAGGATCGTTCTTTGGGCTGCTGCAATCCGGTTTTGCTGCTGT